TAAAATAGTAACTATAGCTATAGGGGATTTTCCTTATATTAAAGTAAACTATTTTTATTATAATCTAATTTCTAGAGATTAAACTCTCTTAATCTATTATTAACCTCTACTATTACTTAAGTTTAAGATCTCCCTATTAAGAGTAGTAGAGTGTGACTCTCTAGATCTTAACTAAACCTTTTCTCTTACTTAATCCTTAGAATCTTATAATATTAAAGTTTATTTAGCTAATATAGATAATATAAGATCTTAAGACTTAGGATCTTCTCTAATATAAGATTATAATTATCTTAGTAATATTAACTATAATCCTTAAGAAGTACTAAGTGTATAATTACTAAATATATCTCCTTCTCTCTTACTAGAACCCTAAAAGAAGAACCTTATTATATAATATATAGGATTATTAAGATTATTAGTCTAGTAGGATTAAGAACATTAGATTTATCTTCTTTAGGCTAAGAGGAATCTAGAGATGCTCTTCTCTCCTATAGCTAGTAAATTAATTAATATAGTATATAGGACTAAGAGCTAGATAGCTATAGGTATAGGGCTAACCTAAGATAAGGATAAGACAGTATATAATAGGATAGAATATATAGACATACCTATAATATTATTAGATGATATTATAATATAGCCTATAATAAGGCTAGATAAGATATATATAGGTACTTTATTTCTAGGTATAAGATATATATCTAGGATAGGTTAGGATATAACTAAGATATAGCTATATAACCTAGCTATTACTAATATATAGACCTAGGACTTCTATCTTAGAAGAATCTAGAGACTAGACTTAAGTTATTTAAATTAATCATACTCTCTACCTCTAGTATCTACAGTATATAAGGATATAGACTTCTCTACTATAATAAGACTGCTAGGTAAGCTAGTCCTAGACAACTACCTTATATAGCACTCTAGAAAGTTATTATATAGATAAAGGTTAAGTAATATATAGGCAAAAGCACTCTATAAGTAGGAATAAGAAATTATTAAGTATGATATCTATATAGCTAATATAGAGGAAGAAATATAGATATTACCACTAAGTTTAAAATTAGAGGGCTATATAGGCATTAATATTAGTATAGAGTCATTAATATATAGGGCTATACTAAATTTAGTAGGGAAACTAAATTTAAAGAGAGACCTCTTTAAAATCACTAGATGTCTGTAAATTAAAGAACTAGGCTGAGTACCACTAGAATAGGTTAATAAGTAGTTCTTAGTTAGTAATATTTATATTAACTAGAGAGCTATAATATTAGAATAAATTTACTAAGTTAAAGATTTATATTATACCTATAAAGATGTCTTTATCACTTAACTCTAGGATATGATAATTACTGATATTATAGATTATCCTATCCCTCTTAAGAAGGGTGCTACTTCTTATTATCTCTATTAGGTTTACTAGACCTATCTATAAGTTATATAGTTAAATAAGATAATTCCTAAGATAGAATGCTAGGATTTAATATTCTATAGAACTTTAAGATAGGCGGTCTAGACTCTCTTTCTATCTAAGCTAAATTCCTTTAAGTTTTATATAGTCTATAATTATCAACCTATTAATTCTATGTCTATCTATTTATAATATCTATACTACTCTCTTAAAGCTAATCTTAATACTCTTATAATAGGCAGACTGATTATATTCTCTAAGTTTAATATAAAGAATAGATACTAGGGTGTCTCTATCTAACTAAAGGATGAATATAAGACAGTATTTATCATACTGAATAGTATATACTTTTACTGAGTTATAGCCTAAGGACTTTATTATACTCCCTAGACTTATATAAGATTTAATGATTTAGTTTTTAGATACCTACCATCTAGAACTGATATCTATATACCTAAATTAGAGTTAGTTCTTAGATTTAACTTAGAGACTAAGGATGCCTATATTATTTATATTGATAACCATTGCCTCTTAGGAACTATATTTAATTCTTATTTCAACTTCCTTTATAAGAAATATTTTCCTTATATTATATTCAGCCTAGTTCTTCTTTCACCTAATAAGACAGAATTATTTTGTGATTCTCTAGAAGTAGTAGGCATATAGCTCTATAATAGGAAAATCTACCCTTCTAATAAGCATTATTATTAATTCTCTAACTAGGACTTATATTAGAAATCACTTCTATCTTAGTCTTAAGATAAGATTAATAAGATGATCTATCTTACTCTATTCTTATAGAAATATATTTCTAGTTAAGTAACACTTATATATAAAATTAAATCTATATTCTTTAAGAAATAACCTACTACCACTCTATTAGAAAAGCTATTAGTTAAGATATTATCTATTAAGTATGAAATACTAGAGTAGACTTCTAAGTATTCTGCAGCCCTCTCCTAGATTTATTAGTTGGTTATTAATAACTATATTTATAGTATTGATTACTTATATTAGATTTATCTAGCTATTAATATATATCTTAATAGTACTAGTAGTATCTTATTTTAATTAAAATCCTAATATCTAACTAATATAGCTTATTATCTAAAATTATTTAAGGATGTTAAGATTAATATATTCTTAAGCTTTAGTCTATTAGTAGCTGAGTTCTAATACTTAATATCTAAGAAGGAGATGCTAACTATTATAAAAGCAATCTTAGAAGTATAATAGATAGTTTAAGGATTATTATACTTAGTTAAAATCTATATTAACTACTTATTAATTATCTAGTTAATAGAAAATATAGATAGAGTATATAGAAAGCTACTTAAGTTTATTAAGAAAATTACCTAATTCTCTCTTAAATTTTATTATTACCTAAATTCTAATAAGATGATTTTAATTACTAATAGTATATTAAGACTTACATCTCCTCTCTAGAGAGACTATAGAAACTATAAGTTTAATAGAGTAGATGACTTAGATATTAGCTTTTAAGATGCTTTCTAAATTAAGAACCTCATCTTACTAAATAGAGTTGTCTATATATTAAGAGAGATTATAGGATTACTAGATGATTTCTTTAAGAAATTTAAGTGCCTAGAAGAGTCAGTAAGATTAGTATAAGCCCTACTGTCTTTTAGAAAGCTAGTAGAACTGTATCTTATTAAGAAGTAACTCTAACTACTAGAAGAATTAATATAAGAATATAATAGACTATAGCTAAGTAATATTATTAGCTTCCTTCTCTATAGTGATAAGAGAATCTCTTATATACTATTAAAGTAATAAAGTTATATTAAAAAGAGAGTAATAAAGTTCTACTTAATTAATAGAAATCTATATTATTATAAGGTAGAGGATTTCTTATTATACTATATTAGTAAAACTAATATTAAGGAAGTGCTCTATTAAGCTTATAATTACTATAGTTATTACTTTATAATAATAATATCTTATTAGCTAAGAGGAAAGATCTAGTGATTAAAATAAAGTGATGATATTTAAGATTACTATAAATAATATTATATCTACTAATAAATTTAATATAACTATATAGAGAAAACCTCTTCTTAGAAGATTATATCTCTCTACCTATTTAAATTATATAGCTAAGATTTTATTAGACTAATCATCCTAGTTATATAAGATAGATCTTAATATATCCTACTTACTATAGATTACTTTAGCTGATTTATACTCTATAAAGTACTCCCTAAGATATCTAAAGCTATTATAGCTATAATATAGATTTATAACTAGATATTAATCTTTAGCTAGCCTTAAAGCCTATATTAGGATAATAGAAGCTACTTTAAAAACCAATATATAAAAATAATTTTCTTAGGATATAGAGTATAAATATTATTTAAGCTAATATCTTATCTCTTAAATATTAGGCTTCTTAAGTATATAGTTTAACTTATTAAAGATAGGCTAATAAAATAGGCTATAAGTAGAAATAGAGTTAGTCTTAATAATTAGTATCTTATACTCTCTAATATTATTATTAATATTAATAGTTAGATAATTCTAAGTCTTAGAATTATATCTTTAAAGATATTACTAGGATTTATACTAGAATATTATAGATTACTAATACTAAGTATAATCAACCCTAAAGAGGTAGAAATTATTATATAAGATAGATTAAATCTAATTAAAGCTAATAAATCCTAAGTACTATCTTTTCTAGAGATAACTAATATAAGATATAAGGATTTCTAATTATAGTTATTAGATAAATATAAGAAATATAAGAATAAGATTACTAAAAAGCTAAAGTTATTCTTTAAAGAGATATAGATTCTTAAGAAATAGATAAAGATTAATAAGAATTCTAATAAATTCTACCTCTAATAGATTAGACCTAAAATTATAATTAGATATATAGAGAAGGTCTTATATTAGATATAATATATTAATAGATAGACTACCTTTTATAAAGTTTATATTAATAATATCAAGCCTTTTATCTACCTAAGATATATACTAGCTAATATCTATAATATAGATCTAGAATTACTAAGAGAGCTAGAAGAAATATCTATTAAGAAGAGCTTAGAGGTAGGAAATAAATAGAAAAGTTTAGATCTAACTTATATCTAGTAGGTCTCTACTAAATAAAGGGATTTTATACTACTAAGTTACACTATTAGAACTCAGTCATTTATTTAGGGTACGCCTACTTCAGAGCAAATCGGGGTCGATTTACATTTTCATTCCTAGGTATCGTGTAGAGAGGGGATTTTAGTCAGCCCCTGAAGTAGGCCACCAAGTTAGATTTAGTTGGCTTCTCGAGAGAGAGAGTTAGAAATTAGCAGGCCACAATCAACCACTATTTTTGACCCCTGCTTTGCAATACCAGAATCCGGAGTTTTCATCATTCAGCAGCCACCCACAGCGTGTTCCATGACAGTCCTCCTTGAAAGGGGTTAAAGGTACCATCAAGTATCAAATAAGAGAGTCGATTCACTTCGCAAACTCTCACATACCTTGGAAACCCTCCCAACCCCGTCACCGTCCCTCACGCCCTCAAGACTTTTGACTGCTCAAGCCTCGTGCTCCTCAAAGCTCTCCTATGGTCCCACTCGCCGGATCCCACGCCCTCATCACGGGCGGCAGCCGAGGCATCGGCCTGGCCATCGCCCACCGCCTCGCCCGCGAGGGCGCCGCATGCACCCTCGTCGGCCGGGACGAGCAGAGGCTCCAGGCCGCCCTGGCCGGCGCACCCTCGCCGGCTCACGCCCACTCCTACCTGGTCGGCGATGTAAGGCATGCGGACTTTTGGGCGGAAGCCGTAGCACAGCGGGTCAGTACAGCTGAAAACGAGTTCACTCTTCGCAGTCCTAGGAACTGGCATGGCTGCTGACGCCAATATAATATAGCCCAATATCTCGATCCTCGTAAACGCAGCCGGCCTCGCGCAGAACTCTCTTCTCGTGCGGACCAGGGACGAGGACCTGCAGGAGATACTGGATGTCAACCTGCGCGGCACCATCCTCGGGTGCAGGTCCTTCGGCAAGTCCATGATGAAGAGAAAGGCTGGTATGCTACTGCTTGCTGTCCGAGCCCACTCGCGTCCGTTATCTTCCGTAGACTAACAAAGCCGTACCCATCAAAAAAGGCTCCATTATCAACATCTCCAGTCTCCTGGCTGAGAAGGGGGGCCAGGGCGCGACGGTCTACGCAGCATCAAAGGCCGGCATCATAGGTAAGTTCTTCTTCTCGCCAGCACACCCGTACCCCGCAAGCAAGTCTTTGTGAAATATCATTGGCAAGGTTTTGGAGTAAAGGTATCTGGATTCTAAAAACGCCGCTTCCCTTGTTTTCCCTACAGGCCTCACTCGTGCCTTGGCTACCGAGATGGGCCCCTTTGGCGTCCGCGTCAACACCATTCTTCCCGGATACATCAAGACGGACATGACAGAAAGTAAGTCAGCTCCCTCTTTCATCTTCTCCAACCCGATCCATATCAAATCATCGCCCTCGTAATCCTCCCCGGTCCCCTGTATGTTCCCTTGCCGCGGCCATTCGCCCCGGCCATTCCGAGGGAAGTATTAGATCAAATTTCGATCCGAAGCGTAAAAGTACATTGACACACACGGGATGCTAAGTTGTGCCCCGTGCCAGATCTAAAGCAGTCGCTTCTGCAAGAAAAGATTCCTCTGGGCCGTCTGGGAGAGCCCGAAGAAGTCGCAGATGCAGCTGCCTTCCTCGCCAAGAACAGCTATGCAAGCAACTGCATCTTGAATCTAGATGGCGGTCTAAGTGCGACTTGATGGGAAGCGATGGTCAAAAGCAAGCAGTTGCTTGGACGCGATGAACGCCACCCGCTAGGGGCCGTTCAGTCGTCATCAATCACGATAGCGCCGCCGCTGGCGCCATCATCCACGACGAGTACGTCGTCATCCGCCGCCGGTCCGTTGCTGCCGGCCATCTTCGCCTTCTTCGCCTGCGGCTCGGCAGTGCCGTTTGTGCCGTCGGGATGAGGTCGCTTATTGGACTGGAGCATATCTACCTCCTCGACGACATGCTTGCCGTTCTGCGATGCTGTGCCGTTTGTTGGCTGGGTTGACGCGGCCTTGGGCTTCCGAGGGATCTCGGGCTTCTCATCAGCCGCCAATGGCTTGACAGGCTTGTCCCCCTGGCCCTGCTCACTGCGAGATTGTTAGAAACTGTAGGCAGAGCTGTTCCGAGACGAGTTTGACAACTTACGCTTCTTGAATGTGAACGACGACGTTGACAAAGGGCTCGTCATCATCTTCATCCGTGACAGTCACAAAGCTGTCGGGTTTGATGCCTGCAAAGATAGTTAGCTTGTAATAATGCAGGACACAATATGAATGCAAACACACCGAGCTCGCTCAACTTCTTGCCAAGATTTTCCGTCTCGTCGGGGTCATACAGAATGCCGACCTCGTTGCCGAGAGCAAACTCCTTTTCGCCGTAGCCCAGGTGCATCTTGATAAAGTCCTCGACAAGGTCACTCAATGTAGCCCGCGACAGATCAACGCTGACACTGGTTGAGTAGACACTGCAGACCGGACAGTTAGGGTTCGGCTCCCGGGGACGATCCGAGGCGAGGAGGCGAGCGGAAGCGAATGGTGTCAAGAAGACCTGTCCCATGTCAGTTTAGAGCCACTGGTGATGCATGCAAGCTTGAAAGAACTGACCTCCCTGGCTTGATTGTACTCTCCGTTCAGCACCTTGAACGACTCCAACACGCAAAGCCCGGCAACAATGGCATTCGTCGTCGCAATTGCGGGAATGATGTTGCCGGCCATCTGCTTAATGTCGAATCGGCTCTTGCGCTCAATGCCGAACAGGGTTGAGCGAATGTTGGCGCTAGCAGTGACGAAGTCGAGCGTATCTTCGTCGTCCTTGTCGAACTCAATCAGGGGCTCCGGTCCAGTCGCTGCCTGAGTCCTCCTCATCTCCAAGATGCGCTTGCTCAGCCTATCGAGGCTATCGTTGAAGACCACGAGGTTCTCCTCCAACGTCCAGGGTCGTTGGTCATCGCGCAGCAAAGCCTCCTTGCTGGCCAGGGCCTCCGTAGCCTGCCCGAGCACCGTCTTGTAGTCGAGAGGCTCTGGGGGCTTTCGCGACTTCCACATATCCTCCATCGATCTCAACCTGACAATATCGGTGTTGAAGACCTTGTCGAAGAGCAGTTGAGGGAACTCCTCCTTGCCAACCGACTGGCGAATCGCCCTCAGGGCCTCTGATTCCTTCTTCAGCTCCTTGATTTCCTGCGCGTTGTCTTGGTCGGCAGAGTGATCGAATGCCGACTCGTCCTCGCTTGCGCCAAACATCTCGTTGAGCAGGTAGCTCTTTCCCCAGACAATGCAGTGGATGGGTTGGCTGGGTGTGCTGCGGATCGTGCAGACGGGAAAGGACTTGGGCGTCTCCTTGGGGCTGCAGTCGTAGCAAGCCGTGACGCCCTTCTTGATGACCTGGACCTGGCCGTTGAAGCCAGTCGTACCACTCTCGATCAAGGGCACATCGGCCGCCAGACACATCTTGTTGACATGCCGCCTAGCGTCGAGATTGTCTAGCGCATTGAAGACCAGATTGAAGCCCCGAAACCATTTGACATTGAACTGCGCATCCTTGATATTCGCATGGTGGGCGGTGATCTGGACATTCGGGTTGAATTGTTGCGCAGCCTCCTTCGCGACCTAGAATGACGGGTCAATCCATGCCCAGACAAACTCCCCCGCTAGCCTTTCCGCAGCAGTGACCTACCAGAGCCTTGGATTTCTTGATATGCTCGTGTCGGAAGAGGAACTGTCGGTTGAGATTGCTCAGGTCGATTGTGTCGAGGTCGACAATGTGAATCTCGCCGAAGCCGGTCAGGACGAGGTCCTTCAAGAGCTCGCATCCAATGCCACCCGCACCGACCATGAGCACCGTAGCCTGGTTCACCAGTGTCAGAACGTGAGCGCTCTCGATTGGCTCCAGAGAAGACATCGCGAATCACGGATTGTGTTCTCTTCGCGATTGTCACAGCAAAGGCGACAAAGAATTGGGAGGGACAGTACGCGATGGGGGGGAGTTGATAACAGGCAGAGGGCAGACACTGTCCACGCGACAAAGGGATGCATACCTGTTTGACCCGCGCATTAGTCGTGGCACCGAGCGACTGTTGATTGAAAGTGTCTCGCGTCCGAGCTGCAACAGGGCGGGCAGCAGCTGGTGCAGGAGGAGCAGCAGTTGCAGCAGCAGCACCGGTTTGCTGTTGCTGTTGCGCCTGTTGAGGTGGGACAGGCGGTTGCACCTGCGCATCCATGATGATTGATCAACGCTGCTGAGCTCGCGGGGCCGGCGCAACGACCGTCGATGTGAAGGGAAAGTGAGCAGATGCCGAGTTGGCTCGATATGCCCGGGAGCTCAATGGAGATTTCCGAATGAGCGTCCGGGTTTCAACGCGAGTGATTGACCAATATTTAGACGAGGGGAAATGGAACAAAGATAAGATGGATGGGATCGAGCTTCTCGTAAAGTACGATTCAGCTGGTGTTTGCGCCTAGTTATGGGGAGTGACTCGGCAAAAAGGCTCCAGCACTAGAGGCCGACCAACAGGCGACTTTTTAGGCTCGAGTTAGTTACCTGACTTATTCGCGCTCCGATCCATCCACAGTAGTCGGGGGGGCTTATGCGCTAAAGGCGCCTCCAACGACCGCGGAAGGCTGCCGCCCACAGCGGGTGGTTGATGTGCTGACACCACCGCCTGGGCGCATGCTGAAAGGGAGGTCCAAGCGCTGACGTAATTGGTCGCCTGTAGGCCCAAAACGAACTCACTTCCCGTCCCGTACCTTTTGTTCCAGACGTTCCCTGGCGACGGGCCAGCTTCCCCGGACCAATCCATGGATGCTTGGAGGTGATAAAATTGGAGGGTACCTAGGAGACGCTACAAAGTGCACACCCATTGTTATCGGTGTTGGATCTGGCAGGCCGGAGCGCGCATGCCGGGATAATAAGGTAAGGTCCCTTGCGCGATTCTCTTTGCACACTGCACCTCTGTCTCCGCCGCTTCCATCTTCCAGGGACCCAAACATCTTGCTCGAGAGTTGGTCAGCGATGTAACAAAGCATGGACTTAGACTGAAATGCGATGAGGATTCCAAGGCCAGAGGAGCATCCCAGGTGGAGGCTGGCCACTCAGTACCCAGCGCCCTTCATAGTGCGTGCCATTTGAAGAACCTCCGCAGGCCGGGCTACAGCACGCATGAAGATGGATTGGATTGCAATAGGCGCACCCTCTTAGAATTGTTCTATACTATGGCAGTCCTATAAATTCTGTCACACTCAACGACCCTGCAGCAGAAGGATGGATTTGATCCATACCAATCTACAAGTACTGAGCAGCCTGAATCGGGTCGGGCACCCGCTCACCTTCTCTCGTCTCCACTGGGCTGGCGATCGTCTCTGTTAGTCTGAGAATTTCAATGCTCCAGATATCATCCTAACTATTTGTGACTCTCACCGTACATTGCAAGACTCAAAAACATCACGGTTCCAAGGCTCCCCTTCCTAGTTTCCTTTTCCTGTTGCGTATTCAAAAGACCGGCACTGCATAACGGCGGCCCCAGACTGTCGCCATGTCCGACGACGAGGCCGACCCCGAGCTCCTCGAGCTGCTGCGCCAGCACTTACAAGGCAAGCTCAACGTGAGCGAGGAGCCCGAGACCGGCGTCCTCGAGAGCGCAGAGTACGTCTACGACAACGCCATCGACGTCGCCATCGACATGCGCTCGACCAAGCGCGCCGCCGCCGCCATCCACAGCCAGATGCAGCAGAAGAACTACTCGACCGCGACCTGGGCCGAGCACGAGCTCCACCCCAAGGCCAAGGACGAGAGCACCGTCGCCTTCATCTTCACCATGGACCTGCTGAACTTCTCCTTCTGGTCCGAGCTGCCGGACGACAAGCGGTTCGCCGTCTCGTACAGGGACAAGACCTGGACCGGGTACTGGAGCCTGGTCGCATCCATCCAGCGGGCGCTGGATGAAGGTGAGTGAGCGCCCGAGTTTCTTCCCCTGATATGTCAAACCATCATGCTCGTAGGTTCAGAAACCAACTAAATATGCATCCCGTAAGATATCCCAATCACCAGCTCTGATTTCTGGCAGAGCGAGGAAGAGTGCACCCTCGAGTGCCTGCGGCACGTCTTCCGGTCCTGCACGGACGAGGAGATCCCCCTCCTGGAGGAGCGGCTGGCATGCCTGCGCGAAGCAGGCCAGGTGATGTACGAGGTAAGCACCACAGCCCAGCCACCACACACAACATCTCTCTATCCTCGACGATGTTTTTGTTGTTTTGCATGTCCGTCGGGCACTGAATTCTTACCCCCGCGCGCTCGCCGCACCGCAGAAATACGAGTGCAGCTTCACCAACCTCATCGACGCCGCCGCTGGCTCGGCGGCGGGGCTCGTGAACATCCTCGCGCGCGACTTTGCGTGCTTCAGGGACGAGCACGCCTTTGACGGCCGGCGCAAGCCGGTCCGGTTCCTCAAGAGGGCCCAGATCCTCGTCGCGGACATCTGGGCCTGCTTCCAGGGCGAGGGCTACGGCGAGTTCCGCGACATTGACAAGATCACCATGTTTGCCGACTACCGCGTCCCGCAGATCCTCAACACGATGGGCTGCCTGTACTACAGCCCCTTGGTCGACATGACTGTGCGGCAGAGGAGCCTCATCCCCAGTGGTAGCAGCTGGGAGATGCAGCTTAGGGGTAAGTGAGCACCCGTCCCTGGACGTGCCAGCAGTCAAGCTAATCATGCACACAACAGCATGCAGCATCTGGTGTGTCGAGCTCATCAGGCGAGAGATACTGGCACAGCATCCAGACACCAAGGTCAATGCCATATTGATTGACTTCTTCTTGTATGATCTCATGAAGGAAATGGAAGCAAACAACCAAGAAACGATACCCCACCATAGAACCAGAAGCATTTGGTATTGAACCCAATAAGAAGAAAACCTCCTATCGGTCGCTATATCGGCCACAAACAAATTTGCCTACGTATGGAAAGCCAATTTCGATCCGGTTAGTGGGCGGATTCGCTACCCGAGCGTGATATTCGTACAAAGCCAAAGAAATAGTTGGCCAGAGCGCCAGACGCCATCAACCCCCTCCAAAGCAAGACCCAGCCACAAAACCCATACATGCATGAACTAAGAAGTGATGGCGGTGGAGTTCATGATGCTGTCCATCTGTGCCGTCTGGACGCCCTTGCGGCCCTTGGCCTCCTCCTTCAGCAGGACGGCAAGCACTTCGATGGGCGGGTTGAGGCCCAACTTGTTGGCTCGCATCCAGCGCCGAGTCCGGGTGATGCCAATACATGGCTATGTACTCTACATTAGTGATTTGGCTTCGAGTGGACCAGAGACGAGGGAGGCAGGTTGACATACTCCATACTGCGAGCTGACATCGAAATACCGCAGCACTTTCTCTGAAGTGTCCAAGTCCTCTTGGTGCACCCTCTTCGCGATGCGCTCGGCCTCGACGCCCCTCCAGTACTTGTTGATCTGTGCGTCGGTGATCTTCTCGGCGTCTACCTCTGCCTCTGACTTTTCCGGGACCGGAGCGGCCTCCTCCTGCTCCTCTTTCTCCGGCTCCTCGACCTCGACCTCGACCTTGGAGACTATCTCCTCTTTCTCTTCCTCCTCAGGCTTTGCCGACTTGGAGAGCGGCGAGGGCTTGGCTGGAGTAGTGTCGACCTTCTTGCTAGCGGGGGCTTCGATGGCGGCCTCCTTGGCAGACTTGGGGACAGCCTTGGTGACCCTGTGATTGAAACTGAGGGTCGACTGCTTGCTGGTGGGTGCTGCAGTCCGGCCGCCCGAAGCTTTGCGTGTGGTAACCATGGTAGACTGCTGCTCGGAACTCTCGCTAGGCAGGCAGAGCGGGGTGAGAACTGGTCCCGAGAGACTTTGCAGTTGTCGATGACCAAGAAATTGAGTATGATCTTGGAAAGCCCAAGATCTTTCAGTCAGCGTCAAAGGAATAGAAAATAGCCCTTTGACTTGAGAATACGCTGGAGGGGAAGAACACACTCAATTGGTTTCTCAGCTGACAATGAGTGCGGGCGTGATTCGCTGGTATCAATGACGGAATTGGGGAGGATTAGCCAGGGCCAAAAGGCTGGCGGGGCAACGCCAAAAGTACGGGTGAGCACGTGAGTTTTAGAGCGAATCGAGCTTCCAAGGTCGATTTCCACCATCATCGCCCAATACTGTCTTGTCCGCTGGCATAAAACGTTGGGAAATCTTCTTTCATGTGTTTTTTTTTTTTGGGGGTAGAAATATATGTAAACTCAAACTATGAGTTTCTGCAGTAGTTGCGTGTGAAGGCCTTACTTCGAGGCTGGCTTCAACAGATAGATGAGCGACCGTCGATGCCTCCAAGACGGTGGCGTCCCTCACATGTCCTGAGCAACAACGGCCTCCTGCTTCTCCCACCATCTCTGTAGGCCCTGTACATCGCACCAGTCCAGGTGCGTCGGGTTTTCAAGCCACCACGGCGCCCCGTCTGGCCGTCTCTCATTCGCATACATCTTGAGACTGCCCCCGTCAAACCGGTGGTTCTTCACGCCAAGCAGCAGCACAACGCTGCCCTCTTCGGGAGCGAACGACTCTGGGTCGAGAAACACGGTGAGATGGACTTGCTTCTTTGTCGACGGGTCGGCAAGCCGTGCAACCCTCTGCTGGTAGGGCGGCAGGTGTGATGGCTCGACCCCTGATAGCTCGGCCACGACAGCCAGCACATTGACCCTCCAGTTCTGCTTGTACGGCAGCAATGGGATCGACCGCAGGCTGGTCAGCTTCAGAGGCTGGGCTGGGTCGTCGGATGCCCAGGGGAGCTGGTTCGCAGCGGCGCCGTAAGCAGATCCTGGTCTTGCAGCCGCCTCCCTCATCTCGCCGGCCTGGGTGCGTCGTGTGTTTGCTTTTTCCTGGGACACCTGCATCGTCTCGAACTCGTCGTCGCCATCCGATAGGTCCTGGTCGGCGTGGCTGACAGGGGCCTTCACCCCCGTGCTCGCATATCCAGCATGCACTACTTGTACTTGGACATCTTCCACCAATTGCGGCGGACGCTGGTTCTCTGAGAGCTCTTCGGACCTTTTGATGGCCTCCAAGTACGAGCGGCTGGATCCAACAGGGATCATCCGCTCCACGAGCAGGTAGACAAGCTTCGGGCCATCGTCCGAACTATTTCGATCAGGCTTGCCGCCCAGTTTTCCGGCCTTGAAGCAATGCAGGGTGGACTTGACCAGCCTCACATATGTTCCGACGCACACGTTCTCGTTGTCTATCAGACTGTGAAGCTCCGGGCTCAGAAGCGCTTGTATACAGAGCCTGCCATCCCCGAGCATCAGACGCACAGCTCTGTGCAGCCTCGAAATGGGAACCTTGGCATCGACGCCCTCGACCAAGAAGAGCGAGTTGGGCACGCAGACCCCCGTTTTCAGAAGGCCGTCTATCAGCGGCTCGAGTCGCGGCTCGCTGCTGGGATCGGCTGGCGACAGCGCCCTAGCGTGGCCAGCAGGGGTCTGTATGCTGGGCTGTCCGGCCATTTGCTGATGATTTCTTGCCGTGCATGATTGAAGGATGCTGCCTTGATCTGATCTCACCTCCTGTGAACGGCCATCACGATGAGCAAAGAAAGCCTCATCTCGTCAAAAGAGACATGAATGCAGAAAGCAACGCCGCATCGGCTAAAACGCCTGGTACGCGACTTTGGACGAGCTATTAGCCACTAACAAACGGTTCCCTAACCCTCAGTACTGCACTTTCGCCGCCCAAACAGTGAATGGAGCATCCCCCAAGTTTGTCCCACAATTTCTTTTTGTGACTTGACTGACCGCCAAAGACTGGACTGCCGCCTTGAGAGTGCGACAGTGCACCGAGTTCAACGACAGCCCATGAGTCTCCGGGTTTTGCAGACGCCAGCCTCTTCTTTCCTCCGGCGCCCGCTCCGCGATCTACCGTCTTCCCTGCCGCGGCCGCCTCGCACCTTGAACCGCTCCCAGATCCGCACAATGGCTTCGAGTACGTCCTGAATCGCCCGCCCCTGAACCTGCCCAAATCCCCCACCCCACCATACCAAGATATCAAGACCGGAGAGACCAAAGAGACAGATAGACATGGCACGCAAACTCGGCTAACACTTTCCCCTCCCCCCCTCCCCTGTGAAGCCCTCCCCCCGGACCGCCGACCGCTCGTCATCTCAGGCCCCTCGGGCGTCGGCAAGGGCACCCTGTACAAGATGCTCTTCGACCGGCACCCAGAGACCTTCACCCTCTCCGTCTCGCACACGACCCGCGCCCCGCGGCCGGGCGAGTCCGACGGCGTGCACTACCACTTCGTCAGCATGGAGGACTTCGAGTCGCTCATCGGCAAGCAGGGCTTCGTCGAGCACGCCAAGTTTGGCGGCAACCGCTACGGCACGAGCAAGATGACCATCGAGGAGCAGGGCGCCAAGGGCCGCGTCGTGGTGCTCGACATCGAGATGGAGGTGAGTTGTAGCAACAAACAAGAAGAAGAAGAAAGCCCAAGAAGGAAAATGAAGTAAAAGGCAATCTGTGCTGACTACTTTTTTTGATATTATACAGGGCGTCAAGCAGATCAAGCAGTCGACCATGTCGGCGCGGTACATCTTCATCGCGCCGCCGTCCGAGGAGGAGCTCGAGAAGCGCCTGCGCGGCCGCGGCACCGAGAAGGAGCAGAGCATCCAGAACCGCCTGCAGCAGGCCAAGCTGGAGCTCGAGTACGCCAAGACCCCGGGCGTCCACGAGAAGATCATCGTCAACGACGACCTCGAGAAGGCCTACAAGGAGCTCGAGGACTTTGTCTACAAGCCGCTCGAGTCATGACCAGCAGTGGTGGCTGCCGGCTGATGATGTCCCCTTTTCTTTTGCCCATTTTCATGTTCCAGGCGCTATTACGATAGAGAAAAGAGCTGGCCTGCCAAATCAGCTGGCTGGCTGCAATAGACTTCGACATAGATCGGCACCTTTTTCCTCCTCAAGAGAGGAAACTAGAACTTGTTGGGAAGTGACCGCCATAACATCTCATTTGATTTCATCAGGTATCGAAACTAGCTCTTAGAGACATTAGAGGTCGAGGCTGGATGATTAGAAGAAGTGTGGGAACAAATCTGAAAAAGGCTTTGGGGAATACTAAAAGAAAATAGCTGTAAGAACGTCCAGGCCGTCGGCAAGTATACGTTTGCCAACATAAAAAAACAAAGCATTAGACCACTAAAAGACATGGCCTGCGCCGTCACACCAATTCCCGCAACAGTTCCTGCCTCTCCCAGCGGCCTCTCTAAAACTTTTTCTTTCTTGAGAAACATCGAGAATACTTTTTTGGTCCTCGTGGCTAATGCAGTGATGTCGTGGGGAATCGGCGATTAAGATGAAGAAGGGAGACGAGCAAATCCGCTCACAACCCTCGGGGATTCGTCGTGAGGTCGGGGCTTAGTAGCCGTTCATGGTCATGCGTTGCGAGTTTCGGCTGAGCTCGCGGTCAGCGGAAGGGCTGATGGGCCTGCTGCCGTGACCTTGTGCGCTGCTCTCCTTCAGGGCCAGAAGCTGCTTGGCACGGAAGGTCTCGTAGTGGATCTGCGAGGTGGTCTCGATCAAGTCCTGAAGGTGGGTCCTGAGGAGGAAGTTGCGCAGGTAGACAAACTCGCAGTGGTTCTCGTCCTCGATGTTGATGACACCCCATCGGTTCTGGCGAGCGGGGACCTGCTTGCCGTTGACAATGATGGACTTCTCGGAGCCGACGACGGCGAAGGGAACCAGGCTCTGCAGAAAGGTGTTAGACACAAGTGATAATAGCTCGGAATTGCAACAGCAGAAAAACGAACCTTGATCTGGGTGTTGACGTTGCGCTCCTCCTCATCCAGGTCATCGTTGTCGTAGGGGTACATCTTCAGGTTGTGGAAGGCGAACTCCTCCTTGATGCGCTCCTTGAACTCCTGGCGCTCCTCGAGGGTGAGAGAGTCGGCCTTGGCGATGACGGGAACGACGTTGACGACATCGGACAGCTTCTTCAGAACGACAATGTCGATGGGCTTGAGGGAGTGACCCGAGGGCTGGATGAAGAACAAGCAGCAGTGGATGCGAGTGTCCTGGATGTAGCGCTCACGCTGAGCAGTGAGCTCCTTTCGCAGGTAGGCAGAGTGCTGGTCCTTGATGTACTTGACGATGGGGTCCCAGCATCGGTCGTTGTTGATCAGGTCGCCGTAGCCGGGGGTGTCGACAATGTTCAAGCGCAGCCGGACACCGTTCTCCTCGATGATGTGGGAGACGGGGTGGATCTCGGTGGTCGAACGGATGACCTCCTCGGGCTGCAGCCTACCCTTGGACTCCATGAGGTGGGAGGCGAAGATGGTGTTGATCAGAGTCGACTTGCCCAGACCGGTCTGGCCTATACAATGGAGAAGTGACGGTCAGTGTCGGGAGTCCGATCAGGGAAGTCCGTTGCAGACAGCACGGCAGATAGCTCCCAAGGTAGATGGGCATCACTTACCAACACAGATGACGTTGAACTGGAATCCACGCTTCAGGAGCTTGCGCTCGATCTGGGAAGTGATGCTGTCGAAACCGACATGGCTCTGGGGGTAGATGGTGGCAGCAGGCATGGTCGCCATTGTGGACAGGAAGCCAAGCTATGGACACCGATCGAGATGAGCAATGAGGCGGGATTGAGTGGATGGAAGCCGGAGACAGCGACAGGTCTGGACCGGACGTGGGCAAAAGGTCAAGGTCGAGGCCGGCGAGGGATGCGAAGGACAAGTGACGGGTTTCGAATGTCGTGATGAGTTTCGAAGATGAAGGCTGGTGGTTAGGTAGATTTTAGGGGGCTTTCCCGCCTTCTTGCCAGCGAAGTTGCCAAACAATAATTTCCGTTTGAGTGGTGACAGGGGTTGCACGGGTCCTGGAGAGTGGGTGTGGGCAGAAAGGGGGGGCAAGGGGGCGGGAGGAGGCAGTTGAGCGAGGGACTGAACGAAAAAGACGGTGGGAGCTGGGTGCTAACTTTCAGGGGATCCGGGCCTCTAACGCCCAAGCTTGGCCGACTAGTACTAACAGATGGCCCCTGTGGATTGGTGCAGAGCTGTTAGGGTCACCTGGAATACCTAAATACCCAGCTACTGTGGGGTTCCTGTCACTCCCTTTCTGTCTTCTCTCTCGTGTTTCCCCAGCCCAACTAAACGTGCCATTGGCTCGAAACGGACACGGCTCCTCAGGGACAACCGCACTTTGCCTGTAGCGCTCGGACCACAACCATTTCTCTCTCATTGGGCGCGCAGGGACCTCTTATCAAGCTTACAATACTGTGCCGAATCGCGCTAGTATTTTTTCGAGACTGAGATGCACTCCAGCCGTCGATCGTGTGAGCGAACCTGAAGCAACTGCACCCTCGGCACCACATCATATCTCGAGAACCGACATAGTCAATTGGCTTCTGGTCCCCAGGACTTGCAACAGACATCTTGAATCCGATCTGTCTGCGGACCTACCATCAGTCACAACCTAGAATCAGGAAAGGGGCGCAACGAACCTGCCGTCGATCGATCCACGGCAAACCTCGAACCACAATGGCGATGGCGGCGCAACTCAAGACGGCCGCAGGCCTGTCCTTGCTACCAAAGCTCTCCTCCCCGGCCTTGTTCTCAAGTTCGAGATTCGCCTCGCTGTACATGCGCCAGCTCTCCATTCCTCTACTCCCCGCCTTGGCCGTCACAGTGCCAAGCTCAATACACCTCAACATCCCAACTCTACCAGGGCTCCTCGAAGGCATCTGGGAGTCAGTACTGCGGGCTGTGCCCAAGAAGAAGACGTCACACATGAAGAAGCGACACAGGCAGATGGCCGGCAAGGCGCTCAAGGACGTCAACTCCTTGTGCAAGTGCCCCGCTTGCGGACGGGTGAAGAGGATGCATCATCTGTGTCCTTATTGTACCAAAGGTTGGTGACAGTCCACTGTTTTCAGTGTCAGCCAGATTTTCTAACTATACGTTGCAGAAATCCGGCAAATGATGAACACGGATGCAAAGGAGCAACGAGCTACGACGGCAGCGTAATGCGTCCACTGGCTTGCTTCAAACGACCTGGTAGGGGCTTGACACTCGCAAGGGATGAGAGGATAAAGCCGACTGCCACTCAAATACACTACAAAAAGGCACCTCCGACAATTCTACCCATGTATCATACTGTTTCATCACATCTAGTCGGCATTTAGTAGGCGTTGCGTCCACGGCTGGGTCGCTTTGTATTTCTACCTTGAGCATGGCCCAAATAGTCATGTGTATATCCCAGCAAAACACTCTGGAACAGAGAACCTCTTCAAGCCACTTTGCCAGAACATAGAGTGAACAGAAGAAATTGATAGGGAGGCCTCAAAGTGTATTGTAATTCAGATCCAAGTAGAGAAAGCGATAGAGTAAACCTAGGTAGCGTCGATGGCAAACGACGCAGACTGCGTCGTGCTCTTCAAAAAGCAAACACATTCTAAGAACAACATCTTTCTGGCCTGATGTGCATAAAATAAACTCAATCGAGAGCTACAGCACAAATAATAACCTTAAAAGTACCAGACATTGTGGCAGATGGCTCAAAAATCATTTGATCAACCCTCGTCTCATCACTGACGGAAAGGACGTCACAACCGACCCCACATTACAACATCCAGCCTGGGACAAACCGCACCTGCGATCCAGCAACCTTCTCATCATCCCAGGCAAAAGCAAAGCTTGCAAGCTGATGGAGCGATAGCAATGGTATGGCGATACTCCAGATCCCGAGTGGCATGCAACTCTCAGCCTGACTTTGTGTCTAGTCGAAACAGTACCTCACCACGCACACCGTGGACAATGGTGAGCTCTCTCGTGCCCCTCCACCAGACCAGCTTCTGCGAATGATGGCAGTCCTACAGACGAGAAATACGCTTCTAACCCTCTTCCAGCCCACATAACCGACATCTTCGGCCTCGCGCCGACCCCGACCGCCCTCCTCTCCGCCTCGGGATCCTCGACCCTGCACGTCCACAGCACCGCCGACCCCACCATCCCCATCACCCAGTCCATATCCGACGCCCACAAGCTCGGCTGCCACCACATCTGCACGGCGCGTGGCGGCCCGGGCGCCGTCGCCGCCTCGGCCGGCTTCGGTGGCGAGGTCAAGGTCTGGAGCCGCACCGACGCCGGCGACTGGGTCCTGCACCTCGAGCTGCTGCCCACGGACCCGGACGGCGCCGACGTCTGGGCCATCGCCCTCAGCGCCAACGAGCAGTACCTCGCCTGCACGACGCACGACGGCCGCGTCTGCGTCTGGGACCTGCCCGCCAAGAAGAGGATACAGGTCTACGAGACGGGCACGGCCGGCGCCGGCAGCTTCGCCATGAGCGTCGACCTGAGCCGCGACGGGCGCCTGACGGCCAGCGGGCACCAGAGCGGTGCTGTCTACGTGTTCAACAACGACACGGGGAGGCTCATATACTCCCTCTCCGGTGAGTGTTCTTGAGGGACAGAGCTCGGGCCAAGAGTTGGGAAGATATGCTGACAAAGAGCCCAGGCCTCGCGAAGCCCGTCCGGGCTGTCGCCTTCACTCCGCTGGGCACTCGCCTGGCCGCGGCAGGCGATGCCGGCGTCATCGCGCTTTACGATATGCAGCACGGTGAGCATATTGGCAACCTCACTTCCGGGACCTCATCGGCCTGGATCACGTCACTCGACTTCTCGGACACCGGCGAGTTCCTCTTGTCCGGTGCCATGGACGGCAAGGTCAAGGTCTGGTCCATCGAGCGGGGTATCTGCGTCGCGACGCACAGCGAGACGGAGAGGGCGCTTTGGAGCGTCCGATGGCTGCCCAAGGGCGGCCATAGTGGAGACGCCATGAAGGGCGAGAGATTCTGCACTGCGGGCGCTAATAGGAGCATCACTTTCTACCGGGAGGCCACGGGCTCCTGAGATACACAACATCTCAAGGGAACTCAAACTTTCAGGCCGGACGATTCCCGTCCGAGTCACTTGCCGGCCAGTAAAGCGACCTCATGGGAGCATCTTTACAGATGGGTGGGAAAACTGACCCAATAACGGCTTGCTGTCTATGAGGAAACTCAGGGGGTTGCATCACGGAACAGTCAACATTCCAAGTTGCTCCATTGCAACATTGTACTTGTTTTGTTGCGCTCGTCATAGAACAGAGCAGATGCTACGGTAGAATACCAAGAAGGTTTGACTTGGAACTAATCCCAGACCCGAATATGAAAGAGGAATGAGACAGTCACAAACAGAGCTTCTCCTGTGCACCTGCCGTCCTCTCCCTTGCTTCGAAGAGTTTATAAAACATGGAAATTGCAATTAAACTAAAAGGACGTGGAGTATCTCGGCCCGCTACAAGAAATGCAAATCAACAACACCAACGCTAATGGACTATTACTCAAGTGTTTCCCTTCCGATAATCTGCCCTGCTCTTCAGACCATTAAGTCCTAGAAACCTGCCCAGCAGCAGATCCGCCCTCAGCTGTCCCTCAGCGGCAACCTGCTCAGCGGCCTCATCACCTTGCCTCCCGATGCTGCTCCTCCTCCCGCGTTTACGCCGCCGACGCCCTGCGGCCTCTGCAAGGGCCACCCAGGACTCTCGGTCCGCGCGACGGCAGCCTTGTTCGAGTTGAGCGTCCCGAACGGGCTCACTGTGCTGGCGCCCAGCCACTTCTGTAGACTGGGAGCAGCGGCAACCGCGTTCGAGTCCTGAGAGTACTGCGAGCTCGGCGAGAACGCCTCGGACGGCACCCTTTGTCCCTGGGCGGCGGCGCCGGGTCTGCCGTCAGCAGCACCGGCAGACAGCTTCCTCGGGAACAGGCTGAACGAGGTCCCGGCCGGGCCGCCCTGGCTCCGTGGCGGGGGCGGGTTCCCGATGGTCACCCCGGGGCCCCCGGGCCCGCTGATCGCCACGCTGTAGTCGCTCTGCGCCACGCCGAAGCCGCCGACGCCGCTGCCCGCGGGCGTCATGACGGGCTCCGGCGGCGCCAGCTTCTCCTTGATGTCGGGCTGGTAGCGTACGAGGCTGTCCTGGCTGCTGGCGAAGGGGTTGTTCGCGCGGCCGCCTGGCGCGGACGAAGACGACGACTGCCGGCGCGGGTAGCTCACGTCGCGGCGGCGTTGGTCGCTCTGCTCGCCCGCCCTCTGCTTCTTCTTCTCGCGGCGCTTGAGCAGCAGCCAGAAGACGGCGATGGTGAGCAGGACGGTGCCGATGAAGGTGCCCACGACGGCGAGGGCCGCCTGCGTGACGGACACGGCGGCGCCCTGGGCTTGTTCTACTTGCGTGGCTGCGTTTTGCTGTATGACACAAAAAGCGGTCAGCTATCACTTTCTCATAAAAACTCTGGAAGAGAGGGTGCTGGAAGAAGCAGAAGAGGGAGGAAACTCACCCTCGCGAGCGTGGCGTCGGCCTGCGCGATGCGCACCTGGCTGCTGGCCGCGACCATGAGCTCGCGCGCCGACGAGCTCGCCGCCGCCAGCACGCTCGACATGGTGGCCGCCGCGCCGCTCGTCAGGGCCTGCATGGCCGAGCCCGCCGACTCGCGCGCCTGCCGGACGGCCTGGTCCGCCGACTGCGACGCCTGGCGCGCCGACTCCTGCGCCTGCTGCACCGACTGCTGCAGGTCGCGCACCGACTGCGACAGCTGCTGCGTCGACTGCGTCAGCTGCTGCACCGACTGCGACAGCTGCTGCGACGACTGCGACACCTGCCGGCTCGCCTGGCTGACGGACGAGGCGACGCTCGAGATGGACGCGATCTGCTGGCTGAGCGCCTGGATCTGGCCGTCGTCCTGGCGCGCCTGCAGTAGGCACGGCGCGGGCGTGATCTGGGCCATGTCGGCCGTCGGCGCGGCCGCGGCCTGCGCCTCCTGCTGCTGCTGCTGCTGGTCTAGTCTCCTCTGTCGAGTTTGCCGCCGCAGCGCCGCGTGTTGTTGAGATCCCACTGCCGTACCACCCTCCTCGCTAGGCGCCGCCGCCACCCTCCTCCACACATCACCCCAGGCCTGCTCGACCGCATCTGCGGCCTGCCTCGCTCGAGGATGCCTCGTGCCGTCGTCCGCCCAGGCGGAGCTGGCTGAGAGCAGGAGCAGCAGAGCCAGCTGCACTAACCGTCTCTTTGATATTGACATGTCGTCCTTTGATTTTGCTTTTCTTCTTCGCCCCCAATAAGTGTTGTATTGTATGATATTGTATGAGAGTGAATAAGGTTATAAACAAGGAAACAGGAAAGCAATCATCTTGCGCTGGTTAAAATCGTGAGGATCTTGTTTTCGCAAGGCGAGAAAGGGAAAACAAAAGGGAAAATAGGCAGAAGTCGACGAGGAAACAGAGACGGGAGGATCCCCTCATGATCCTCCTCGCCCTGCTCCTCCTCCTCCTCCTCCTCCTCCTCTGGCAAGCGGCTCTCGGTTTGCGACACCCAGCTGCCCTGGTCCTTTCCCTACCTTACCTGCCTTGCCGGACACTTAGCAAGCCGCGCCATTGGGGGGGTCATGCTACCAGGAAAAACTCCCGTCTTGACACGGCTCGCCAACCGATCCCCCTGTGCAGGGCCCTTCCTTGGCCTGGCTGGCTGGCTGGCTGGCTGGCTGGCTGGCTGGCTGGCTTGACAGCTGACAGTGAGGGCGAACGACAAGAGAGATGTGATGAGTTGGTAGGGCTCATGCTTGCGTGGATCAATCAGCTGGGAACCCGGTCCTAGATGGTTGACAGTTTCCAAATCGTCAGAGACAAGCTCGCAGAACCGGGGTTTCGTAGTGGTGTAAGTGGGGATCGGCGTCTGAGCGTGCCCCGGGACGAGAGACGCAGTGGAAACCGACATCTCAATGCGACCAACTTTTGTAGAGCGAGAGCCGGCATCAATCGAGCTTGTTTTCCCGGTGTCTCAGATGCTACCAGGTAAACCTGCCCATCGGGTTAGCGAGCAAAGTTTATCTTGACTTGGAAGATCCCTCTCATTTCGTTGTGGACGGCTTGCAACGTTGGCAGCCGTTAACCGAGCAAGGGGATCTATCGGCTTGAGCCTCTTCCATGGCCAAGCTTACCGACGGAGAAAGAAGAAAGAATCCGATCTTCTTTCTCATCAGTCCTAGTAGCTAACCATGCAGGGTCAAGTGTACCTAACTCCTCGCTGGGGATCCTTGAACCATACTTTGTGTAAACCAACCTCTGATTGGTACAGAGAAACGAACACGAATCACCTTTGACAGTTGAAACCTGTATAACACATCACTAGATCATATGCAACAGCGACATCTATGGGCGATCAACCTTGTGATCATGCGTCCGGGAACATGATGTGAACAAGTTCACGTCAAAAACACCGATCACGTTAATGCAGTATCACTAAGTCGATTGTGATCTATGCATCGCTTGACAGAAGTGCGACCTGCAGTGTCTCAACCCCAATCAGGAAAGCGACCGTGGCCCCTGAAACACTGAAACATGCTCGCCGTCCATCTATATACAGTCATACAGCCAGAAAGTCTAAAAGCCACAGAACGCCTTCATTTTCAGCTTCTAGACACCATTATAGCATAACTTCATCCCAACCCAACGCCGGGATGCTTGACTCCCTTTCCACATTTTGGTGATGTCGTGCGACACTTTCGCTACTGTTTGGTTGTTGTAGCATCTGAGATGTGTCACCAGCTCTTATTAGTACAGTCTGCCATGCCCGCTTCGCAGTGCATTGCAGAATCGTTCGTTGATATCGTATTCCTAGTTGCGATTCTCCGTGGTTGGAGAGAAAAAGGACGGAGTAGCATTGCTTCCAATCCACAAGCTGCGAGAGTTTCGAAGGGATTTGTTGCCGTAGTCCCCAGTTCTTAGACCGGCAGCTTGAACTTCTTGCCCTTGAGAACCTTCTGGTAGTAGATCCAGAAGAAGTCGCTGTAGAGGATGGTCTGAATGATACCAGCGACAGCGGCAATCCAGTCAACCTTGTGGTCAACCTCGGTGAAATATCGCCAGAGCCAGTTGGGGATGTAGAGCGCGCGGTAGATGCCCAGTGCGAAGAGGTAGTGGGTGGTGATGGTCTCGGCCTCTCCTGTGCGCTGAAGCATGAAGAGCTGGGGCAGAATAGCGACTGACTCGAGCCAGATGGAGAAGGCCCAGAAGATCTCCCAGAGGTTGTACTTGTAGGGGAGCAGGATGGCGAGAACCGCGGCCCCTCCAAGCAGGTACTGAACTCGGAAAGTGTCAAGGTTTGGGTCGTTGGTGGGCTTGTAAGCTGTGGTCATGAGGTAGATGATGTAGCCCTGCGTGCCGATGAAGAGGATCTTGAAAACCAGGTTGTACAGGCTGGACGTCGAGAAGAGATCTGCGAGGGTAGGGTGCCTGGTTAGCATAATCTCTCAACTGTTAGCAGCGCGTGGAGAATGCCGTACCGAGATATCTGGTGATGTAGACGAGGAAATAGAGAGCTTGGGACTTGAACGAGATGCCGGAACAGCTCTGCAATTCGAGATTAGCAAGGCACCAGGAGAACCGAGAGGATTCTCTCAACTAACGCTCATCTGCGTCATCTTGTGCAAAAGAATCATAATCGACGCCAGATGGGAGAAGTCCCCTGGTAGACAGCTTGTTAGCTTTGAACCTGCAACCAGAGCTCCCCTCCCCAAGGACGTGGCTGGTCACTTACCCAGGACGCGGAAAATGTTCAACATGTTGGCGAGCTGTCCGTTGGATGCGCCGATGTGGGATCAAGGCTCACAGCAGAGAGCTGCCTAGTACCAGCGACGACAATGTGGCTGGCCTCTCAATTGGTGATTTGGTCGCAGATCCGATTGCGCAAGAGGAAATGGTGATTGGGAGTACTCGGGTGTTGAAGCTGGAGACAGAACATGTGGAAGGGCGTTTTTGGTTTGGTTTGGCGAAAGGACACGAACGCGACTTGGCGCTCATTGGCCGGCTTTAGCTTCTGGTGCCGCTACTGTCGCAGTGACGCACATCTCAACTTTGTCTTGCAGCAGCCGGCCAGCGGGACGTTTTGGGTAGTCCAGGCCTCTTTTCAGGTACAGACCCACCCGAGTCCACTGGCACAGCCAATGGCCAGCGCCCCAGTTCTGCCGAAATGAGGCCCTGTACATCCCGTAAAATTAGTAGCGTTTTAGGCGGTCTGGCAGCTAAGAAACAGTGCCAAGGCCCCGTTTTTGGCTACTAACAACACCACCCGCCATTCCAGGCTGCACTCTGTTAGTGCGTGGCTCGGGCAGTGCATGACCAGGCCTTCTGACGTATTACCAAGCTGCCTGACAAAGCAAACGCCCGTCGTCCTCTGTGGCGTGGAAGCTTCGACGACAACGACACCACCGACCGTGACGGTCACGCCGGCCTGCTGAGGCAAACTTCCCTTCTTTTCATATAACGTTTGCCTGATTTGTTATGCCCTACTCTATCTAGATACCATCCATAAAACTCGCCTTCGCTGCACCGCATCAGTCTTGGACGATCTCCAAACCCTCGCAAACACTCCCCCGACCATCACCACCACTCTTCCACCTCCCAGCTCGAGAAAACCGCCTCTCCGACCTTTGCGCGCAAGAGGCGCCCCAGCCTTCTAAACTTGCCTAAGAAACAACATGCAAGACCCTACAGACACACCGCCATCAGAACCCCAGCCTCAATATGACGGCCACCATCCGTCCTCGCCAGACGCAGCGGCGGAGCCCCTCGACCGCCCCATCTCCCTGACCGTCACCCACGCCGGCCAGACCCGCGCCTTCAGCTTCCCCTCCTCCGCCACACTCGAGGACCTGACCCTCGAGTGCGAAGACGCCTGGGGCCCCGAGTACGACTGGTCCTCGCACAAGCTCATCGCCCCTCCCCCGGCGGGGCTCCTCAAGCCCGCCGACCGGCCGGACGAGCCCCTGGCGCCCCTGCTCCTCGGCGGCAAGAAGCTGCGCCTCCTGGCCACGAAGCTCAGGGACGTCGACGCCCTGCGCTCCGCCGCCAGCCTCGCCCGCCGCCGCGACGAGCGCCGGGCCGCCCAGCGCCGCGACGCCCGCAGGCCTCAGCGCTCGGCGCCGCAGACGTCCCGCCAGGACGCGGCCTACACCTTCCTCCAGATCCGGCCGCTGCCAAACCTGCCGAACCCGCAGCGCAGCCGCGCCTTCCTCGAGCGCCTGCGCGACGACCCGGGCATCCGCGCCGCCATGCGCGCGCACCGCTTCGCCGTCGGCCTGCTGACGGAGATGGACCCGCTGTCCTACACGCAGCAGTCGCACGAGGGCACCACGCGCGTCCTGGGCCTGAACCGCAACAAGGGCGAGGTCATCGAGCTGCGCCTGCGCACCGACGCCTACGACGGCTACCGCGACTACCGCACCATCCGCAAGACGCTGTGCCACGAGCTCGCGCACAACGTGCACGGCCCGCACGACCGCGACTTCTGGGACCTGTGCCACGCCATCGAGCGCGAGGTCGACAGGGCCGACTGGAGGCACGGCGGGCGCAGCGTCGGGGACGCCCCCGTGTACGACCCCGAGGGCAGCAGGGACGAGGAGGCCGAGCCGCTGGACCACGGCGGGTGGACGGGCGGCGAGTACGTGCTCGGCGGTGGGCCGTCGTCGTCGTCGTCCGCGTCGTCGAGGGCCGGCGAAGGAGGCGAGCCGCCCCTGAGCAGGAGGGAGATCTTGGCCAAGGCTGCCGAGGAGAGGATACGGAGGATGAACGAGGACAGTCCCAGGAGTAACGGTGGGCGGAGCGAGGGCTCGTCGTCAAAGTAGAGCTGCGTGTCTGTCTCTGTTCTCTGACACTGTATTTGATCTCCAGTCACTACTGGAATGTCGCATGATTGTGTTTTGGCATAGCAGGGGCGTTTGTTTGTCTTTTGTTAATATACCATGGTTAGTTAGTTCAAGGATCAGTGTAACGCGCAAGAACTCGGTTCAAAGTCATCAGTCAACATGAGGAGCATATACCGCAAAAGTACCGGGTGTATATAACAGATTAAACCATATGTAATTGGACCTGGGTATCGTAGGTGCTATGTAATGCTGCAACTGCACACAGACAGAACGCGATTCAAACGCATATCTTGATGCCACAACGGGCAAACAGACGACCTTGTGGGATCGTCGTCGACATGTCCTCCTCCTTTTCCGTCCCTCCAGTTTCCCGTCCAGTTCGAACAGAGGGTAGATGTTATCCGCCCACGGCCTAGCAAAGGCAACCCCCGAGTCCCTATTCTGCGGTTCCGTGAAGATGAAAGCTTCCTCGTGTTTGCCTGCCCGTTATGCGAATGCCGAATGACAAGAATTTTCGAACCCTGAACACCGAACCCAATGCAATGCCGAATCGAGCCCTATGCCTTCCCTCCCGATTATATACAAGTCTCGTTTGCTTGAGCCGTGCAGTCATCGCGTTACCGTTCGAGCTCTCCACAGGAGGTCTAGCTTTAGGACGAAGCTGCTCCAATATAGGTAGTTCGGTGACTGGCGCAATGTCGAAACGCCGGTAGTTGGCGTTGTCAAATACCGGACTCCACCCAACACGAGTTTGCCTCGTTACGGGGCAGTTGTCTTCTCTTTGGCAATAAGCTGACACGGTCGACGAACTGACGGGAATGCCATCAACTGTGTTCACTGGCCCCGAAAAGTCGTAGTATCGCCCATGGCCCTCTCTTCTTACTGCCCCTGTTGATCTTGTTGTCCTTCCGGATGCTGCTCCTGGCCCTCCTGCGGTGGCGGCTCGGGTATTTTGACCCATTCCTTGATATCAGCCTGCCACTGGTGTCTACAAAGAAGTTGTTAGTATCAAGAGATGAACCCCCAGAGACAAGATCGTTCGGCTTACCCTTCCCAGACCGTGGTTACGAGACTCTTGGTCCCATACTCCTCGGTGAGAATGCGGTCAAAGCTGTAGGGGATGGTGGCAGGGACGCCCTCGAACTCGGACTCGCGCATGGGGTAGAGGTCGGTGGTGCGGTAGCGGTGGTAGTTCTTGCAGCTCCACAGGCCCGGGTCGGAGCTCGGGTTGCGCTCGGCCAGGCCCGTGATGTCGACAAACATGCCGTTGCTGACGTCGATCCAGCGGGCGTCGATGACGTTCTGCCCGTCGCCTCGGTCCCTCTCCGCGTGGTGGGGGTTGACGTCGAGCAGATACGTCTTGGTTGCCGTCTCGCCCGTCTCGTCTCGGAAGGTGTACTCGTGCGTCGTCCGGTTGTGGTGCTTGCCCAGGTAGTACAGGGACGCCGTGGACACCTGGACGTCCAGGTCGTAGTCCCAGGGCATGATGCGGCCGTTCCACCACCAGCCCAGCAGGGTGCCGTGCGCCAGCCACGTCTCGACGTTGAGCTTGCGCAGCGTCGTCAGATAGGACCGGATCAGGTGGCGCAGGGCCGGGCGGTGCTCGTCGTAGGGCACCAGGCCTTTGAAGTACCGGATGTCATAGTGGCCGTGCTCGTTGTCTCCTCCCGGCTCGTGGAAGTACTTGGTGTCGACCGAGTCATCTCGCTTCTCTAGATTCGCGACCTGGGCTGGTACGACTCCCGAGACCGCCAGCGAGGCCAAAGGCAGAAGAGAGAGCAAGGTCCGTACGGGCTTCATCGCTTCTTCTGGGGGTTTGATGGAGCTACCGAGACCGCATGGGTGATGGGGCTTTGGCAAACTTCAAGGTGGCGGCGGATGTGACGTCTTTCCAGAACAATGATCGAGTGGATAGCTGGTGGAAGCGATGCGTGTGGTCTACAACCAAGTATCGCTGATCTCGTTGTGCAGGTGAGTGAGTAGTGAATCGTTTGTGCACCCTGCCGCTGACGAAGTCGTGCGAGCCCCTAATCCGGTCGGTTTGATCCTCTAATTCAGATAAAAAGAACGTCCGTCGTTGCCGTGGATGTTTTTGTTTTGCAGATTAAAGTTTCAGTATGCAGGCGTGGAGACGAAACAGATGCAAGGCCGTGATGATGGAATCCCCAACAGATGCCCTGGGATCGAACTGGATGCAATGACTTGGGTATAGTTAAGGACTGTCGGCCGTCAAGACGTCATACACACGCGCGCGCGTATATCACGAAGGTATTTCGTAGCAAAAAAAAAGGAACGGAGCGGGAAAGAAGTGCAGAAGAAGGAAAAGGCGAGCACAGAGATCCGGGGCAGACGGATCTGATATTGAAGCAGGAGGTCACACAAGCACACATTAGAAGGATGCGGGAGAGGAGAGGCAGAGGAGAGGCTTGGAGGTTATAAGTGACAAATAAGGCAGGAAGGGACGTGAGAGATGGGAGGACCGGGGTCGTGAGGAAAGCCAAGACGGCCAAGCGTCCTGATGAGGTACCACGTCGTGTGAGGTGTACATCAGCCCGCTGTACCGCCCCGGGTCTGACCAGTGACTGTAGAGAGAGAGAAACCAGCCCGACTTGGACATGGGGCAAACAGCAGAGAGAGAGAGGGAGAGAGAGAGAAATGGGGGTGCACGATGGGGGTGGATGGGGCTACGTAACGGACCGTCCGCAGATTCCAGTCCCTTCCTACTCCGTACAAGTACTCGGTAGAGGCACAGGCAGTGAGGGATGCTGAGGGATCACTGATGGGATGGCAAATACGGACGAGGTGGACCGGGATGGGCACACACGAATAACACCAGTGACCTCCCTACCGTGTAATACGATCATCGCAATTGGAGCCTTTTGCCAAGGCAAGGGAGATTGTCCGTGTGCCTCAACCACCTACTCCGTACTAGACGCTGGGAGGGAACGGACACCTTGGGATCTTGTCAACATGCCGGAATGGCGGACACGCGACCAGGCCAACCGCCCGCCACACTCCTGCTCAACTCCGTCTGTCCCTCAGGGTTGCCTCTAGCTGCAGTTCTAGGCTTGCGCGTCCACCAGATAAGGTTGTCCAATCTCTGACTACCGGGTGAACCGATCTAACTAGCAAGTTCTTTAGGTAAGGTAGGGGAGGGAAAAAAAAGCAAGACTATTTTCATTGACCGTTTCAGAGGGTGAATTGCCTACTCCGTACAGTAGCGTTGTGCCGTGTACGGGATGCATCCACCCCGTTCCTGATCTTTGGGGAAGACACAGTGACAGGCTGGCAGAGTTGAGATGAGCAAGGCAGGGCTCAAGAGAAGGTCCGCCTTCAAAGATCTTGGCACTCTTGGCAAAGAGGCAGAAACCTTGAATGCGGCAACTTGTCGCATGACGGCAGCTCCACCAGTCCAAACGGATTCACGGCTCAACCGGCGGGATTGTCATGACGGCGGGACGTCAGAATCGGTGGGTGCTGCTGCTGCTCGCTGCAACACCTCTCCACATTATATCCACATTCTTCTTTTCTCGCTTTTTTCGACAACCACAAGGAATCTATCTGTGTGCAGCGTTTGACAACCAAGACACCGCGTTCGACGCAGACCGAGAATCGTTGTGTGAGCTGCCATTCAGTCTCGTTGTGGTCAGAAGAGGACAGGAATGCCAGCCACAACTACAACTAGTATCACCGTTTGATCTGTGGCCCCGAGACCCCTGGTGTCCGACTACCTTACTACTTACATTAGACACGGCACTGGCGGTAACTACTGTCGATAGTGACTTGGTCCGAGGGTACCCATTGAGGCTCATCTGCGTCGTGTGCTTTTCCTTTTTCACCTCCTCTGTTCGGTTACCGAGCTGACGGGAAGCCTCCCCAGCTTCCATTGGCAAGACTGGCAACATTTCCGCCTCATTTCCTCCAAAGGGACGCACACTCGTCAGAAGCCAACGTCACCCCGTCGCACCATTCTTCAGCCCTCATCGCGGGAATGCTAGGGCCAGTCTGTTTTGGGACAGGCAAGGGACGAGTCCGCGGCGCTAGGGCCTGTATCTGGTGATAGACCGCGGCACTTGTCTTCTAAGCGGACAATAAGTTCCTCTGGCCGCTCACGATAGCGCTGGTCTAGACAGGTCTTGGCGCCCATGCTTAACTCTGGATTCGCGTCTCCAGGGCTGTGTCCACGCTAGCAAGCCAAAGAGGGAGGTGCGCTCATCTAGAGAGTGAAACTGTATTCACGAAGAGTCCATCGTAGGGTTGCAAGCTCTAACTACTTGTAGGTATTATAAGTGCAGGGTACTTTACAAGTAGTGGTAGTAGGCTATTCTTGTTCAGACGATCAGTTGGCTCCGACCATCTCTCCGGCTTCACGCTTGCAAGACATCCCACATCCCATCCAGACGGCCAAGGGCAACATAGCCTGCCTATCGCATCCCTTGAAACAACCTAGGCTATCTACCGAGGTGCACGCCTGTAGGCAGTGCCGCGCGGGCGCCGTCTGATGTTACCGATTGCGTTCCCGCCGTCGCCCTTCATCAATGCTTTGCATCCATGTTGCTTTCCAAGGCTGGTGGAACAACAACCTCCCCAAGTTCGGGCTGTCGCTTCCCAAGATCCAGTAAGAGGCCGCTGAACGCGCGTCTTGTAGGCCCGTTCAGGCCTAGCGCCATCGTCAAAGATTGAGCGCCCCGGGGGATGTGCAAGGGGCTGGTCCAAAATTACGCATGACTTTTACCTCCAAAACCATAATTTGACCCCCTGATAAACATACGCACGCACGTGGATGAGAAAAAGCATCACCGCTGTTGCTGTCCCCCCTCCCCGCGTCGCGCTGCGAGAGAATGGGAATCTAGACCGTTCTTCATGGAGGTGGCCTCGATATAGTTAGAGTACAAGGGCAGACGCAGACTCTCAAGTGGCTACTTACCTGGACAGAGTGACCCGTCGCCTCGGTTCCCTGCCGCACGTCACCAGAACCGGACACCCACTCCTGTCTGTGTACATACAAGTTCCGTGTTCCACTTGGTCTCAGACATCATACATCATAGGCATTCTGACCGTTATGTATGTACATACCATATCTCACTTCCCTTTCCGTCTCACAAAGGAGGAGACAACTCCCAGTCCGTCTTGGCTCTGCGCCGCATTCTCTGAAATGACATGGGCCCAGTGTGTCTCATACCCAGTTTGAACACATCCTGCGAACAAGGACAGCGAGCGACACGGATTTAAGACCAGTGTTTGCTGAATCCGAAGATACAAGCAAACAAACTTGGCCCAAAAAAAACCAACAAAAGTACACAACATCCTGCGGGAGGGCATTTGGGCCATCAAATCCGTGCCGAGTTCCGTTTGCTGTCCCCCTCTGACCCCATTGCCAAGACCGTATTCTCTGATATTTTCTGGGGCTCGCTGCCCAGAGGATTACACAGGCGCCCGCAGCTCGTCCAATCTCACGGCCTCGACGGCCAAGGGAGGCGAGAAGCGAACTGCAAGTCTCTCCTGTCAGCTTGGTGACATGTCTTGCATGTTCTTCAATGTCGCGTGTCCACCTGCCTGCTTGTCTTGTGTGTTCTGTTGATGCTGGCGACACTGTCTGTCTCTGTGTCCTGCGGCATGCATTGATACGGACCACCAGGACATCTTATCTCTCTCGGCTATCGCTTCCACAACCGTGCCTAGCCTCTCAAACTTGGACAAAGAGGCGTTCCGGTGCTCCTCTCCTGTGGCGGCGTGGGCTAGATAAGGAACGCTCTGGTCCGTGATAAGGACTCAGACTGGCTACGACATGACGATGGTCGGTGGGATGAGACAAGCCACCAACACGCTTCTCGAGCGTGAGGCGTATGTGTGCGTGCCGTTATCCGTTGACGAACTGGGTACTGGGGAGGGGATGACTACGAACATCGTGCCAGGATCGCTCACGCCAGGCTGACAGCCAACGGTCTACTTAAACCGCTTCGTTCTCCCGTCGCGCATTCGTGATGACACTAAGGAGCGCCCACCTCCCGCGGGCAGACGCCTATCATCCAACGTCTATGCACGCTGTTAGTCGTCTTGGCAGGAAGCTACTACCAAAGCGGAAGCCTTAAGACTCGGGTGTGAGGTTCAAGGTTGGGGGGGATCCAGATTTTGCTTTTGGCTCGAGCTGTCAACAGCGTGAAAGACCAGTGCTTGTTTGGATGGTACGCAAGATTCCCGTGCACCGAAGCAGCCAGCTGCTTTTTCCCTAGAGGGAGAGAGGCTGCGTCGACTCGTTACGCGATATCTAGACCAGATACAGTCTGTCGCAGTGAGCACTCTCTTCTCACGCGTGCTTTGCAGATCTCAGGACCCGACAACGTCCTCGACTGCTCTGTCTTTGTGAGCCCTTGCTCCATGGCTGCACTGCCACGAGCGACCCGTCTGTCGGCCGCCAGTACGAGTGGGAGGGGCGCGGAGAGGCGGTATGGATCTCGAGTCGTTTCTCAGTGCGGAAATCATGCTCCAGCTCTCGTCCATGTAAGGCCCAAGTCGTTCGTCATATGCGGTCACAGCGGCTTAGAATAGTAGATGAGCTAGACAAAACACTGCATTGGTCTGCTAACAACTCTTGAGACATTTAAAAACGAATACGAATGTGTTATTGCTGCCCCGTAAAGTGTAGTTTACAAAGGATACATCAGTTCACTACAGTAGCTTTTTGCGATCTTCACGCGAAGCGGATTTCTAGCAAAGGAAGTCATTGCACCTAATAGAAGCGAGCACTCCTCTCCGCAACATTGAGGAATTAGCTTGGTGAAGGCATGCTGGAATATCGAGTATATTACAATGCCCAATTCATCAACTGTATGTCACATTTAGGCGTGTTGATCTTATTACTATTCTTGTTTGCCAACGATCTCCAACCCAATTCGTGATGTTCAGCCCCTTTTCGCTTGAAACGTGCGATCGACCGGCCCCTACCCACACCCCCTTTCCAAGGTTGTGCGGTGTGAGAACTGAACATGATACTTCTCTACACTGTCATAGACCTCGAGCGAGAGTCTGCTGAGTGTCCATCGTACCAGGGGCCGTTGATGCCGTCGATCAAGAGAATGTCGAGGGATACGGCCAAGTCTGGGCTTTTCTGAACTACAAGCGACGGAGATATCAGAGAACAGTCTCTGAAACAATGGACGCGACAATGACTTGTAATAAACGATGTAGCCATAATTAGTCGATGATTGAGGAGAGCAAGGTATAGCAAGTGTCCTTTGAGCGTGCCTTGAAATGCTCTCTCACCTCCCCTGGAGATCCCGTCAATGAGACCAACTTTGTTCGCCCGATCACCACCAGGAGAAAACCCTGGCATTGGAAGGACGGATATTGAAATCATATCATATGCCTAAAATATTCATATCATCCCCAAGACCAGTCGAGTTTAAGCTGCATGTTTCTTCGCCCAAGAAGAACCGCAATTCAGATATCAGTGCTCGTCTCGTCCCTTCCCGTGAAGACCTTGTACAGCCTCTTGCTCACGGCCTGCCCAATGGACCTGTCCGAGAAGGCCCCGTCCTTGTTGGCGCTCTTGCGGCAGTCCTCCAGCCTCAGCGGCCCGCCCTCCTCCAGGCCCCGGACGAGCTTCGCGACCGAGTCGAACTCGGCGGCGACGCCGTACGCTATCGGCGCCGTCACCCGCACGATCTCCTGCATCATCCGGACGTACGTATCCCTCCTGCCGTCCCCGGTGCGCACCTGGCCCGTCTCCATGCAGAAGGCGGCCGTGTCGTTGAACTGCTCCTTCTGCCGCCGGTAGGGGATGGTCGAGATGTGCTGCGTGAACGTGGTGATCCACTGCGCCGTCTCCACGGACGTGTTGGTGTGGTGGATGAGCACGCCGTGGACGACCTGCAGCTGCAGCAGCGCGTCTTCGACGCTGTCCTCGTCGATGTACTCCTGGGGCTGGTCCTTCTTCCTCCGGCGCGGCGGCTGGGTGCTGGGAGGAGCGGCGGTGGCAGAGTCGTCTCCGTTGCCCCTGACGGCGGACACGAACTGCCGATTCCGTACGTTTCGGTTCTTTCGCATCCACGGAGTGAGCCCCTCAATTAGATAGATGATATCCTGATCTCGGAAGTGGCGCTGCATCCTGAGAACGTGGGCCTCTAGATCTTCTCCGTCGTCGGCGAGAGCGAGCTTAACAAACTCCGCCGCCTGCACGACAACCATTACATGGTTTTCGGGCTGTATGCGCGTCGGAACAGGTTCCCAGTGCCCCAGCTCGTCGTTGAACCTGCTGCTTACTTTCCTCCGCCACTTGATGACATTGTCCAGGGGGGCGGCCCAAGAGTTTGACTGGACCGAGATGTCCCGGAGTAGCTCCTCGGCCTGCAGCTTGACAGTCGGGTTCAGAGTCGAAGATAGATCCACAATCATCTCGGGGCTCGAGACTTTCTTGTCCGTCCGGACCTTGTTGACCTCCGCAAGGGCGGCAGTTCTTTGCTTCTCGCGAGCTTTCTGCTCTTTGGCCAACTCTTTCTCCTTCCTCTTGCGTTCTCTTTCAGCTTCCTTCGCGGCGGCTTGCTCCTGGTTATCCCGCGAGCACTGACTCTTGTTGGTCGGATTCACCGGCTTGGCCGTCAGGGCCTTTCGTGCTGGGACCTCGTCAGTGCGTGCGTTTGCATAGCGCGCCGCGAGGGCCTCAGCCCTGAGCTTGGAAACATCAAGATCACCGAGCTCAGGGAACTCGCTGTCCGAAGAAGCCTTCAACCCGCCGTCATCGTCATCAGAATCACTAAGCTCGATGACCTCGGATCGACTGCGTAGCAAAGTCTTTGAATGTGAAATTTCAATCGGTTTGTCCTTCCGCTCCGCTTCTGGAGCCGAGCTCGATATCGGATCCCATCCCAGGACCTTCCTTGGAGACTTGGTCTTTAGTTGCACAGGGGTACTCTTGAACGGATCAGAGTCCAATGCTGTGTTGGTTTCCGGACCTGCCCTTTGCAGTTCACGGTCGGCGCGTTTTGGGGAGGAAGTGGCAAAGGGATCCTCAACCCGAGGTAAACTTTGCACAGGGCTGCGAGTAGGTGGGCCAATCTCTGGGGAGCTGGTGAACTCGATCGGGTCAGGCCCCAGCTGTGGTAGTCTTTGGCGGTGGAATCGCACGCCAGATGGTTCTGAGGATCCTTTGGTTAACGCAGACGTCCGCAGGACCTCTTCATCTGGCTCCTTTGACACCCTCCGTCTTTTTGGAGAGCGATAGTCGATGTCTAATGAAGCCCCTCCAATCTCACCGGTGGATCTGAAGTCATCAGATGTGAAGTAGAGATCATATGTGGCGTTGGTACCACTCGTTCGTGAACCAGCCAGGGAGATGGGAGGGAGATCTTGGTCATAACCTGGTGGCGCCCACCTATGAGCTGGTTTTGCTTTTGTGAACTCGCGGATATCCGAAGTCAATGATCTTGCAGCTGGGAACGATCTTGTAGGCGAGGCTGTGCCAGATCCAGTCAAGTCGTGAGATGGCGCCGCGGCTGGCGGGCTGGAGAGGAGGTCAATGACTTCCACAGGCATGTTGCGAAGGGGCTAGAAGCAAATGCGTGTTTCTGTAAGCGAAGGGAAAAAGATATGGAGCTACTTTTGAGCCATATCGCAATGATCATTAGACAAACCGGGAGGACTTGGTTGTCATTCCTAGCGTAATGGTCCGCCGTTGGCTTCATCAAATGAATCTATTACGCGTTGGCGCGACCCGCGAGACTGACGCACGGTCACGTGATAGCGCTCGTGACTACCTGGGTACCTAACTTGGGTGAGCGCGATCCAGTCAACGATGTAAGTACAGAGATCGAGCAGAGTAGGAGCAGCCACAGAGCCATGCTTGCCGCGGCGAATGGGAAACCCAAGTCATGCTCGAGTCAATCGACCGAAGCACTCGGAGCATGTCCAGGATCGACAGGGCAAGACCGCAAGACCAAGAGGCGAGGAACAAACAACGAGCCTGCTTTTTCGCGTATGTTTCATCAGCACCCGCGAGATGAGCGATCACTGTCCGATTGAAACATTGGGCCAATCAAAATCGAATCACAGCGATGGCTTGCAGCCCAAGTTGCAGGCTTACAAGGTTGCAGGGTGCTTCTGTGGACAGGGTATGCTGCAAGCCAGAGGGCCATCAATCACAGGTACAATCTGCACCGGACAGGGACAGTCGAGAACACACCGGAAGAGACGGCGCATGCACCAGCAGCAAGCAGAAGATGCCCACAATCGGAGAATAATAAGCTGCGCTAGCTACGACTGCACTATTGTCCACATCTCTCGATTCAATGTGCAGAAAAGCCGCAGTCTGGGGTACATTGCATCAAGTCAAGCCAGCATGTGCGCCGTTCTCCCCCCCCCCTGATTCTCGGTCTAGCGGTTGGTCGTCACTGGGAGTTGTGCCTCCGTTCAATTGGCCACAGTGAGACATGCCATGCGGAACGGGACGGCGTCTGGAATGCTCTGCTTGCACAACGATGCGGGGCCGCGCCGGCCCAGATGCACCGATCAATGTCTGGACGACAATTCGAAGTTTCGAATAAGCCAGAGAGAAGATGCAGGCAGGCATGACTACACCATCTACGGCGAGCATGTTCGGACCTCAGTACTCTCGCCGAAGCATCCATCTCCTCGGCGCTTTGACACGGCTTGTTAGTTGTGCCACCTCACCACTGAATGCCAAGATCTGGCGAATGCAGGATGTGACCGCCTTTATCAACTTCAAGGTCACCCTTTTATCATGGCGTGCATGCGCTTCTGCCTGCAACTCTGGGTTATCATACCACTGAACCAGAGATTGAGACGGAAAGTTCCACGCAGCTACCTGCACTGACCTTGCAAGACAGACAGGGCCTGATGTCTTGGCCAGATTGGCTGTTGAAAGGGTTACCCCTCCTTGGAAGCGAGCACTCGACCACATCGCGAGAGACAATGGTTCGGCAGAAAGCGTAGAATCAAACGGGTTCATGCTCTTCGACGTCGATCTCTGTCGAGATCCTTGTATTATGCGGTGTGAGGCTCTGCTTGCGGCGTCATTCGCGGATTCTAGTAGCTTGATCCTGGTCCGGCATGAGGTTTTCTGCAGCGCAAAACTGTCTTGCTCGATCACGGGAGCCCACGCCTACATTAGAAGTCCGCTTCTTCTCCCAAAGAGGCTATAGTCAGCTCCTCACTATGGCCGTGTCACGCACCAGAGGTGCAGTTACGCTTTTCAATGCCGTGCTTGCATTGCTTCTGTCCCAATCTTTCAGCACGCATATGGTTTCCTGCCACGTCCCGTCCTCGTCCAGTGAACTAAGGAAAACCTGTTTCCTTATCAAGTTGCAGGATTCGAGGTCTCTGGAGAATGCGCAGCGATGGTACTCCACAGCGGCTAGACCATGTGCCTCACCAGGCCTTGAGCTCAGGCCTCTTCCAGTCTGCCTCCAATTTCGCCATCGTTGCCCATTCCCCACCCTGAGATGGGATGATGAGCACCAAAGGAGCGAGCCAAAACCGGAAGACAAACGCAGCGCCCCGCAAAGTGATTTACAAGTGCAAGCAGAAGTGGTTTCGGGGGCGCTGAAACGACGGCGAGAACACGCCTCTTTCCAAGGATTGTGGTCACAGACCACTGGCACATGTCTACGAGTCAGATACCTGGACACACAGCCCTGGATTATGGGCAAACCATGTCCCAAGACGAAGCGTGTGCGCAGTGGCACGGTCTACGTACTCTGTTGACATGGTCACTTACCAGCGTTACATTGGTGCGACGCCACTGTTGTTTCTTCAGTGTGATTAAGGATGATAAGCTGGACAACGCACCAACGGGCTTTGCACATGTTCAACTTCACATACCAAGCCAAAATCACCTGCATTTCTCATTATCGTGGGCGCGTATGGTGTTTTGGCGAGTCGGTGTGGGCGATGTTGATGATTTGAGAGAGGCTGACGAGTTGGTATAGCTACCCCCCTTTTTTTTCCTATCCTTGATTGACGAGACGGGAATGGTCCCAGGTGCTCGGAAATGAGCCGCCAGCCATCCTCGCAAGTGATCGTCCTGACTGGCTCTCGCAGAGCATGCTCTATCCCCTTTTCGACCACTCATTTGGATACTTGCCGTCAGTGCACTAGGATCTTGATCGCTTCATGTACTTGTAGTTATGGATCTATCAGCCTGTGTCGCATTGGGAAGCCAATGGGATGTTTGACGAGACACGTTCTCGTCGAGAAACATGCTCTAGCTACTTGTACTAGCGGGACGCTGATTGTGTGATTCAACACGCAGTAGTTAGATGCTCGCAAGACCTCTGAGGGCGGGGTATCGCGGCAGCGCGATCAGAAAAGTTTGGTACGCCGCTGTCAAAGCGGACGCAAAGGGTTGTTCTTGATGTTTTCTTTTGCTGGTACGCTTGCTGGTAGTGCTGGTCTAGAAGGACGACCCGGGAGGCTAGAGTGAGACATGCCAACACCCACAAACGGCCTGATCGGATGCCCACAAGTCTGAGGCATGTGCATGCCTTGCGTGCTTCAGGAAAGGTCGCAAAACACATGTCACAGGTTCGGACGTTTTTGTCGAGCCCCGGACATTGCGCACCAGCTATCGATTGCATGTACTAGTACTGCCGCATCTTCTTGTGATGAAGACGAGCACGGCGACTGACTGATTCGGCCTAGACGATGAGAATCCTAGCTGCCCCTTTTTGGATTTCTCGCTTGTTGGAAGCTTAATCGCGTGGGTGTGTGCCCCCCAAAGGCGCCATTGCTCACTGCTGCTTCTCAGAGCCGGCTTGTCTCTTCGCAAAAGGGGCCATTCCTTCGGGCCACTCCCGTGTGTGCCGGCCACACACACCACACACTGGCGTTGGCTTCTGGGCTGGCCCTTTTGTCGAGATCTGTACGTAGGTACAAGTCCAAGCAGGTATCATCCACAGCGTGATCAGCGTTGAGAGTACTCAGCCGTTGTAACCTGCCCAAGCCACCCTGTCGTCCCAAAAGCCCCGACACGCTAGGATAGTGTGCAAGGCCGACTTTGACGCCTACCATTGGACTGTGATGCACCTGTGTGGGTGCTCCGTGTCCCTGCATCCGGAGCGCCATGCTGAATGGATGTCTAACAAGCGGTAGTGTACACCACGGTCCAGGTCTCCCCTGATTCTGCTCGAAGCGGACGAATAGAATCTGACCAATCTTCCCTTTTCTGTTTCCCTCGCTTCTCTTACAAGTATATCTCCAGATCACGCCTCTCATCGCCAATCCAGAGGCATGGGCGCTACCTGAGTGATACTGTGAAGGTGTCTCGTCGAAATACCTACAATTTCATCTTTCTGTCCGTAAACGCCCCAGATTTGCGGTGCATCGCTTGGCTTGGCTCCATTCTCTGGTCTCAATCTAACAACCCCCCTAACCTGAGAGCGTGGTTTTCGTTGGTTCTCCACTGGACCGCCCCAGTTCCTCGTGGGACGCGCCGTCTGGCTTGTGCGGACAACCTAGTCTCTTAACGTCCAAGGGGACCCTTTTCATCCGCTAATAAGGCATGGTCGACAGGGTGCCAGGGACCTACTTGTACCTCGTTTTTCTCAAGTCAAGTGCCTGGAGACTCGTTTGAGTTGCATTGACGGATGGTACCAAAAATGGTGTATTATAGGTATGTAGTACTTGTAAGTCTGATTTGTGCTGACGAGGGATACATCGTGCATTCTCTGGACTGTTTTTTTTGGGGGATGAATGCTCTGGGGCGAGAGTGCGAGAGAAGAGTGACCTCTCTCGAGCAGAGTACGTATCTACAGACACACAAACTTGACTTGGCGACCGGCTGTTCCTGGGCTGAGAAGCCCACCTGGTGGTGTACTTGTTGTAAGAGGACAGGACTGCTCGTTTTGAAGGCCCATCACTCCCCTTTCTGGACACACACCAGAATGGGTCGTCGCCGTGAACCCTCGTTGATCCGTCCCTTTTGCCCCTGGTCATCTAAAGTAGCCCTGGAGGTAACTACCAGACCTAATAAGTTAGTGCCCGCAGTGAGGCAGGTACCTGCTCTTCGGCCTTACCTGCCTGCCTGCCTGCCTACTCCGTACCTATGTAGCTAGATGTCGTGCTACTTTTTTTCTTTTCTCATCCGACTCCCCCTACTCCGTACTCCCTCTCGAGCTTGCTTCCTTTCTCGAGGCCGTCGTCCCTTTCATCCATTGCCTGCTTCGTTTTCCTGCTCGGTGGACCCCATCGACGCACTTCGTTCGTTGTTGAAGTTGGTTTCTTGTCTCGTGGGATTTACCTTGCAGAATTAAAGCGCCTGGAATCGGATGCATTGATACTGCCACCGCCCGACGTCTGGGACGCGTTTTTAATTTGCCAATACCCTTGTCGCAACCAAACAAACAGTCGCAAAGGGGTGCTCAGCGCCTGCCTGCACGAAAAAGCCGACAGCACCTTTGCAGAGGCCGAATAAGACTGCGGCTGTGCACTTCGACATTCGTTCTCCACGGTCAGTCGCAGACTGAACCAGATAAAGACCTTGGCCCCCCAGAACGAGTCTTCTGTTCGCAACCGAGGCGGGCGCATCTCTCCCAAGGATCCGGAACGGGAGCCCTACTTACGACAATTGGTACAGGTGGAGGACGATCAACCACTACCGCGGGGCGAAAAATTACGGTTTCAAACATTCCAGCGGCCTTCTAGGGCAGCGCGCGGCCGTTGCCTTCCGTCCCGTCCCATTATCCGAAACAACAGTCAATAGGACGGCAAAATCTGGGCCCTTATAAAGATCGGGACACCCGCAATCAACCGTCGCCCACCATGACGAGCTCGCCGCCAGGATCGCCGGGCCCTCTTCCCCAGCGACCCATGAGCGCCATGGTGCGAGCAGCGCCCCGAAGCAACAGCCGCATGAGCACGAACAGCCGGGCCGGTGGTGGAAGCAGAGCCTCAGACGAAGATGGGAAGACCGCGGTCCGAGTTGGTGAGTTTGAACTTGTCATTTGAACACCGAGCGCGCCGCTACAAGACAAGTCGCGGGAGAAGGAGCGCACATCGACTAACATGCTTTGTCCTAGCCGTGCGAGTCCGGCCCCCTTTAAAGCCCACCGATCCAGGATTCGATCTTATCCCTCAGCGATTTCAGCGATCTATGGTCCAGGTCACCTCAAATACGAACCTCGCTATTGATGCGCCTCAGGGCAAGAAGCTCTTCGTTTTCGACCGCGTGTTTGGTTCCGAGGTGGATCAAGAAGGGATTTGGGAGTACCTGAGCGATTGCGTGAATGCCTTCACGCAAGGATACAATGTCTCTCTCCTGGCTTATGGCCAGTCTGGCGCTGGAAAGTCCTACACCATGGGCACCTCCGGACCCTCCGAGCAGGACGACTTGGATGCAATGGGTGAGTAATCCAGTCTTCTAGGTGCACAAGATCCAGTTGCCAGAGGCTTTTCTCCTTGCGCGCGCAACAAAGACTTGAGTGAAGCTGACCAGATTGTCCCAAATTATAGGCGTCATTCCGCGCGCCGCAACGGCTCTTTTTGAGAAGCTCGAGGGTCCCAAGGCTACCTCGAATAGGAGTTCAATGTCCCACCTGCGCGCACCAAAAGGTTATCAGACTGTGAATCTTTCCAAAGGGGAGAAGAACTGGACGTTGCGTGCCACTTACGTGGAGATCTACAATGAGCAGCTGCGCGATCTGCTCATCCCAGAGAACGTACCTGCGCACGAACGAGGCACCGTGACCATCCGAGAAGATACAAAGGGAAACATCATCCTGACGGGATTGCGACAAGTGGAGGTCAACTCTGTTGATGATCTCATGAAGGCGCTCAACTTTGGTTCGACATTGCGACAGACGGATGCGACAGCTATAAATGCCCGGTCTTCTCGATCGCACGCCGTCTTTAGTCTAAACTTGGTACAGCGGAAGCCCGGCGTGCAGCAGACGAGCAAGGCCGAGAAGCGGTTCTCAGTACCCATCGAAGCCATGACGGGATCAGAAACCTGGGTCACTACGGACAGTAAATTGCACTTTGTCGATTTAGCCGGCAGCGAACGGCTCAAGAACACCGGTGCCCAGGGCGAGAGAGCCAAGGAGGGCATTTCTATCAACGCCGGTCTCGCGGCTCTCGGCAAGGTCATCTCGCAGCTCTCCTCGCGCCAGGCCGGCTCCCACGTTTCTTACCGCGATTCCCGCCTGACGAGGCTGCTCCAGGACTCTCTTGGTGGTAATGCTATAACGTACATGATTGCCTGTGTGACGCCCGCCGAGTTCCATCTAAGCGAGACGCTCAACACGGTGCAATATGCGCAGAGGGCCCGTGCTATCCAGAGCAAGCCGAGAATCCAGCAGGTGGAGGAGGGAGACAAGCAAGCAATTATTGATCGGCTCAAGGCCGAAGTGGCTTTCTTGCGCGAGCAGATCCGGAGCGCGGAGAGGGGCGGGGGCGAACGACGCAACATTTCCACAGGCGAGAGGTCCGAGCGGCAGAACGAGCGGGAGGTCGAGCTGCAGAACCAGCTCCTGGACCAGCAGGAGAATTACACGGCGCTAAGCCAGCGGCACGCCAAACTTATTGCCGAGATGGCTAAGGCCCGGGATAATGAGCAGTCGGAGAACCAGCACAACCTCGAAGGCTCCCTGGGCGACAGCGCAACGGAGCGGTTAAATCGCTCCAACAGCTTCGCCCAAGCCGTTGAACAAGTCGTGCTCGAGTACGAGAAGACTATTCAATCGCTGGAGCAGTCCCTTGCCAGCACTCGCACCACCTTGTCTAACACCGAGACGAACCTGCTGGAGAAGGAGACCAAATGCGCCTACGTCGAGACCATCAACGCCCAGCTCCAGTCCCGTTTGCAGAAGCTGATGGACCGCGAAGCCAGCACGGAGAACTACCTCCACGACTTGGAGTCTAAGCTCGACGGCCACACCTCCGGCGAGGAGAAGAATGCTACCATCATTCTGGAGCTCCGGAAGGAGATTGCCAGGATACGCGAGAATGAGGCGACCTGTGAAGATTACATCTCGACTCTCGAGGAGCGTCTTGCCGAGGCCGATCAAGATGCCGAGTTGATGCAGCGCGAGATCGATCGTCTAGAGCAAGTGATTGAGCGACAGAGGAGCTTGGGTAAACTCGACTCCCTGCTTTACGAGCTTGACCATATCCAACAGGAGACTAAGCCTGAACGCGAGGTCGAGCCCGTCAATGGTATGGGCCATCGCCGCAACGCCAGCCGCAGCATCGCCGAGCACTCTCGCAGCCATAGTCATGTGAGCCACCGTAGTCACCACGAGCCAATCCCCGAGGAGGACGACACCATGGAGCAGGCACATGGCACTACCTCGACTGAGGAGGAAGGTGTCCAGCAGGACGCAAAGCCTGGAACCCCAGACCCGGACGAGGCTAGGTTGAACGCACCCGCCGATGTTGACGAGTACCCCGCCAGTCCCGCGCAATCTAAATACGTCGCGGATAAGCTCGAGAGTGTCACCCGGGAGCTCATTGACCTTCGCGTCGACCACGAGACTACTCTCAACGAGTACGACCTCCTTCATGCCAAGTACGAGGAGGCTCTGCGCACCATGGCTGAGCTGCAGGATGCCATGGACGAGGCGCGACACCCTCGGCGGCCCCGAGATTCGATGCTCTCGGTCACCTCGCCCACCGAAACGACCAGACCCTCGTCTTTTTTGTCGGATACGAAGCCCGGAGAGCAGAAGGACAGGAAGTTTTACTCCTTGTCGCGCTCGCTGTCTTCGGAGCTATCCTCAGCTATGGACTCGCCTACTACTATGGAGCACTCTGATGCCGAGACAACCACTGCCCCGCACAAAGAGCAGGTCGAGGAGGAGCTCGAGGCGCAAGACGAGCAGCAGGTCGATGAGAAAGGCCTCGCCGAGGCGACCGAGCACACTGCGAAGGCCGCAGCCCAGAACAAGGAAGAGGTCCAGGAGCAGGCTAAGGAGCATGGCGAGGCTGAGTCAACCGAGACCGTACATGCTGAGCAGGCACAGGCTAAGGAAGCCTCTCTGTCCGAGGACGCTGACCAGGCTGAACTCGCCTCTGAACTTCTGCGCCTCAAGACTCTGGCTGCTGAGAAAGAGACAGCCGAGAAGGAGCTTGCTGAAAAGTACGCCGAGCTGGAGCAGAAGCACCATCTCACACTCGACATGGTCGAGGAGCTCAAGACGGAGGTTGCCAAGTCGCAGATGGTTGAGGCAACATCGCCAAGAACCTCGACACCCGTCATCCGCCGCAAGTCGAGCCAGAATGTTATGATCATTGACCGAGCGCACCGCTCTTTTGCTTCCCTTCGTAACATTGCCGCAGAGCACTTCGAAGAGCAGCCCGATACTATGGCCAACTTTGAGATCAACCTGAATGCGGCTATGCACGAGCTTCACGTTAGATCTGAGCGAATCCAGGAACTCGAGGCCGGTGTCGCGGCGGCGAAGAAGGAGATGGAGACCAAGATGACAATTATCAACGGCCTCACCAGGGAGCGATCCAGCTTGAAGGCATCTCCTATGGATATCTCTGTCGTCTCGACTCTGAAGGATCAGCTCGAGAAGAACGAGAAGCAGCTCAAAGAGATGCAGGACTCGCACGCTCTGCGCGAGCAAGAACTCGAGGCAGAACTCGAGGCTCTCCGCACCTCACTCGAGGCTGCTGGCTCCACGCAAAAGAAGACCGCCGAGGCTGGAGACGAGGCTCCCGCCGCCCAGGAGAAGTCTTTGGATGACCCGCACGGCGAGAAGATCAAGGAGCTGCAGGCCGAGCTTGCCGATTGGGAGAGCAAGCATCAGACTACCCTGGAGTCGATGCAGGCTAGGGAAGAGCAGATGAAGAAGCAAGTCGAAGAGCTCGAGGCCCAGGTCGCAACGGTGAATGCTCAGCTCGCAGAGGCAAGCCAAGTCGCCGAGAAAGATGAGGAGGCCAAGGCAACCGAGGCCAAGCAGCAAAACATGGTTCACATGCTGCGCAGCGAAATCGACGAATACAAGGCCATCATCAACAGCAATGCAGCCAAGGTCGCCGAGCTTGAAGCTGGCCATGCCGCCGCCAAGTCAGAGCTGGAGGAAGTTACCAAGGCTCGCGATGCGGCGGCATCTGATGTCAACTCTCATAAGGAGCTCGTCAGCCAGCTAGAGCAACAGATCGAGGAGCACGAGCAGGCGCTCAAGGCCCACCAGCAGAGTGTGGAAGAACTGCACAGCAAGCACGCCAGGGAGGTCGAGGAGATCAAGGCATCGACCAAAGAAGAGTACGACGAGCAGCTACAAGTCCTCATGTCTGAGCACGCAGAGAACATAAAGATCCTGGAGAGCGAGCTCACAGAAGCCCGCGAGGACTTGATGAAGGTGGCTACCCAGGTGGCGTTTGCTCTGGGTCTCGAGGTCAGCCTTGAGAAGATTTCTGACCGCATCGACGAGCTCGTCGCCAACCAGAAGGCACTCGGGATCAGCCGACAGAAGAACGCAGAGCTCGAGGAGCACGTGCGTGAACTGTCGGGCATCAATGATAACGTCATGCGCGATCTGGAGTCTGTCAAGAACACGCTGAATGGCATGCTCAACACCGATGGAGAGCTCATGAAGAGCCCCCGTGCTTCGGTCGTCGACCAGCTCACCCTCTTCAAGAGGAAGATGAGCGAGCTTGAGACGAAGAACAAGAAGAACTCTCGCCTTGTCGACGAGCTTGAGGAGCAACTACAGACCAACTACGACCAGGCCCAGATCACCAACAACCGTATCTCCACCATGCAGTCTGAGAGAACTGCGCAGCTTGATGAGGCCAACGCGGCCAGGATCAGGATACAGTCTGAGCTCGATACTATCAAGGAGGAATATGCAGCCCTTCAGGTAAGACACAAGATATCACCACTGAAAACTCGGAAGATCGTACATACTAACAATACTGTAGGCCAAGTACGAAGGCATTATCCCTCACGACGGACCACAGCGGTCCAACTCGGCCAGCTCCCAGCTCCACAAGAGCAACTCGGTCTCTTCCCTCCCTTCGCCACCACCCGCCATCCCCCTACCTCCCCTACCGGGCACGACGTCTCCCACGCCTGGCGCTGTCTCACCAACCGGCATGCGCCCGCCCAGCAAAGACCTGGCAATCTCCCAGATCCACGAGGACCAGGAGGCGCGCATCCGTACCATCGAGAAGCACCTGTCAGCCGAGAAGCAGCTTACGCAGACCCTCGAGGAGGCCCTCACCGACCTCGAGCGCCAGTCCAACAAGGTCAAGGCCGACTGCGACGCCTGGCGCCGGCGCTGTACGGAGCTCGAGGCCGAGCTTAAGCAGCTCAAGGAGAAGCCCGAGCAGGACAACCGCTGGAGCCTGCACCAAGTCGAGGAGGAGCGCAAGAAGCGCCGTGATGCCGAGATCGCGAGAGCGCACCTTGAGGAGCGCATGAACGCCATCAACAAGCAGAAGAAGAAGAAGGGCAGCCTCAACTGCTTCTAGGCGACGGCCGTTGGCGCCGTGGTGTCTGTTCGCTGACCTGGGACTTTTTTCATCTACCCCGGGTCGCGAAACGGACGAGAATGCACTGGGAGGACCTGTTCTGATTTGAGGCTGTCTGATTACATACACTTTATACCCTTTTACGCTCTTGTCACAAAGTTGCTACTCTGCATGACCTGCAAACCTATATGGCGTGGAGTTTATCCTTTTTTACGTTGTTTTTGTTGTTGCTTTTCTGCTTCTGTCTAATTCCAGTTTGAGGTTCTGTCTTTTCTACGATCAAGCCTTTACTTTATGTTTGATGATGATTCTGACCTGACTTTTGCTATCTAACCCCCGCCCAACCTTACCTCTGATTCACGTTTGCACTGCATGATAGAAAAAAACAGCCAAAAGGATTGAAAATGCTCCGACCGATGCTGCATGCGAGCGACGCTCCATTCCCATCACTCTCTTACTGCCCCTAGCTGGGCACACGCTATTTGTATCTCCTACCTCTACTTTTCTTGTGTCTTTTTTTGGAGTGTTTTACTATTTCTGTTGCACATCTTTAACTCCAGAGGGGGCACAGATCGCAATATAGCACTGTGTCTTGCCACACCACGGAGCAATTTTCACGTCTGCACATGCTGTTTATGGCTGAGAAGAGAAGAGGAAGGGGGGAAAGCAACACTGCTTTTTTGGTCCTTGATTCATATCTTTTTTTCACGACTTTAGGCAGATTGGTGGACAAAATACGACTTTTTGTTTGTATTCTCACTCCAAAAATGATCCCCCCTGGTGATCTTGTTGTATGTGAACATGAATATGCTCGGAGTGCATTCTCCTGAATCTGTACACAAGCTTATTCACTTCCACCCTCCCGCTCACGCCATGTAACTCTTGGGGAGGGCCGGGGGGCAATAGCAAACTGTCTGTGTCATGGCCGTGCGCTCTGGTCGGAAGTTGTTCCATGGAAACTTCTGTGCGTCGATCATACACGAGGCGGAGCACGGGAAGCACCCAACCACAGGCGCTCCTCTGCCACAAACATCATGCGAACAAGCAACCCCCATTCCTTCTTTTTCCACCCTCATGCTTCCGAGTCGGCTCTTGCCCACTCTCGGATTGTGCCGTGTTCAGCTCGAGGGCCCGAGCGGGCGGAGTGTCCTCTCCATTCCACGGAACCAGCACCTTTGGCCGAGGTCTTCCGTAGCAAGATCACTTGTATTTTTCATTTACTTGAAGCTCGAGGGGGGCCATATTCTAAACTACTCTAGGGTAGTCCGGTTTCATTTCTTGCAGTATAATTGATCATCATGTACTAGACTTGGAATCCTGTCTGCAAAGCCACTCGTATGTCCAGCGAGCGAGGAGGGGCGTTGCGTGTACCGCCGATCGTCCGAGGAACGAGGTCCTGTGTCAAATGTCACCCTGATTCCAGCGAGATGGGTGCATACGATTTCAATGGCTCGGCGGGTGGGATGGTCGATGCGAGGGATTCTCGAACGCATAATTAAGCGCCGCATTTACACGGCGGGCACCACCCCTCGCACGACTGACTGGTCTGCCTCCGAGAACACATGCACGCACACACATATATACAACGCATCCCACTTGGTTTAGCCGCACGTTTGATAAACACTACAGCCCCCAACCGGTACCTCCGAGTCAGATCTCTGGGACCGATGATCATGTCGTGATGCTGGGTTCGCCTCCTCGCCGCTAAGGCAAGGCACGCAGGGTCGGGCCTGGCACCGTTTTGTGACAGAAAGAAGATCTAGTCCATCCCACCCTTGGGCCAGGGAATTTGTATGTAGTTGAACCTCGTGGATACCTCCAAGCGCGAACCCCCCCATGAACAAGGTCTCCCCACGTTTGTTTTGCCCTCGAGCAGGCCTACCCCATACCGGAACCAAAGGAGCCATTCGTGGTGTCGTGGTGGCGTGTGTCGGAAGTTGACCCCCATTCTCTTCGAACAGCTGGGAGAGTGAGAGTGAGAGTGAGAGGATCAACCATGCGAAACAGTCCAGCCTGGTGTCTTCTCCCGAGCAGCAAGCCCAGTCCAGACGAGCCCTCTTACACTTAGATAAAGAGCCTGCCATTCTTTTCCTCCTCTTCCCCCACATATTCCATCCTGGTTTTTTTTTTCTCTTTCTTTTCCTTTTCTGGAATTCTTCTTTTCCAGGGAAATGGTGTGAAAAAAAGAGTTATCGATGGGAATGCTGTCTAGAAGAGCGAGCACGCCACGAGAGTCCCTTTCTCTTCCCCTTTGAGCTGCGCAGCGGCACGGCCATGTCTGCAGACCTTTCGCGAGGGCCGGTCCTTCTCTCCGTCTCGGTGGGCACCGCGAGCTTCGCCTTTGCGACCTGCATCGTGAGGTTCTGCGTGCGCAAGAGGATCAGCAACGATGTCGGGATGGACGACTACGCCATCGGCGTTGCCTTGGTATGTCCAACGGGGGAGCTTTGCGAGAGTGTTTGCTGCGTACTGACATGAGGCCCGGGGGGTTTGCAAGGTTGTTGCGTTTATCGGCACGGTCTTCAGCATCATAGAGGGTAGCTCCATGCGCAGTTCGGCCAGCGCTTTGGAGTTTGACTTCCTGGGCCAGCCGTGGTTCATGATGGGCGCGACGTTGGCCAAGATATCGATCTGTCTCTTCTTCATCCGTCTGGTCGGCAGCGTGAAGCAGTGGCGGATCCTGCTGAGCATCCAGATCTTTCTGATGGCGATTGTCAACTTGGCGTTCTCGATGACAACAAACTTGCAATGTCGACCGTTGGAGAAGCTGTGGAACATCAACGCAGACGGCACGTGCTGGGACCCGAATGTACAGCTCAATATTGGCTATTTTCAAGGAGGTAAGCTGGCTGCCCCCGTGTTGTTGCGGACAAAGACGAGCTGGGAGCTAATTGCCTGGAACCAGCGTTTTCGGTATTCTGGTGGTTCTTCCTATCGCTGTTCCCAGTCATGATTGCTCGGGATTTGGAGATGCGTCGAGCGATGAGGTGGCCCTTCTACTTCCTGTCCAGCCTGAGCCTCGTGTAAGTCGGAGACTCGCCCTCGGATGCACGTAAGACTTCCAAGTTTACTGACTGGCCTCGATACAGGGCTGGAATCCTCGCGACCGTTAGGACCTATGAGATTTCAAAGACGACACAGCCGCCCGTCTACACCTACGACACCTTCTGCGCGACGGTGCTCGCCATCCTGGAGCAGAACTTTGGCATTGTCGCCGCAAACGTCCTCCCGATGGGGCCCCTGTTCTCGCGGAGGCGACCACGAATCAACCGCGCTCCTAGCAGAGTCAGCGGGATCAGCAACCGGTCCGGGCACGTCGGCTGGGTGAGCTCGAACGACTCGACGACGAACCTGAAGCGGTCGTCGGCCCTGGTGATCGAGGGTCCGCGGAGGGCGAGCTTCGAGACATCGGCGTCGAATCGGAGCCACCTTGACGTCGACAGCCGCTCGCTGCGCGACTCGTGGAATGTCTCGGACGGGTGGCCGAGGGGCATCATCAAGACGGTCGAGGTGGAGGTCATCGAGGAGGACCTCGCTGACATCGAGATGGCGCCCGGAGGCCGCTCATCCCGGATCAGCACCCTGACCGTCGAGCATGACTGGGAGGCAATGCTGCGAGCTGGCCCGACGCCGATCCCGTCGCGAGGCCCATCTCGTCAGGACTGATAGGTTCGATCTGCGATTTCACAAGCGGCGTTGGTTGGAGAACCAGGCACACGGCACTGGGCATAGAGAGGGCAACGGCGTTTCCATTGTTGACATATGATAATATACCCTGTATGACTAGCTGATAGAGTAGATAGAGTTTGTTGACGTACAGACAGAACTTGTTTCTGTTTCTCTAATTAACATTTGTTATTCTGTATGTTGAAAATATCCGGGAGGATGTGCTTTGATACAAAGTGAGACGGCCTCAAGCGTTATCGATAAAGCTCAATTGATAAGCTTTTTTTTTCTGTTATCATGTACACCTCTACAACCTCTGCCTCTATCCAAAGAAATTATCTTCCAAGTACCTGGACACGCAAGTGTTCTTCTTCACCCAAGTACGAATTATTTCAGGAACAGTATACTATCATGGCGATATTCTACATCTTCCAGTGATTATATCGTCCTTATCACCCACTCACACGGGCGCAATCTCTCAAGCCTGTAGCGACCACTCGCTTCCACACTCCTCACCACTGCCACCACAACAACGCCTCGATGACGACTCTCTGAGCATACGACCCCCGACGAGCAATACCCAAAATGGCCGAAGAAGCAGACCTCGCCGCCCTCTGCACCGTCTGCCGCGCCGAGCCCCCGCGCTACAAGTGCCCCCGCTGCGGCGCCCGCACCTGCTCCCTCGCCTGCGTCCGCCGCCACAAGTCCTGGGCCCAGTGCTCCGGCATCCGCGACGTGACGGCCTACGTGCCCCGCGAGCGCCTGCGCACCCCGGCCGGCATCGACCACGACTACAACTTCCTGTCGGGCATCGAGCGCGCGCGCCGCCGCGTCGAGCGCGAGGTCGTCGAGGAGCGCGGCCTGCTGCGCGAGCGCGACCTGCAGTTCTCCTCCTCGTCCTCCGCCCGGGGGGACGCCGGCAGGAGGCCCGACCGGAGGTTCCGCGAGGAGTGGCACGGCGACGAGCTGCGCTTCGTGCCCAACAACCCGAGGGCTGGGCCCGGCAGCAGGTATGGAGCGCCGGGCGCGGCCGACGAGGACGACGCGGCTGCAGGCGGGGAGCTGTCCGTGGCCAAGCGCAAGGTTCGGACGACGTGCCGGCGCATGGGCATCGAGCTGCTCAGCGTGCCCAAGGGGCTCTCCAGGCACAGAGAGAACCTGACGGCGTGGAACAAGCGGACGGGGCGGCTGAACTGGCAGATCGAGTGGCTCGTTTACGAGGATGGCTCGGACCGCAGGGCGACGCGGATCCTGCGGAAAGCCCTCGACGAGGAGCCGATCTATAGAGCCTTTGCGGCCACGATGGAATGGGTGCTCAAGACTCAAGGATCGGGCGGGTCAGCCTTGGATGGCCACGACGAGGAAGACGAGCTCCCGAGGAAGAAGAGGAAGCGGCCGCACAGCCAGATAGATGCGACTGCGCAGAGCACGTCGTCGAGTACATGGTCCCAGACTGCGTTTCCTACGCAGAACCCCATCACGGGGGGGTGGGAGCAGGAGAGCGGATACGAAATCACCGCCTGGGCGAGGGACGTCAAGTTCCAGGAGAAGAAGGCGATGCAGTTCTTCCTGCTGAGGCCCAAGACGAGCCCCAGGGAGCTCATACTCGTCGACGCCACCGACTCCCTCTCCGCCATCCTGCCGGGCCGCGCGGTCCTCGAGTTCCCCACCGTCTTCGTCCTGCTCCCCGGCGCCGAGCTGCCGCCGGGCCACATCCTGGGCTCTACCGAGCGCAAAGAGCTCCGTCTCGACGACCAGGACCACGAGCTCGACGAGCCCAACAGCCGCAGTGGCGGCACCAACAGGAGAGAATTCCCTGGCCACCGCGGAGGCCGTGGCGGAGCTCGAGGAAGAGGGCGCGGCCGAGGCGGAAGGTACGAGATCGCGGACCGGGCTTCAGCGTCCAAGAGGAGAAAGATCATCAATCAGGATGGCGAAGCTCATAGTGAGAAGCAAGTTGCAGATGACACGACGAGTAGTGAGGAGAGCAGCTCCGAAGCGGAAGAAGACGACAACAGCAGCGACAGCGGCAGTGTGAGTGGCATGGATCAAGACGACCAAGAGCTGGAGGCAGAGCCAGAGGCAGGGCCGCAAGCAGAGCCAGTAGGGAAACGTGGGCTTGTCGCGTATGGCTCATCATCCGAGGACGAGGACTGAGTGCTTGTGTTGGTTTATGATTGAGATCAAAGCAGCATAATGATATTGTGTATAATAGCAATGATACCCACTAGTATGCAACTTTGCTTACCTGCAGATACTGGCTGATCACAAGCGTCTCATCAAGTGTCGTGCTCTGTGTGGTGCTTGCTCACTAAGGGCGCGACAAACTCTGCTTCCCATGATGCTGCAGGGCCAATAATAAAGTTGCCTCATTGGCGAGGCTCGTTTTCGTTTTTATTGGTATAATGGTAATTTTGCTTGACCCTGATCGCTGACGGATCTTGAGAGGGCAGATGCTATGGCCGCTCCTCCTTGTGCTTCATGATTCCCAAATGGAACCCCAATTTCGCCAGAACCAACTCCGTCATCCATAAATACCAAAGTCGCTCAACCTCGCATAACCATGATCAAAGAACAACTCCTGCAACTAAAGCCAGTGTTGCTGCATCCTGTAACCTCCCCGGCTTCGCGAACCACGAGTAGCCTGAACCTGAACGTAATGTACACGGATATATGGGGACGTGAATCGTCATGCGCCCAGAGACAAAAGATCAAAACGATCTGTCAAGACCCGTCGGATCGATAGTCGCCGATTATAAATAGATGAAAGATGCTGACTTCCGATGGAAGTTGGCGCTGCTGCAATCCGAAGTCGTTTGAGTGTAAAACAAGTTGCTCGAGTAAATTATTGGGCGCCCGGCTGGCTGTCATTGGTGCGACGATAGTTGCCACGTCCACCTCTGCCGTAGCCGCCGCGACCGCGCATTCCGCCGCGACCACGGCCCCGGCCGCGGTAGTTACGGTAACCGCCATCGACGCTGCCCTGTCCGAAGGTCTCCATGTTCTTTCGCTGTTCCTCCCCACGCCACTCTCGGCCGCCAGGTTTCTGACCGTTGTTCTCAGCGCGGTCCTTGGCCTCGCTCGAGATATTGTCGAAGAACGAGCTCTTCTTGTTGTAAGCAGAAGGGCCGCTCTCAGCGTTTGCGTCTTGCGCCTCAGGTGCTGGGCCGTCGGCAGCCTCGCCAAGAGGAGAGGCTGCAGCTTCCTTGACAATCTCATCCTTGTTGAACTTGGCATTGGAAGAAGCAAAGTCGAAGTCCGAATCGGGAATTTCGATCTTGCCTTGTCGACCAGAACCGCCACGGCCACGGCCTCCACGGCCGGACCCAGTATGGGCTGCATTGACCCTCATCTCGTTGACCTTCTTGGTCAAATTATCCATAGCATTGCCATTGGTGGGCTGAGCGGTTTGCGAGCTGGGTCCCGCCCCCTCGAGCTTGGCCATGGCTACAGCCACGGCGGCTCTGGCAGCTTGAGTGGCATCCCTCAAGGCAGCCGCATTGGCAGGATCGTTGACCTGCTTGGCGATCGTCGTCGCTGTCTGTTGAACAGCCTTGGTGGTCAGAGCTGCGGGCAATGGAACAGCGGGCGTGATCCTCGTGCCTCTAGGGCCTGTCGGCACGGGCTTAGAAGCATCGGCACCAGTCAACGAGGCAGCTGTGGCCTTGACCTCTTCCGCTGACGGCTTCGAGTCGACGGGAGGTGCCGGCGCAGCTTGCCTCGTCTCGGAGTGCAACTCGGCTGGCCTTGCCTGACCGGCATTCTTGGTCCTGTCAGGACCGCCGCCGATGGGCGCAGGCTTTCCCTCGGGCACAGGCTGTTGAGGACCTTGACGGTTCCCAGGATGTGGCATACCCTGAGGTCCGGGGGGGCCGGGGGGGCCAGGGGGTCCCGGGTAGTAGTTGTTCCAAGGACCAGGGCCCGGTGGTGGGAAGTTCTGACCTGGTGGTAGCCAACCAGGAGGGGGAGGATACTGCATACCGCCAAACCCAGGGCCGGGTGGGCCAGGAGGGCCGGGAGGACCGGGAGGACCACCGCCGCGACCCCATCCTGGAGGAGGGGGGTACATATTTTGGCCAAACCCAGGACCCGGAGGACCTTGGGGGAAACCGGGCCCTTGTTGGTTGGCGGGTCGAGAACGTGCCTGGCAGAATCGAGAAAGTGTTAGCCTGCTGCTACCATTGAAGCAAAACTGAGATTCTCTGCAAATGCTGTTTCGATCGGCTCGATCAGAAGGAAGGCAACGGAAATATCAACATGGTATTGTTTGCGCAATTCAGCTGGTATACTGTTTTTTTTACATCCGAAATAATTCATCATAGAGGAGCAATTGAGGGAGGCAAGAGATGCTGTAAGGGCCACAAGAGGGAAGACTTACGCCGACAATAGCTGGGTCATCAGGCATGGCAGGAGGCTTGTTCTCCTTCTGGGGGCCGGGGGTCTCTTCGATGCGGAGATCCTTGACATCGCTACCACGGAATACAATGTACTCGTAGATCTGTTCGGCGGGGGCTATCTCCTCCTCGGGCCTGCCTTTGCGGCCTTCCGTGCCAAAGGACATGACATTTTCGAGAGAAACAGTGGAATCCTCCGAGTTGATCTCATGAAGGGTGCCGACATATCTTTGCGTAGCAATTGACCATCAGCGCTGGTACTGGTTGAGTCAGAAAGGGGGCGAGCATACCGAATGTCAGATTTTGATATGAGAGAGATGCGAGATCTGTGGCGGCGAGGGTCAGTGGACTGGACGCAGAGTCGAGCTTCGAGGCGCAGCTGCGGCGACAGGAAGACTTGACATACCCGAGGAACTCAGACATGATTGATGACTTGTTGTTGCACTAGGCAACAAAACAAGTGCTAGAGATACTGTCTGAGAAAAGAATAAGACGGGTGGGGAAAGGGAAAGAGGGTATGTGAGAAACAGATTTGCGGGAGAAAATGTAGCTGAAAGTTGGTGCTGGTGGTGGTGATGCCGAGTAAAAGAAATGCGAAAGGCTGGATCAAATTCAAAGTGGGGAGGGGAGCTTTGGACTTCGGCACGGAAAAAGGTTGGTTCAAGCTAAGGTCAGTGCAGGTAGGGATGGTGCAGGCTTGTGAGTGACAGGTCTACACTCATCGCTTCCTCTCACCTGGCCACCTCGATGGCTTGTACCTCGAAATATAAAAGTGATCGCACATATATATCAAGTACACAGGGCAAGGCAGCAGGCAGGCAGACAAGTAAACCAACAGTTGGTCAATAGCAATGACGAGGACTGAAGATTCTCAGAACTGTGCGGAGAATGCCAGCGCACACGTTACAGTGCTGTCATACCGAGAATTTTGACTCCAGTGGTGTTTGCCCCACTAGACCTTCCATTGTAAGAGCTACCTTGGTTGGGAGCCCGAGTATTTGCTGGCGATCCTCAATAGGTAAATCATACAAAGGATTTGAGCCTTCCTTTCTCACCTGTGTACTCTCTTAATCTTTGTCTGTCGCAGTCTGAGCCCGCTCCGTCAGCCTCAGCTCTGCGCACTGAAAAGCTTCGAACTTCACGAGCTTGCCTCGACCCCGCCTTAAGCTGTCTCTCCAACATACTCAATAGCCAACGCCACGAGTTGAGGCTGGTCTGACCATGTCAAGCAGACAGCTTAGAAAGTTGCGCAAGCAACAAGATCTTCCAGGTCTTAGTGAAGACACTCAACATGTCGAAGAAGAAGAAGAGTCTGAAGACGAGCCTATCAGCCGGCCAGCCCGCCCGAATCCATTCTCTGGCTTTGCCGCTCTAGCGGATGATGGCGAGGATGACGGGGACGACCACGATGAAGCCGACGACGGCGGGGACGATGCCGAAGCGCCCATTTCAGAACCCACGAAACCTTCTGAGGAACCAGCTCGTGCTGCTACCAAATCCAAGAAGTCCAAGAAGAAGAAGGGCAAGAAGAAGGGGGCAAATGCCGATACTGCCGCAACGACTTCTAAGACTGCCAACCATGTCCCGGCCGCCGAGGACGACATCGACCGTGCTCTTGCAGAATTAAACATAGAGCAGTCAACGCGAGATGCCTCAGACAAGACACAAGATCAATATTCTCAAGAGCTGGCAAGGCTTCTCAGCATCACGACCAACCACCTCAAGGTGATCAACGAAATGCGGGCCCTCTTCGGACGAGAGACGATACAAGCAGCTGCGGCCGAAGATGATTCGCAACAGAACGCCAACCAGAGACGTGCTCGGCATCTGCCGCAACAGGTCGATCTGGAGACGTATCTGAAGGGATACCCAGGGCGCACCATCTCCGAGGTGATGATGCGCAGAAACCCGTTTGTCCAAGGAAAGGAGACCTGGCCGCGCTCTGCCGCTGGCGGGCTCACCATGAAGCAAATAACCAGCAATCCCAATGCGAACTACGTCGAGTACGCCTTTGAGCACGACAAGAGCTATATAGCGCTGGAGGCGAGCTTCTATGCCTATGTCCAGATGTACGATCCTATGCGGATAGTACACTTTTTACATCAGCACCGTGAGTAAACCCTCTCCAACTATGCCTTTGGAGCTGTTCTGTTAACGATTCACCTAGCATACCATGTATCCTCTTTGATCCAAGTCAGCAAGGTCGCCAAGCAAGACCAAAATTCAGCTCTCTCCGCGGACCTATGCGAGCGTGCGCTATTCACGTTTGGCAGAGTTACGCTTTCGTCGTTCAGAAAGCATATAGAGCAGGGTCGAGCCCGCATGGACTTTAGACGTCCTGAGAACCGACAGTTCTGGCTCGCAGGCTACCTTTACATCAAGAGCCTGGTCATGAAGGGAACATACCGAACAGCACTCGAATGGGCAAAGCTCTTTCTGGGGATCGATCCGTCGGACAATTATTCCATGATCAACTACATCCATGTTCTGGCTATCCGAGCTTATGAAGCAGACTGGCTCCTTCGCTTCTTCGATAGCGAGCTGTTCAACGAGGCTTGTTGGACACCAAGCCCGATGCATGACTATGTACGACAGTCCTCGGCACTGGCGAGACTCCAATTAAAAGATGTCTCGGGGGCAAAGGCAGACATTGTGCGCGGCATTGAACGTGTCCCGTGGCTTTATGCATCTCTCTTCAGCGCCTTGAACATCGACACCCCAAAGTCGATCTGGGGCATCCAGCCTCGTGACACACAGGAGGAACTGTACACCAACTTGTACATCCACATGGCCAAGAGTCTCTGGGATAACCCTCAGGCTACCTCGGTGCTTGTTGAAGCCGCCAACATGGCCCAGAAGCCCGACGTGGCTAAGATTCCCGAAACCGAAGACGTCACATTACCGATTGCCCGCTTCGTATATCTCGACAATACGCCGGCGCTGATGACTCTCCTACCGCGGGAAATGCTCCATGCGGACCCGAATTTTGATTTCGATCCACTCCCACCTCCGAGGGCCGAGAATGTCTTCTCCAACGAGATCCAAGAGTTGCCTTGGATGCCTACCTCCCAGTCAAGACAGCAACCCGACCCAGCTGTGCTTGCGCAGATGATACCGGGCTTTGACCCTGGCCTGTTGGACGATGAGTTGATTGCAGCCGAAGCGGAAGCGGAAGCGGAAATGGAAGCGGAAGCAGAGGACGGAACGGGTGATGTAGATGATCTCCAGTACGGGGTCTTCAACAGGTTCATCAATTACTTTTGGCCGGGCAGGGCCGGTCCAGAAGAGGGAAATGCGGCGGGAACTGGGCCAGAGGATGGAAGCGAACCTTCAGACGAAGAAGATGGGACGCCGCGCCGGAACGGACCGTAACGTACGAATGATTCGACAGAGTGATCTGCATTACTAGCGTGACCACAAAATGCATATGCAGCTGCAAGCAAGATGACCAACAGCAGTTCGTCTATCACTCTTGGCCGACGGCGACCAAGGGCTCTGGTGACTAGGCCTGGAAGAACCGGCCTGTCGCCGGCAATAATGGCTCACTATCCAGACATTCAGGCCCGGTCTAGCAACACAATGTACTAATACATTTCACGGGGTAACTTGGTCTCTCGGCTTGCCCGTTCAATACATGACTGGGGCGTGATCATGGCTTCTCAATGTTGCATGCATGTACGACACCCTCCGTAACCATACCAGTCGAAAGGCCAAGTCCAAGTTCAGCTCCAGTTGTAACTAAGACTTGTATCCGTAAGACGCTGCCACGATACTTACTCTACAGACATGAGCTGAGTCCACCTGTTGTGCGATCAAGGACATTGCACGGGTAGCCCCCTCTTTTCCAGGGCTAGACATTGGGAGGAATGCCCAATTTAGCAGTGAATCCAGATGAGGACTCCTACTCCGTATATGTGTCAAGAAGTCCTCGGTGTTTCAGGCCAGTCGGAGCGCAGCGTGTCGAGCAGGTTTCATATCTCATTTGGTGGATGACTGCGGCTGGTAACCGGGGTGTGATATGGAGTTCCAGGGCTGAGGTGTGACTGGTGGGGATTCCCCCATCGGACAGGGCCCTCCGCTACAGATTACGGGCCTTTCGGAGCAGCTTGGAGCGCGATTTGTGCCTGGCCCTCACCAAAGGGCCTGGGACTTCGGGGCGGCCCATCGCCAAAGGGTCCACCGTAGCTCCAAACTGACGTGCTCCCAGCATTATTAATCGTCACCATAAACGACTCTGGCCTCCTCCTTAACCCAGCTGTTTCACGGATATACATAAGACTGACTTGTCTCCCCTCGTGTTCTTCCGCGACCATACTGCATCTGCCCTCTGAATTCTCTTCAGTTAGACATTCACACATTAAAGATACAAGCCCTCGACTTGCTCGCCTTCATCGACGCCCTTACCCCGCCACCCAACCCCCCTTACGCACCCAACGCCTACGCAAACGAACAGACAAAATGGCCGACGTCGCTGAGCACACTTACAAGTTCAACGTCAGCATGAGCTGCGGCGGCTGCTCCGGCGCCGTCGACCGTGTCCTCAAGAAGCTGGACGGTGAGCCTCACATCTGCCGCTGCTCCTCCAGCGCTCCCCGCCTCTTGTATTCTCATGCCCCAGACTGACCAACGTCCCCTTCCGATTTTGTAGGCGTCAAGAGCTACGAGGTGTCCCTCGAGAGCCAGTCCGCCACCGTCGTCGCCGAGCCTTCCCTGCCGTACGAGAAGGTCCTCAAGACCATCGCCAAGACGGGCAAGAAGGTCAACTCTGGCTCCGCCGACGGCGTCGAGAAGAGCGTCGAGGTGCCCGCCGAGGCATGAATACTCTCAACCTTGGATACGGAAATGAAGACGAACGATAGCTGTGGGACTCGAAGCGCGCACACGGTATGAGCGACTAGTCGGCGGCAAGAGTTGCGGCCGTGGTCCTGTGGCCTGGGTTGGAGAGCGAAGATATCCCCCCATTGAAGAGCAGCGTTTCCATGACTTGATTCAGAATAGGCGTCAGTGGGCATGAATACATCATTATTTTACCTTATATTTTCCCCCTTTGAAACTAAAGACCATTTGGAGTCCAAAGTCTCTGAGTTCCTCTAGGCCGAGTGACTTGCTTCTCGGTTTGGGAGACCGCAGCCGTCTCAACCCAGCAAACCGAGTCTACTGAGCCACCGGACCTTTCAGCAGTCAAGTCTGACTAGACACTCCTTACTGATTATGCTCCCCTCGGGCACCGTGGTTCGCACTCGAGTGTTGGATATGAGCAAGTTTGCTCGGGATGGCTGTATCGTTTGGGCTATTTGATATATGAATCGAACCCACTTACTACGCACACAGGATGCCGAACCCGAACAAGCGGCACTTTCAATACGCTATGTCTTTAGTGAACGCCATACTCCCGTCTCTGTCTGAGAGGGGTTTACCTGTCTGTATCCTTCACTGGCTGCCATATTCCCGCCGGCTGAATATCAGACGTTGTCTGCTTGGCTTTATCCAATGGCTGCCACCCGAGGAGAGTCCGTACTTACATAACCCCACACCATCATCCCCATGGGTAGAGCAGAGCCGGCCTATGGAAACCGGGTTTCAGAGACTGTCTTCGCTAGAAACGGCAAGTGAGATATTGCGGCAGTCAAGTGACCGCTTTGTGATAAAGACCACTTTGTGGCAGAGTGTGAGCACATTAGGAAGGGCAGCGTGTTTTAATATCAAGGCTTGGGACTTGAGTGGGTAAGTCATGGAGTCTCCTTGCCTTGCAATTTGCATTGCGTCTGCAGTCCGGTTCGTTATCTCATCATGAGCTTTGATACTTTCTCGCCCCCGCACATTGCGTGTGATTCCAGGAGGGAGGGAGTGGGTGCCGAGCGGTCGACGGGCTCGGGTTGCAGTTGTCTACATATGAGCCGTAGTCTCTTAGCAGTGCGCTCTTCTTCTGTTCTACATCTTGATGCGTCCAGACTTATCCCCGATTCTCAAGATGGCGGCAATGTCCATGATACACTTTACCTTGGCGTGTTTGCCATTCATCGTAACACAAGCCTATGCTCATGGAATCGCGACTGCTTTGGTACAATTTCCAGGAGGGACATTGTACGTTGGAGCATACTCAACTTACCTCCTTTAAAGATGGTGGTAGCACTGATTGATATCTTCTGCGCAGCTACCGAGGCTACAATCCCAGCTACCAGTATGCCCAGCCTCCACCGACCGTGATCGGGTGGTCAACTCCGCAAGACCTACAGTAAGAACGTCGAGAAAGATAGAGACAGAGATACCCATGTGAGACAGCTGAGTGACGTGATCCTCTACATCTACAGGAATGGTTTCGTGAGTCCAAGTGCATATGCGAGCCCCGATATCGTGTGTCATTTAGGCGCGACCCCGGCTGGTGCCGAGGCTCCAGTCAATGCTGGTGACACTTTGGAGATCCAATGGACTCCGTGGCCCATCTCTCACAAGGGTCCTGTCATCGACTACTTGGCAAACTGCAACGGTCCTTGTGTAAGTTTTGCGGGAAACGCTTGTCACATGCATCAAGCATCTGCCGCCTCTAGTTGGAGCTCTTCGGACCAGAAGCTGACACACAAGTCTTCGCGGACGACCAGGAGAAGGCGGACAAGACCAAGCTCAAGTTCTTCAAGATCTCGGAGGCCGGCCTCCTCGACGCCGCCAGAGACAGCTGGGCGGCCAACGTCTTGACGAACAACAACAACAGCTGGCTGGTCAGGCTGCCGGAGGACATCGCGCCGGGCAACTACGTGCTGCGGCACGAGATCATCGCGCTGCACGTCGCCAGCCAGCCCAACGGCGCGCAGAACTACCCATTCTGCTTCAGCCTGGCCGTCAGCAGCCAGGGGACCAAGAGCCCGGACGGGATACCGGCGACCCAGTTCTACAAGGCTAGTGACCCGGGGGTCACGTTCGACCTGACCAGGAAGTACGACTCTTACAAGATCCCAGGGGCAAGTTTTGCAAATTTCCCCTTCTGTTGTCGTGTTCTTGTTTGTGTGCGGCACGGGAGACAAACCCCAAAAAGGACGATGCTAACAGGAAAACCCCAACTCGATGCAGCCCCCCTTGTACTCCGGAGCCTTGCCAGTGTCACAAACGAAGCCCGGGCCGATCAAAGCCACGTCGTCGGGCATCCAGAGCTTGGCGAGGCGGACCGATGCTGCGGTCCCACGAGCTCCCGCTCCTGAAGAGGCGAGAGGTGCGGCGGCGACCTTTGTCGCGTAGGTAGACTGCGGCCTTGTTGCCATCGTCCTTCCCTTCTTGCTGGGACGGAGATGGCAACCCGCTGTGCTCGAGTCGAGCATCGTCGGGTACCGTACGAGGCGGGTAGCAGCCAGGTGGATCGGGCAGGCCGGGGCGCACTTGCACGCGGAGGGAGGAGATTTATGTACGAAGTATGCATGTGGACCTGTGGACTATTTCCCCTATAGCAGCTCTCGAAGTATAGGTAACTAGCCGCTCGGTCAGGCCATATTATACTGGGTACTTGGTCCCGCAAGCTCGTCATCTTGACAAACAAACGCTGCCACGAGATGGCCATGGCTTGCCTATACTCACTAGTGCCAGAGCCGTCAAACCTCCCAAAAGCTTGTCAGTCGCGATGCCAAGCACGGGAGGGAGGACGTGGAGCTCCGGGATAGCCTCGAGACGAGAACCTTGAGCCATGACAGGGAGCGAGTGGTGTGCATTGTGCGCTATGTGATATGTGTGCATTTGTGTCTGAATATGTCGGACCAAAAAGTGAAATCCCTAGTGGCCTTCAGTACCGGATGCCTCATATGTCCAGCTCATCTGACTGAATACCTTGTGTGTGTGCGTGTGTGGATAGGTGAAAATTTGTTGTATTTTTATCTTTGGGGAGGGCTGGTATGAAGGGTATGAAGTCAAGTCAAGTATGGAGAGCTGGGATTGCCTCATGTCATCAAACATCGTGGTCGTTATTTCCTTTTCCTCGGAACCTGGGTTCTTTCCAAAGCTCAGGACGGAAGTGTTCTAGCGCGCCTTCTGGGTCCTCGCCTAACTCGGCAGTAGTGACCCGTCGCAGTGACCGGGATAGGCAGGGGATCACCACCTCACCCTTAAAAAGACAACCATCACTGATTTAGCGCTTCCCAAGACTGTGGTCTGGAACGACGGCATTACTCTGCTCCCAGTTTGACCTGGTGCTATGGGCGGCAAATCCCAGGTTTTCCGCTAGAGCTTTTGGCTTGACGGAAGACCGCGCTAATGAGGCTCAGAGAGGGCATCAGGCAATTCTTTTGATGTTTCGCCTCCAGCTGAAGCCCCAACTACCGGACGGTCTGTCGCCTTAGCATGAGTCGTTGCACCCGCCTTCCCGGCCGATCCAATTTTTCAGACGACGATACGCGCGCAGGACAATGGTCGGTCAGTCCTCTGGCCGTCTAAGTAGTTAAACTTCTTGTGAGGACTGCGGCCTGTCTCTGTCTGTGGGCGCGTGTGCGAATGGTCCAGACATAGACCATTCACCTACGATCCCGCCAACACAGCCCTGCACAACTATTAGGTTGCCAGCTGATCTCCTGGAGACGAAACCTCTTTCTACCAAGGACCCTTTGCGCATGGTCTTTGTCACCAGCAATCTCGAGATCCCTGGAAAGAAGAGTCCGCACGAATCTCTTTGAAGGGGGTTTCCTATCTGGGTATCACCATCCCATTGAACCGCCGTCATGGCCTCTCCGTCGGGGGGCGGCGACCCCTCGAAGCCGCCATTGTTAAACATATCTGCCAGCAGCAAGTTGCCAGACGGTGCCAACCACGTCAAGAGCGTCAAGCGCCCGCGGCCGGTCAAGTCGTGCGTCGAGTGCCGGAGCCGCAAGCTCAAGTGCGACCGCCTCAACCCTTGCTCGCAGTGCCGTAAGTCGGCGAGGGCGTGCAAGTACAACGCCTTTGACCCGGAAAACTCTGCCTTCTCGGACGGCTCGGATGTCGACGCGGCGGAGCCTCCTCCGAAGCGTCTGACCAGCCGGCCCGCGTCCTCGGTGCACGAGGCCTCCCCGGCCCACGCCGTCAACGGTGCCGGCGTGCAGCAGATCACGTCCGCCCTGGAGGAGCTCGCGGCACGCATGGAGCAACTAGAGAGGCTTGTCACGCAAAGGAGCCCGGTTCTGGATCCGAGCGTCCACTCTCCCGGAAATCACAGTCGCCACCGCATCAACACCTCGTCTGCAACGATTCGGGGGCTTACGGTTAAGGGGAGGGTTAACCTAAGAACGAGATACTTTGGCCAGAACAGTACCCGCGTGCTTCTCAACTTGGTATGTTTAGCCAATGGCCCACCCCCTGGCGCATCCCGAGTCTAACCATTCACACAGTTCGATGAGGCAAAGGAGTTCATGTTTACAAAGGCAAAGCGCGAGGGCGCTCGTGACCTCTTCCAGTCATTGCAAAAGATCTACAGCGCTCTGCAAGAGGAGCACCGCAAGGCCCTGGCTCCGTTGACTGTTTTTGTAGACTCGATCCTGCCCGTGCAGAAGCGCATGGTAGACATCTTGCCCCCCAAGGCCGTCTGCGATCGTCTGGTGGATGCATATATCAGCACTTCGGAGGGACTGTATCGGGTCATCCACGCGCCCACGTTTCGAGAGGAGTATGAGGCGTATTGGCAGTCGAAGCGATGTACTGACGGCTTCCTCCCGCGGTTGCTGTGTATGCTCTGCATCGGTTCGAGGTTTGAGACGAAGAAAGGCCTTCTTCACGATCGGTCGAACGGGGTGCACATACCGACGGCAACTGCCCTTGTGCGGTCGTGGCTCGACGCCCTGAGAGGCAAACAGCTGGTCGATGTCACCAGCCTCCAGGCTGAGGTTCTTCTCCTCCACGCGCAAAGAATGATTGCGCCCCGCTACCAGAATACTTGGACGCAGCTCGGCTTTATTTCCCGGATGGCCATGACCATGGGGTTGCATCGAGACCCGACCGAATTCTCTCAGATCACACCTTTCGTCGCGGAAAACAGGCGGAAGCTGTGGTTCACCATCGTGGACATGGACCTGCACGTTGCGCTCGGGTGCAACCTCCCCAATGCTGTCCGCGTCGGCGAGTATACCTGCCGTCCTCCGCGCAACTTGAACGACGAAGACATATACCCGGACATGACGGAGCTACCGCCCTCGCGGCCCATTGACCAGTACACCGATACGCAGATGCAGGCCTATGCAGCGAATACCCTGCCGTGGCGGATGCGCGCCAACGACATCATATGCCGGCTCGACACCATCACCAACTATCAAGAAGTCCTCGAGGTCGGCACTAAGCTGGAGAGTCTGTTGGACGATGTCAACTGCCTCTTCCCGCGGAACCAGCCATTCGGAACCCACAATCGATACAACGAGTGGCGCATGAGGGCGCTCCTCGACATGCACGTCCGCAGGCCGCTGTTGGCGCTCTACCGTCCCTTTGCCCTGAGCGCGCCAGACTGCCCGAGCCAGATCAGCTCGGCCTACCTCAAGTCCGCCATGGCCATGCTGACGTACATGGACGAGCTCGACCCGGAGGCCCCTGGATTCGCCGACGTCAGCTACATGTACCACATCATCCTCAAGCACGACATCTCTCAGGCGGCGTTTAGCGTCTGCTACTACATCAAGAAGGCGCAGGAGAACCAGGCGTGGGCCTCGTCCTCGCGGCAGTCCCCTGACTCGGGCGAGGACGGCTCGTCGACGTTTGGCGAGAGCGGCATGCTCTGGTCCGTCGGCGCCATGACCAAGGCGGTCGAGAAGTCCCTGCACAGCCTTATCGGTCTGTGCAAGGACGCGAGCACGGATCTGAAGGACGTCATTTCCCTCGCGGTCGTGCTCGCCTCTGTCCAGCCGGCCAGGAGTCCCGAGGAGCGGACCGAGAAGATCAAGGACGCCGTGCGCAAGGTCCTTGACATTTGCCTGCAGGTCTTGAACGGAGGGCCGGACAAGGTCTCTTCGAAAATGGTAAGATCCATGCGCTTATATCAAACTCGCTATCGGCATGAGCTCACCTTGTATGATTCCTTCTCCAGTTGCAAACTCCGCAGCAGATTCCTTCGCTCGTGGATTGGTACAATACGTCGGCTTTCATTCCCAATGAGGTCGTCACTCCAGGGGTATGTATGGCCATGTCCAACTTTTCTAGATCTACCGCTCATCAAAATTGCATTTTCCAGCCCCACGACGAGTTCACACTATGGGACATCGACTTTTGGAATCCTGGTGCCGTTCCAATGGACCAGACATGAAGCGGTATTCCCCTTGACGGCCCTTGAGACAAGCATCGAGGTCACCTGGCCTGTCGTGCAACCCGCTCCAACGGGCCATTTAATTCTCAAGTATAATTATTTGACTAGGCACATCACTGGCTACATGCCTATAGCGCAGCGTACAGTTTCTAGGAGCGTACAATTTCTAGCAGCGTTCTCAAAGAAGAGCAAGAAGAATCAGCATGCACCTCAGTGGGACCTAGGCAGATACGCGCAGGGAGTTTCAACCGACGCCTCATCGCAAGCCAGGCGAGTCCCGCATGGCATTCAATATGGCTCCCAATAGAGTCATATTTACATTAGTCAAGACATTCGTCCCTAGTCCCTAGCTATGGCTCGCACTCCGCCGCTCTCAACGATTCCAAACGCCGACGTCACAAGCCAACACCCATCCTCCCCTCTTGAACATCTCAAAACCTCAATTGGTAATAACCGGCGTCCGTCCAACATACTCGTCTCTGACCGCCGCATCGACAATGAACCTCGCCACGCTCCTCCGCGTGATCTTGGGCATGAAGCCCGCGCCCCGGCCGTCGTCCCCGTGCACCCGCACCTCGCCCGCCTCCCCCTCGGCCAGCATGACCGGCCGCACCAGGACGTAATCGATTTCTCCTCTGCCAGCGGCCTCCTTGACCAGCGCGTCAGCCTCGTTGTGGTCCGCGATCTGGTGCCGCATGTTGGTCACCATGAACAGCGGGCGGAACAGCACGTTGAGGCTGCCCCAGCTGCTGCCGGCGCCCTGCATGCTCATGAGCACGAGGCGCCGCACGCCCTTGGCCCGCATGGCCGGCAGGACGGCGCGGGCGGCGCCCGAGACGAGCTTCCACGGCGCGTCGGGCGTGTCGGGCAGCATGGCCGCGAAGGGCGAGTCGCTCGCGCGGCGCGGGTTGAGCGCCACGATGACGGCGCCTACGGGTCTCGTGCTGTCTGGAGCGGCGGCCAGCGCGGCCTCGACGTCTGCCTGCTTCAGAGGGCTGCCCTGGTGGAATGTGAGGCCTTTCCGCGGGTTCTTCTCGTTCTCGGCGACGGCGGAGGAGGACGGCCGGACGAGGGCCGTGACGGAGTGGCCCTGGCGGAGGGCCTCGTCGACGATGAGGGCGCCTGTCCGGCCGGTGCCGCCGATGATGAGGAAGTGCATTGCAGTGGAGAGTAGTGGTGTATTGTTAGGTGTATAGAGTATCAGAGAGGGATATCGCTAATCGAGAGAGTTGTGTGTAATTCGTGGTTCAAGAGCTTCGGTGTGTGTGTGTTGTGTGCAAGGTTGTGGTCAACGTTTAGGTATATTGAACGAAAGATCGTCAAACTGGGACTTCTGGTGATATTACTGTCATGAACCACCGCAACGACGAAGAGAACAGCAGGCAGGCATCTGGCCCTTATATATATACCCCGCCTGGTGACGAAATATATTGTGGCTTGGAAGGATGTTTGTCTAGTCCGAACTCTCGCGATGCGAGTAGTTGTAAGCTTACTTAACCAGGGGGGAGACTCGGCCGAGTGGGTTGACTGATTATGAGGCATTCGGCCGAGACCTTAGGTAAATCGCCGAAAGCCCAGAGTTGTTGCCGCAGATATTACGAATTCCCCGTGAATACACCAAGAATCATTTGGTGAATCTGTAGTATTCGCAGTAATCAAAGCGGCGTATTTTGTCAAGCGTTGGAGAAGTGATCATGTGTTCCCTTACCTACAAGGCCGAAAACCCGCCTCCGTTCAGAACAGGCTCGACCAGGCTCCGGCCGAAAACGGTGCATAGGCAGCACCCTGCAAATCCGCCTCGCAAATCGAGCGGTCATTTCGTCAGATTTACCACGGAGCAGGTCCTTCTAAATGCAAGAGGGTTGATGGTGAATTTGCACGTACTCGTGCTTGCTCACACCCGAATGTCGGAGGATCTGATTTACCAAAAGGGGCTAAGGTTAGGATTGCAGTACTCGGGGAATCAGCACTGATGGAAACTCTCAAATCCTCGGATCCGAACTGTGCGCAACATGGCTTTTGTATGTCCATGGCATAGGAATGGTCCAGATATTTAAATGGGAGAGATATCACCTCCGTGGCCGAGAGTGAAAGGACGTCCTTCAACCTGAATTGCAAGCTACACACCTACCACAACGTCCAAGACTGACTTCCCTCATCATGTCCAACCATACAGAGAACGTCGCCATCATCGGCGGAGGAATTGCAGTAAGTATCATCACAAATCACAAATCACATTGAAAACTTTTTGGAAACCAGAATACTAAAACGATGGTATAGGGAATGGCCCTCGCACTCTGCCTGCACTCCCTGTCCGTGCCTTGCACAGTCTACGAGATGCGCAAGACCGAGGCCGGCTCGCGCACGGCAGGCGGCGGCATGATGGTGGGCGGCAACGCGCTTGCGATCCTCGACAAGTGGGGTGTGTACGAGAAGATGGTCCCCAAGGGCTACCAGTTCAACTGCGTGTACCTCAAGGGCCCGGACGAGAAGACGACCGAGTGCTACCCGTTCGGCGGCAAGGACCTCTTCGGGTACGACGGCCTCCGCATCTACCGGCAGGAGTACCTCGACAGCCTGTACGAGGTCTGCCAGGCCAAGGGGGTCACCATCGAGTTCGGGGCCAAGTTCACCCGGGTCGTGGAGGAGACGGAGTCGGGCGTCACCTTTGAGCTCGCCGACGGGACCACCAGGACCGCCTCCATGCTCGTCGGCGCCGACGGCATCCACTCCAAGGTGCGCGAGTACGCCTGTCCCGGGGTCAAGACCAAGTTCATGGGCATCATGGCCGTGACGTCCGAGGTGGTCACCGAGAAGCTGCGGATCCCGGCGGAGAAGGACTACCGATTCCCTCTGCAGATTGTCACCGACTTCGGCATGGTCGCGATGGCGCCGCAGACGCCGGACGGGTCGCAGATGCTCATCGGCACGCAGTTCCCCACGGAAGACCGCAGCAGAGAGGACTGGGAGAGGCTGTTTGCCGACAAGGAGGGTCTCAAGAAGATCCTCCAAAAGGACCTCGACAAGTGGCCGGACACGATCAAGTCCGGCATCGAGAACATCAAGGTCGAGGCCATGCACGTCTGGCCGTTCCAGATGCTGCCGCCGCTGCCGAGCTGGACGTCACTGCCTCATAGACGGGTGGCTGTCCTGGGAGATGCGGCGCACGCTGTGCCGCCGACATCAGGCCAGGGCGCCTCGATGGGCATCGAGGACGTCTACGTCTTGGGTCTGCTGATCTTCGAGCAGAAGAAGCACCCGGAGATCGGATGGCAGGACACTCTTGCGTTCTGGCAGCAGATGAGGCAGGAGAGAATGGGCGAGATCATGGAGCTGACGAGGCTGCTGAACAACAAACGGCTGCCCAGTGTTCAGCAGGCAGACCTGAAGAAGGAGGACATCTGGCAGGACGAGTCGGCCACGAACCCGCGGCAGATGGCCTGGCTGTACGCACCCAAGTTCGAGGAGCGTGTGGGCACCTGGGTCAAGGCTCAAGTGGAGAAGCCCTCTTCTTGAAATCTCCGAGGCTATCCGGAACGGTTTGATGGGATTTGAGGCGTACCGGGCGTTGATGTTGCTACGGATATGATGAATCGAATGATCGAAGCGCGGTCCAGACATGTGTGTTTCCTTTCTCCTATCTCTCTGTGTGTTTCGCGGTAGTCTAGATCAATCATTGCGCAGCCATTTTCAACTTCATGGGACATGGAGCAGAGACATCCATATGATATATCTTTGTATTGAACTAGAGGATATCTCATGGAAAGACGGAGTGGTCAGCCTGAGGGTGATCATGTGACAACCCTTACAGCAGTCGTCCCAGCGCTGTACTGGCGTTATTGCCCCGGTAATTTTTAGCCGAGGGCGCTGGTGTTTCTTTTTGGCGCCCCTTTGATCGCCAAATTTTAGGGGCTTGTGTCGATGTTAGTGCGAGCCGTTGCTAATCAGCATTACTGAATTAGGCGATATTGCCTCGGCATCTCCAGTCTAACTGCACGCCGCTGCTGCGTCCCCCGCATTGACCGGGGTCCGGGCAACATGGAGAAGGCATCGCCGCCACCACCACCCTCAGGATGCCACGGCTAGATCTACGACACAAAAGCGACGGAGGCGAGTGTTTCGGTTCTAACTTCTCTCTTAAATATCTACATAGCCTAGTTGATCAGAGATCTGCCCATCCGTTCCTGATCTCATCATTTACATCACATCTTCCTTTGTGCCTGTCTCATACCATTCTAAACATTCTGTGATACCCCCCCGAATCCGAAGGCACCGGTCATAACTAAAGACCCTTTTTTTCATATTTTACCTTTCTTCTCATTCTACATCACCACCCAGTCGAGATGGCTCCCAAGGCGAAGCAGCCGGTCTACGTGATCGGCGTGGGCATGACCAAGTTCATCAAGCCCAGGGGCAAGGTCGACTACACCGAGCTCGGCTTCGAGGCCGGCATCAAGGCCCTGCTCGACGCCCAGATCAACTACGACGACGTCGAGCAGGGCGTCGCCTGCTACTGCTACGGCGACTCCACCTGCGGCCAGCGCGTCTTCTACCAGTTCGGCATGACCCAGATCCCCATCTACAACGTCAACAACAACTGCTCCACCGGCTCCACCGGCCTGTTCATGGGCCGCAGCATCATCGGCCACGGCGGCGCCGACTGCGTCATGGTCGTCGGCTTCGAGAAGATGATGCCCGGCAGCCTGCAGTCCTTCTGGAACGACCGCTCCAACCCCACCGGCACCACCGGCGAGATGATGGCCGCCACCCGCGGCGTCACCAAGGCCCCCGGCGCCGCCCAGATGTTTGGCAACGCCGGCCGCGAGTACATGGAGAAGTGAGTAAATTCTTTTTCTTTTTTCTCTCTCCCTCTCCTTCTGAAGAATCCTCTCCCTCTCCTTCTCTCTCTCGTCTCTAACCACAGCAACACATACAGGTTCGGCGCCAAGCCCGAGGACTTTGCCGAGATCGCCCGCATCAACCACGAGCACTCGGTCAAGAACCCCTACAGCCAGTTCCACGACGTCTACACCCTCGAGCAGATCATGAAGTCGCCCGCCATCCACGAGCCCCTGACCAAGCTGCAGTGCTGCCCGACCTCGGACGGCGGCGCGGCCGCCATCCTCTGCTCCCAGGCCTTCCTCGACGCCCGCCCCCACCTCAAGGACCAGGCCGTGCTCATCGCCGGCCAGCACCTCGCCACCGACGCGCCCTCGCTCTTCTCCCGCTCCGCCATCGACCTCATGGGCTACGAGATGAGCCAGAAGGCCGCCCGCGTCGCCATGGCCGAGGCCGGCGTCACCCCGCGCGACTTCCAGGTCTGCGAGCTGCACGACTGCTTCAGCGCCAACGAGATGATCGTCATCGACGCCCTCGGCCTGTCCGAGCACGGCAAGGCCCACGAGATGGTCCGCGCCGGCGACATCACCTACGGCGGCAAGATCGTCATCAACCCGTCCGGAGGGCTCATCTCCAAGGGCCACCCCCTCGGCGCCACGGGCATCGCCCAGTGCGCCGAGCTCGTCTGGCACCTGCGCGGCTGGGCCAACAACCGCGCCGTCCCGCACACCAGGCACTGCCTGCAGCACAACCTCGGCCTCGGCGGCGCCGCCGTCGTCACCGTCTACCGCCGCGCCGACGGCAAGGAGGCGCCCCTCGTCGACAACGCCGCCGTCGGCCGCCACAACAAGCTCGGCTACAACCCGGCCGTCGAGGCCAAGGGCTTCACCGCCGCCCAGGCCAAGGCCGCCCGCAGCCAGGAGAAGGCCAGCGCGTGGGCTCTGGGCGACACCGAGCAGAAGGTCGAGGCTCGCTTCTAGATCAAGTTGTAGGATGACGATGGAGAGGAGGGTTAGAAAATGGTCAGGGGGCTAAAACGTCGGCCAATACTGGGAATCCCCATGTACATAAAGAAAGCATCTATCTGTTTACGATATTAATGTCACTGAAGCATATACCAATCTTAACACCAAGCCTGCATCCTGGTAGACCACGATCGTAATCCCGGATGAGCAACCAGGAAGCGATATAGAACTTGGTCAAGCATCACATCGATGGGCCGTGCATGCAAGACTTGTGACTAAATTTTGGTAGCTAACCAATTTCTTTTGCAAGAATATCAAATATCTTCCCTATGGTATCATATCCTTCCCTTGTTTCTGCGCTGAGTTCTATCAATAAAGCCGTACAGCAATCAAATCGATCCATTGAGGACACCCCCGTTCTACTGGTCATAAAGCACCCTTCCGACCTAGAAAACGCCATTCTAAAACCTGCAAAAGAAAATGCAAGAAAGACGAGTGTGTCAATCATCGTCCAGTGGCCATTGATTATCACCCAGGTATCGCAGCGGTTGCGGCTTTGAGTGTCTCCAGCAGTGATGCCTCGGAGGTTGCATCATGATTGTTCTGCGCTTGGCTCGCGGCTTCCATTGAAGGTGGCGCTTGGTGAAGAGCGGTGTTACTACTTTGCTGGAACTGAGCGAGTGGCTGTTGTTGTTGTTGCTGCTGTGGCTGCTGCTGCGCGAGCGGCGGCGGTTGCTGTTGCGGTAGAGAGGTTGGCGACTGACGCTGTTGTTGATGCAATTGTGCCTGCTGTATTTGAGGTGAAGGCTGTGCCTGCTGCGGGGCCTTGGCCTGCATCTGAACTTGCAGTTGCGGTTGCGGTCGTGGATGCTGTTGGGTATTGGGCTGTTGTTGAGGAGTCTGTGCTTGTGGTAATGGAAGCTGGCCCTGCACCTGCGGCTGTGGCTGGATCTGTTGTGGTATATGGCCTTGGGGCGCAGTCTGAGGCCTGGCCTGGGGGTTCACCTGGGGCTGCGCCTGGGCGATTGGTCGAGGCACCTGCTGTTGAACAGGCTGGCGCATTTGCTGCTGATTTGCCTGTTGAAAAGGTTGCTGGGGCGCTTGCTGTATCGGCTGCGGGCGAGGTTGGCCATTGGCCTGGAAGTTATGTTGAGGTTTCGTAGGAGAAGAGGCTGGCTCTGCCTTGATCTGATGTGGTTGACCCATGTGCGTCGAGGCATAATGCTGTGCTGCACCCTGCGCCGCCATTGCCTGCTGAGTGTTATGTTGCGTCGGGGTTCCCATCCTCTGCTGATAGGCGCCGGGGGCTGAAGCATTTGCCGCAGCTGGGACAGGAGAGGGCTTGACCGGCGATGCCGTAGGTTGTTGCGGTCTCTGTACCTGCGCAGCCATGCCCGGAGAGCCCTGTGGCCTAGGAGGATTGTTCTGGAGGCCACCTGCAAGAGCCATCACTCCCTGAAGGCGCGCCTGGTCCTCTTCGGAGGTCATCCGAGCCCGCTCCTCCGCCTCTTTCCTGGCAGCCTGGCTTGGGGCTCTGGTCTTCAATTCGCCGGTGACGCACTGTAGGTAGTAAGGCATTTCCGAATTCGTCTTTAGGAAGAAAAGCTTGAGGTTACGTGCTTTGTCCTTGAGCTGCACTTGACTCCTGTCCTTGAGAATGTCGGACACGGTACCATTTGGTCCATACAGCTGAAGAATCTGTGACCAGTGAGGGCCCTTCACCTGGTCGAGACCATGCATCAGAGCCTGTTCCTCTTCGGCAGTCCAGGGTCTCCTGGTACTATGAAGGCCTTCGCGTCTAGCATGGGCAGAGGATTTTGCTGCTGCTGCTTGGCGAGCACGCTGGTACAGCACAGCACTTGGCGATGACTGGTTCGGAGGAAGAGGGCCGTTACTATTGCCCGCGGGCTGCTGGGGAGGAAATTGAGTAGTCTGGTAGCCAGCGAAAGGCAGCGAATATGGATACTGTGCATAATGCGACGCATATGCGCTTTGAGCGAGTGCAGCTATGCACGAGTGTCAGCCTATAATAAACGCCACCGACAAACGCGAAGTACTCACAAGCATTTGCGGGAACGGATGTCTGGTATGGAGAAGCACTTGCGAGATTTGCCGAGTTCTGGCCGATCTTCTCGTTGATCAAGGAGAGTAGCCCTGAACCTCCACCACTACTGGCGGCGCCTCCAGTCTCCTGGGAGGTCGGCATGGCAGCAGAGATCTCTTTCGATAATGAATCCTCGATGAGCTTCTTCAAACCAAGACTATCAGTGGTAGAAGATAGGTCATCGGCTCCGATCTCATGACTGGCCCCAGACTGAGCCAGGAGATCGGCTCCAAAGCTTGATGTGGCAGCTTGCAGCGCGGCAGCAAGTTCGTCGTTCTCACTACTCAAAGTTGCATTGACGCCTTGCTCGTCCATGCCAGAGTCTTCTTCTGCGGGAATTTCGATCCCTTGGCTCTCGGCAAATCGCAGCACGGTGTCAATATTCGACTGGAGATAGGTGCTCAAAGTATCTCGAAAGACATTGAGAGTGTAGTTCTGGGCTAGAGTTTCTGGAAGATATAAGCGCATGCAACAGGCGAATTGAAGTACAAGCTAGCATACCTTTGGATTGGGTGCTTCTGACTTCGCTGATAAAGGAGTCCTGTTTCAATTTGGCAGTGATGCCCGCAAATGACGCATCAGGGTGGGCTTGTTTGATCTGCTCCTCGAGATCGGATGGAAAGATTTTCTCCAGGACCGGGTCAATCGACTGGCCCTCGGGCAAAGTTTTTATATCTTCGACTGCGACGCGGATTTTAAAGTCGATGAAGAGGTCGAGGAGCTCATCAGTCAACAAGACCGATTCGGTGACAAAGGCGGCAAGGAAATGTTCATGTATGTCAGATAGCGACACATCGCCAGCTTCAAAGAGACTCGCACAGATTGTAGCCATGTTTGCCATTTGGATTGTCTCTTGGTCCCCAAGCTCCTTGATCTCGAGTTCTTCTGGAAACAAGATTGGTGATGACTCTGAGAACATTCTTCGGGCCTGGTCGAAGGCAGCTTTGAGAGTGCCGTAGGCTTTGCCGACATCGGTGGTCTTGTTGCTAATAGATTTGACCGTCTCCTCTCTCGACCGTTCCGAGAGCGCGAGCAGTATTTGCACAGCCTGCCGCTGCAGTGTTAGCCCAGACTCTACGATGACTTTACGCTCATGACTGCACACTCACCAAACTGGCCAGTAATGGGAGGCCCATTGAGCGTATTATGTATGTCGGAGACTCGAAAAACTTCAGCTTCTTTTGTTCGCGACGCTGTGGACGAGATGGCGCTGCCGATGTGGTGGGAGCTGCTGACTCGGTGGGCAGAGGGGCCTGGTCCAAGGCACTGGCCGAGATATCCTGAGCGAGCTGCTCGGGAAACGCATCGCCAAGGGCATTCTGAAGCATTGATTCCCAATCGTCTGTACTGGGCTCCGGCTCGGTCTTTTGCCGCTTCTCATCGCCGTTGCTCTCGGGCCCAGGTGTCCGCTGCCTCTTCAGGCTCGCTTGTATGGTTTCGAGCAACCCGGGAATGGCATTCTGGTCAAACAGCGGGGTCTCCTGCTTGAGTTCTTCAACTATCATGATGTCAATTACAATGTTCGAGAGCTGTGATCAATTGCGACACGCCGGCGCTCTGCGCCTCAGATACGATGGTACTGTCACGATACCGAGGGTAGTGGCGGGGCTCGACTTACCACCACTTGCGGTTGCGGGCTGCGCCGGCAGCGCAGCCTCTCCCGGAGCCCCAGGAGGATTCTCTGTCGCTTCCGCCATGGGGAGAGAGAGAAATTGTGCTATTCCTACGGCATGCGACTTGTTGGCAACGGCAGCCTCGTGGTTTGCTGCCGAAAAGTTACCACAGATGAGAGGCTTGGGAAGGTCTTGGCGGGTTCTCGGAGAAATTTTCCTGGGTTAATCCGATCCGCTGCCCTTATTTCTTGCCCCGAGGATCTGACAGCATCGATACACAAGACTGGTCCCTCACTAAGGAAATTACAATCCGGGGTAGAGAAAAAGCAGCGCCCTATGAAGTAACGAGCGAGGTGAAATCCAAGCTGTATTGATTCGTGCCATTAGGTACACCAATAGGAGCTTCGATAACATCATTTTGAGCCTCACCTTATTCCAAGGACTGAGATAGGGTGAAAGAGACCAGCCCTTCAACCACTGACTTCTCCTCTCGATAAGCTTAGGTAAGTACATTGCATTGCACATGGTCCATGGAACAGCCCAACCTCTCGCCATATCAATCATCTCACAGCTTCAGGCTGGAGGTCATCAAAGTCGTCAAGCGATATCACATTCTATTGCACTGCCCATCGTTGAGGGTGAAGCTGACTTATCCCCCCGGCTGGCTGGCACCACTGGACTGCCTTGACATGGAAGGAGTACGGACACTCGGGTCCCCCATCTTACTCCGTACACCTGGATCTCTTGTCGCTCTTATTCAGCCCCTTGATCCTTGCTTGATCCTTGTCCGTCGACGTACGATGGCTCGGATGGCAATGATTTGTTCGAGATTCCGACCTGCTTTTCCACCTACGGAGTGCTCTGATTGGCCCTGCTCCCGAGCAACTGTTCCAATGCACGACTGAGCAACCTTGGTTGGGACTTCCCCATCCCCAAGCCATTTCCCCAGAGGCCAATTGTTGTTCCCCTCAACACTTGCCATTTCCGGTCTCAGCTGGAGGTAACACGTAGAGCTTTCAACTTTCCGACCGTTTTTCCATGTCGCCGGGACTGGTCCACAGCCGTATGCACCTCCCCCCCTGATCAGGCATCATGAAATTGGCCCATTTTTGGGGGCAGGACGCGCAAAGTGGTCCACGCGGTTAGCGGTGGTCCTCCACCTCGTCCGGAGCAGTGGAAGAGGGTGAAGCGGTACATTCTCGGCGCTCCGGGGCGGGCTTGCCAATGACTCGCAGGGGGCAGTGCTCAAATGCTTCTCAACCCCCCACACTGGTAACGGTCGGGCCAGGTCGGTCAGGCGTGGGCCTATCGAGACTCTTTTCTCGCTGATAACACTCCTTATGAGGAAATGCTCTAGCGTGGCGAGGTACCTCTCGCACTTCTTTGACCCGAGCAAGTACTGGATCAAGCACCTCAGTCGATGGATTTCCAGGGTCCTGTTTGTTCTTGTGATGGGGATGTCCTCCAAGGAAGGGCCATGTCAGAATGAAATAGGCAATTAGAGTTCTCTCCTCGTGTCCACCATCAGCCTAGCGACGCCTGTGCTGGCGAGAGCTTGAAACGTTGGGGCCTGACGAGTCTGGCGACTCCTCCGGCGGTTTGCGCCTCCAGATCTAGATCGTGTCCAAGGCTACCTAGTAGTGAGGGGGAGGACTGGCCTACCACCTACTCTGGAAGGATTCGTCGAAACCAGATCACATCACATCGGCACACCATGCACTGGCGGCCGATGCGGGGTTGGCCAATACGGTTTCTTTAGCACTTTGGAGCTGCCCAGCATACCCTACTTTACACCTCCGTTTTGTCCTCCTTGGAGATGGCTTCCATTACCCGACGGGCTCGATCTACCTCGATGCGAGGTGTAACTTTGTGCTCTGCCACCAGGCCTCTCCCGAGGTCATCGCGTAAAATCTGGTCAATGCCTCGCGATACGGTCAGGGAGCACTGTAGCAGGCACGGTAGATCCAGCCGATCTGGGGCATCTGGGTACCTCGTGATGATAAATCAACTGCTGAGCTGTTTGTAATACCCCACCGGATGAGATTGCCTGGTTGGGTCATTTTTGGAGATTTGAGTTCGATTCGCAGGAGGGCACGGCTCTTGTGGGCCGGGTCAGAGACCTCCAATCCAAGCACCAGCTGCAAGTACGGAGTAGCCTACAAGCACCACCACCATCCTCCACCAATGCCGGCTATGGTGGTGATGCACCCCGTGCTGGAGAGAGTTCAGAATCTGGGGGGGGGTTACTACCTAGGTACTCCGTACTTTAGCTTATGCTGACCTCAAAGGCATAAATTCGCGCCTCGTACGGAACTAGTGCCGTATGATATGCTCTTCCCAGCAGCAAGGGGCTGTCCGTGTGTGCGGGTAGCTTACTGAGAGAGCATGGGGAAGATGATAATGATGCCAGCACAGCACAGCGAGGTCCCCGCTCCGCTCCAGCGACGACGGCGATGAACGGACGGGGGTCGGTGTCGCTTGCTGCTCGAGCGAGTACCTAGGTAAGGTAGGTAGGGCCCTAGGTTAGGTACCTAGGTAGGGGTAAGGCACGCATGGCCAGGTGCCCCGGCGACTGTCCTCGGCATTGAGGAAGAAGCAGCAGGACGAAAGGGCCCTTTATCCCGGGCCCCATCGACCTGCGTTTCGCTAGTCTCCCCGCGATATGGGGCGCTTCCCACCTGCGGCGCCAGGTCAAACGGAACGCTGCTCCATCCTGCGAGGCTCTGTTACACCTCACTCGCCCGTCATGAGGGGCGGATCGCACGGTCTCGTGGATGGCCTGCCGCCATTTCAGAACTAGCCGTGCTCGCGAGCGCTGCTAGGGCTGGTCGGCGTCATTCTCCTGCCCACCCTGGCCCCCCTCCATCAACCCCGCTCTCGAGGTTGCGCCGGTCTGGTCTCTGTATGGCTCTGTCGCTGCGTTGTGTGTGCCTCCCAAGCTTCCGTCCCCGCGTCACCGTCGAGCTATCCAGATCCGCCTTCCTTGCCACCAGCCAGAGACACTCCTCCTCTGCTGCAGCAACCGGGCCATCTGGGCCTCCCACCCAAGTGTTTAAATAAAACGAGACGTCCCGGGAGCTTCCTGGCCACTCCAATCCATCTTCATCTCTCTTCTCTTCCTCCAATCCAACCAGGCTCTTCTCCTTTTGTGATACCCCCGTCTCTCAGACATCTTGCAACCTCCCAACAAGCCAGCTCGATTGACAGAGATCGTTTTCGTGATTTATTCCACTTTACATCGCCGCCATGTCTCACCTCAGCGTTGAGCTCAAGACGCCGGTCACCGGCCCCTACAAGCAGCCCACCGGCCTGTAAGTTCCCTACAACAAGCAATTTCAAGACAAACCATACATTTTTCTAATCAGACCCGCCCCTGGCTCCTAGGTTCATCAACAACGAGTGGGTTGAGGGTGTGGACAAGAAGACCTTCGAGGTCGTCAACCCCACCACCGAGGAGGTCATCTGCTCCGTCTGCGAGGCCACCGAGAAGGATGTCGACATTGCCGTCGCCGCCGCCCGCAAGGCGTTCAACACCACCTGGAGGGACACCACCCCGCAGCAGCGAAGCATCTACCTGATCAAGCTCGCTGAGCTTTGCGAGAAGAACGCTGACCTGCTCGCCTCGGTCGAGTCCCTCGACAACGGCAAGTCCATCACCATGGCCCGTGGCGACGTCGGCGCCGTCGCCGGCTGCCTGCGGTACTACGGCGGCTGGGCCGACAAGATCGAGGGCAAGACCATCGACATTGCCCCCGACATGTTCCACTACACCCGCCAGGAGCCCCTCGGTGTCTGCGGCCAGATCATCCCCTGGAACTTCCCCCTCCTCATGCTTGCCTGGAAGATCGGCCCCGCGCTGGCCACCGGCAACACCATCGTCATGAAGACTGCCGAGCAGACCCCTCTGTCCGCTCTCGTCTTCGCCGACCTCGTCAAGGAGGCCGGCTTCCCCGCCGGTGTCCTCAACATCATCTCGGGCTTCGGCAAGGTCGCCGGTGCTGCCGTCGCCTCCCACATGGACATTGACAAGGTCGCCTTCACTGGCTCCACCCTTGTCGGCCGCGCCATCATGAAGGCCGCTGCCTCTTCCAACCTGAAGAAGGTCACCCTCGAGCTTGGTGGCAAGTCCCCCAACATTGTCTTCAACGACGCCGATATCGAGAAGGCCGTCTCCTGGGTCAACTTCGGTATCTACTTCAACCACGGCCAGTGCTGCTGCGCCGGTAGCCGCATCTACGTCCAGGAGGGCGTCTACGACAAGTTCGTCGCTGCCTTCAAGGCCCGCGCCCAGCAGAACAAGGTCGGCGACCCGTTCGCCGACGACACCTTCCAGGGCCCCCAGGTCTCTCAGATCCAGTACGACCGCATCATGGGCTACATCGACTCGGGCAAGCAGGAGGGCGCCACCCTCGAGACGGGCGGCGGCCGCCACGGCGACAAGGGCTACTTCATCCAGCCCACCATCTTCACCAACGTGACCCCCGAGATGAAGATCATGCAGGAGGAGATCTTCGGCCCCGTCTGCGCCATCGCCAAGTTCAAGCACGAGGAGGACGTCATCAAGATGGGCAACGACAGCACCTACGGCCTGGCCGCCGCCATCCACACCCAGGACCTCAACACCGCCATCCGCGTCAGCAACGGCCTCAAGGCCGGCACCGTCTGGGTCAACTGCTACAACATGCTGCACCACCAGCTGCCCTTCGGCGGCTACAAGGAGTCCGGCATCGGCCGCGAGCTCGGCGAGGCTGCCCTGGCCAACTACACCCAGAACAAGTCGGTTGCCATCCGCCTGGGCGAGGCTATCTTCTAAGCTGGATAAAGCAAAAAGAAGGCTTGTTGGTGTGTGGATTGCGAGGGGGAAAAGACGTCTGGCTATGGTAATGAGCCAAAATGGTGCGAGGATGAAAGAACAAACATCAGAGTGTGTGAAACATCTGAAAAGTCATGATGGTACCTTGGTGTATTTTTAATACCATGAGGAGTTTTTAGTTATGAACTGCCTAGCTTTTCCTGAAATGAGATTGAACAAAAATTCAAAACATCTTTCGCGCTTTCCGATGCAGAGTAACAAAGTGAAGGCTCCTGTCCCCAAGTCGGTTCTATCCTTACCATGCATACTCGAAGAACTGAATGCCCATGACATGAGTTGAGAGTCGAATCTAGGTGCTTATTCCTCGCCGCCACTAGCCGAGATGCTCAACCCCTCACACGCGAAGTACTTATTGTATGGGCAACTTTGTTACCCCACCACTTACAACTTGGCCGATCTTATCGATAAGAGGCACGCGCACGTTCGATAACTACGTGCGAGATCCAGTACGCGACATAGACCGGCCGGAAGAGATCAGTTCTGTTGTTCGGGTTCCCCCCTCGGCCGCAAAAGGAAACAAGGAAGAAACAATGTCTGCGAACCAGTGGCCTCCCCCACAGGCCGCCGACGCCTCCGGGCGCGAAAAGACCTATTTCGAGCAGCAGCGCGAGGCGCTCATCGGGGACATCGCCATGGTCAGTTTGACAAGCCAGCCCCAGCAACCGGGAACTTTTCCTCGGCTATACAGGAGCTCGCCCCCCTTTTTGCTAACGTTCTGCGCCATTCGATGGCCGGGGGCCTGGGTGTGTAGAGTTTTGAGCATGTCCTGGCCAACGTCAACAAGCTGAATCGGTCGCTCGAGGCCGTCATTGCGGTATGTGATGCTTTTTCGCCATTTGTTTCGTTTTTTTTTTTTTTGGCGCGGGGGCCTGGGATGGGATGTAAATGACTGACCGGTGGACCTGGTTGTGGCATGGTTAGGTCGGCAACGAGTTCTCCTCGGTAGAGGCGCTCTGGTCGCAGTTCGAAAACGTCATGGCCAAGGAGCCGGAGGACGGCAAGGCGGCGCAGGATCAGAATGAGGGCGGCGGCGGTGCCGAGGAACGGGAACGGGAAAACGCCGGGAGCCGGGCCAGCTGCTGAAACATCAATAAGCGCGCGACGAAGTCTGAATGGTTACGGCATGAAAGGGAGAGATGCGAGAGGATGGTGTGTGCTGCACAGGATGGAATTGCCTGCTTTCTCGATACCCTTTATCTTACGAACACGGATCACGAAATCATTCATGTTTATTCATGGCACATTTGAGAAATAAAAGGGGCACCGTGAAGATGATGAAGTTTGTTCGTTTATGTCCGAGCCCGTCCCATTCCCTGATGAGAGGAAATCCATACTACAAAAGAAAAATGTCGAAGAACAAGAAGAGAGAGAGAAAAAAAGTGTTTCCATGGTACAACACCGAAGCCGCCCTCTCATCCCGACAGCCGCAAGAGATCAAATAAACTGGTTACAAGAAAGGTTTTGCAGCGTCAAGATGCCTCCCCTTTCGGGGAACGGCAAGGTGGCCACCCAATGATGAGAAAAGACTCAACAGTTCATCAATACCGCACCAAATAATGGTGCTTCCTCATTCTGCTCTGCCACCAGCAAGCATCCCACATACCCCTCTATCCTCCGGATCATGAAACAAAATATAAATAAAAAAAAAAAAGAGGTCGTCAGGATCATCCAGTGTGGTGTGGTAGAGTCATTACATCGCCTGGTCGTGTGTCTCCCCCTTACAAGGCGATGCACTTTCTCTTCCTCTTCTTAGGAGGCCCGTTGACGCCAGGGAAACTGCCGCCACCGCTGTTGCCGCCTGTTGAGCTGTTGCCGTAGGTGGCGGCGGCCTGCATCTCGAGATTTTTCCGGTCATTAGCCACAACCGTGAGGATGGCCCGCTCAAAGATCTCGTCGACGCCCTTCATCTCCTTGCTGCTGCACTCCATGTACTGGGCGCCCATCTTCTTGGCAACGGCAAGGCCCTGCTCCGTGGTCACGGGCGTCAGGCCCTGGGTCTTGAGCATGTCAATGCAGGTCTTCTTGAAGCGCAAGTCGGACTTGAGCCCGACAAGGACGAGCGGGGTGTAGGGGCAGAAGTGTAGAACTTCAGGATACCACTGTGTGGGTTGTCAGCCAAAGGATTCCGACTACCGGGTAGTGACTAGCCATAGCTAGTCTAAGAGACTTACCTTGTCCATCACATTCTCCAGAGAGTTGGGGCAGTCGATGGCGAAACAGACAAAGATGAGGTCAGTCTCGGGGTAAGAGAGCGGCCGTAGGCGGTCGTACTCTTCTTGTCCGGCAGTGTCCCAAAGAGCCAGCTCGACGGTCTTACCAGTGGGAGGGTGCGTCGGGTATGTGATGTAGTTCTCAAAGACGGTAGGAACGTATTTCTGTTTTGGAAGTTCGTCAGTAACCGCCCCTCGCAACGTCTGCAGCCGCGCTCGACTTCATACCTCGGGGAAATATCCTTGGCTGTAGCTGATCAGGAGGCACGTCTTTCCGCAGCCGCCATCGCCAACCACAACAATCTTCTTGGAGTAGGCAGGGCCTTCGGTCATCGCCGTCCCCGACGACTCCCGGCCTGTCGATGTGCTCATCATGGTGCTGACGGTGCCGTCGCTGGCCCTCGCCGACCTGTCGCCTCGCCTATCGCCGGTAGGACGTCGATCGAAGCCGCCGTCGTACTTTTCCTGGGGAGGTTGTCCGTAGTAAGAGTTGCGGTATTGATAAGACGCCATATTTGTCGCCCCAACGGGCAGCTGCTCGTACGCTTTTGTGGTGCGATTCGTCCTCGTCTAATCGACTACGACGGGGCGCAAAGTCGAGATGTTGATCCCGAGGGCAGGCTTCCTGAGCGACAGTTGATGCAGCTTGAATCGTTTGCTGAAGAAGGAATCGATATTGGATGCGCTCGGAATGGAGATGAGATGGATACTCCTGAAGCTATCGTCTTGGATGGAAAGAATGGTCAAATCTCATGAGCGCAGTTTGTGGATGGTTGGTTCTGCCGGCCAAGTCAGTCTGAGAATCCGGCGCAGTGCGACTGGGCAATTGCGACTTTGGCCCCAGGTAAACATGTCGGCTGGGCAACCGTCCGGCAGATCTTTGTGACTGGTGGGGTTGCCAGGGCGAGTGGGGCCATTCAGCTTGAATGATGCAACACCAGGGGCATAAGCTTCAGGGCCTGGGCGTGGGCTTCAGTGGTCAGTGGAGGCTATCACTAGCCCTGTTGCCCCTCCAGCACCACTTAATTTTGGGGCAGTAAACGCCTGGGCGCTTGCACGCGTTTGGCCTAAATGAAATTGGCTCTGTGCTGCTGGACCGTGCACGCGTTTCCTTTTCCCTTTCATTAATTTTTTTTTCTTGGCCAGGCTGCTGCTCTACTTGTACTTTAATTTCTCTTGCCAAATCCAACATCAGCCTTCTCTTCAGCAAAGCAGGCACCGCAGAACTGACGAGCACCATGGCCCCTGGCAAGTTCATCACCCTGGTCTCCAGTGATGGCTTCGAGTACGTCGTCCAGCGAGATGCGACGATGGTCAGCCCTTTCATCAAGAGCATGCTCGACCCCAAGAGTCAGTTCTCGGAGGCCAGGACTGGCCGCTGTGTCTTTGAAGAGATCAGGTAAGCATCGCACATCTTTCGCCCTCAGGTGTGTCGCAGCCTTTCTGCGGAGATATTTCCAATGACGAAAACACACTTTTTGTTGAATTGTGACAAGACCGTTCTGTTCTCACAGCTGCGGTCTGGGTGAGCTTCAACTACACTTGATCTGAGATGACGTTCAGCATCAGCATTGATCCTGTGGTTGTTCTTGACCTGCATATGAGGCTGACCTGTGTCAAGTGGCGTGGTCCTCGAGAAGGTGGTAGAGTACTTCCACTACTGGTACAAGAACCGCGAGAACGAGGATGTGCCAGACATGGAGATTCCGACCGAGCTGTGCCTCGAGCTTCTCATGGCTGCCGACTACCTTGGCCTGGACAGTAAGTGCACCTTTTGTTCGTTCCTCTACGATAGGCAAGAAGCTCATCTCGATTACAGAACAAACATGATCTCACTTGTCCATCACTACTGGATCGTACCATATTGGTCGATAACTACCAAGACGCTGAACAACATCAAAGAACGCCTAACACACCATGGCAGTACGCATGTTGGAACCCTCCAACTGACACCAACCAAGTCATTATGAGCAACAAGTACCGGGCTTTTAGACCGGCCTGCAATCGCGACGTGCTTCTCATCAGCATTGTGAGATTGAACTTCAGAGCTATCATCTGAGTGCGCTTGATTTGTGTTCTGTAAAACGTACGAGCCGCGCTAGCATGTCATGCTGGGTTCTACAGACCTCAAGTCTGAGGTACACCGAACCAGATTGTTCGCAGGCTGTCACGATGTCAGGCTTCTGTTCAGACAATGACATGCATAAGCCAGCAGTCGGCTTCAGATAGGTCAAGGGTTACATTACCCCTTTTCTTTCTTTTCTCTCCTGCTCTTGTCCTGCAACCCGTGAAATGTCAAAGCCCCATCTAAGCATATGCGTTCAAGAAGACCTTCGTGTCCGTGACTTGAATGTCTATAACGGATGGAAGAGGAAGCATCATCCCCCACACTCTGCTTGACTCGTATCTTTTGTGTTGAGATCTCGCTTTATGGGAGGGGAAACAGATCAATGCTGTGACATTGTTAGATACCATATGTAGATCAATAAATTGATCTTGAACAGTTTGCTTGCTTTGTCACACGCTGCTTCCATGCTGAATTCTCTGCCCAATTCAAATGAGAGTGGTAAAGATGCTCTCGCTGAGGATCTTTTCATTGCCTATTTGATCGTCTTGTTGGGAAATTCAATCGAGACATTCATGCCAACTGTCTGATATGGCACTGAAAGGTATGGGAAAAGAACAAAGACACCATCATTGTTGCTTGTTGATGGTTCATTGAAAGAGTGACAGAAAGACCTAAATGTGACAAAACTCAGCTTCCATTGTGTCATTGAAGTTACTCAACTGCCATATACAACTCCAGCACTAGAAGCCCTCTACTTGCCAACTTGTCAACAACTACTCTGTTATAAAAGTTGAGTGATACCAGTCACTAGTTTGAGTCAAGTATGCATGACCCCTTGTTCCAACAAAGTCTAACGCTTCGCTTTCCAGTTGTGAATCATCAGGGCCACACTTATATAGTCGCTTCGTATTCACAACAAACGACAAGCAGATGGTAACTTTCAAACACACACAATAGTGGAGAGTGAATATATATTCAAGATGTCTAATAAACCTATCGTCTAAAATAAAAGCCAGGCAAAGCGCTGTCCTCTGGGCGTTTCCTTGCTTATTCATTTCAGAAGTCAGCCAACACCCTCATTGCCCAGCATCTGAGACACATCGACCAGCATCCTTCCAACTCTGCAACAGATGACACGACAAGATGCCTGACCAAGCTTCAGAGGTTGAGGGCAAGCTCCGCGCCATCCCTTTCAGCCTCCGACAGAGGATAGATGCTGCTATCCTCAGACATGCAGAGATGATGGCCTCGGCCACCGTACCCCTACCCCCTGAGCCCCGAGTATCTCCAGTTGTGCCTCAAGCAAAGCCTCAAGAGACACCTCAGGGTATGCCGCAGAACAAGCCTTCGACCGTCAAGACCCCAACGGCTCCCCGGGCATTCCAGGGCCAGTTCTTCAGGCCATCAGAAGCGCTCAGAAACGACTCCGGAGCAGCGCAGCCCTACCAGAACAACGAGCCGCGGGCCGTCCCCGCCGCCACCGTGCCCGAGGCGGAGAACACGAGCCTCTTCCTGACGAACCTGCCGCCGAGATGCGACGTCGCGATGCTGATCGGCGCCCTCGAGGCCCTGGGCCCCGTCACGGGGCGCATCTGGCACTCGCACGTCAACCCGCCGGACCCGCCCGCCGGCCACTTCCTGTCGGCGGCCAAGGTCGTCTTCTTCAAGCGGGCCGGCGCGCGGGCCCTGCTGCAGGTGTGCCAGCGCGGCGGGTTCGCCGTGGGAGGGCGCGTGGTGCACGCGCAGTGGAACCGCTACGCCGAGAGCCCGGACTACGTCGCCGGCCAGGGCCAGGGCCAGGGCCAGGGCCACGACGACCTCAACAACGGAGGGGGGGCGGCCGCCCCGCCGCCGCCGCCGCCGCCGCCGCCGCCGTCGCGGGAGCTCAGCCGCGTGGTGCGCTTCGAGGGCCCGCACGCGCTCGTCGGCCGGGCCGCGCTGGGCGCCTTCTTCGGGTCCAAGTTCAAGTTCCAGACCGTCAAGGTCGTGCAGGTCCGGCAGACGGGGGCGACGCGCTGCCTCGAGTGGCACTTTGGCGGGTACCACCCGCAGGCGCAGTGGGCCGTCATGGCGGTCAACAAGGAGCGGCCCGCCGTCAAGGCGACCTATGCTCGGGACCCTTGCGACGTTTTCCCCTAGGCGGGGAGGACCAAGGGACGGACTGGTAAGCGTTGTGAGGGCATATCACGCGCGGAGGCGTCGTTTGTACGATATTAGATAGGATAGAGCCATAGAGCGGCCTTGTATGTTCAGGGCAGGCATATTTGAGAAGGCAAAATTGTGTGTTATTTATTTTCAGGAGTCCAGATTAGTGGCAAGTTTTACGACAAGCCAAATTATGTAATGATTCGGGGATATTTTCTCGACTGGTTGAATTCTCGGATGATAGTTCATGGCCTGTTGTATTTCGACCCTGCCCATAGCTCTGCATCGAAACTTCTCTTAGACTATTGCGCTTCGAGTTTCAAATCCGTCCGTTCTCGGAGATCAAAGCCCTTCATCAGAATGTCCGTCTGGGTGGGAAATGTTATGTTCAGTTCCCTCCCGTCAGCAGTCATGCCCCCGGCCAACTCCTCCCTGCTCACCCAAGCATAGTCTTGGTGCTCCGCCGGATCCAGCACGACGTCCACAGTATCCGCTTCTATATCAGAGGTCTGGTCGTGTGCCTCGACCTCCGCCTCGAAGCTGGCCTTGCGCCACGCCCCCCCCTTCACAGTCCACTCCGTCTCGGCATCGACGAGACCGCGGACTCTGACCACGGTGAGACCGGTCTCCTCCCTTACCTCCCTGACGAGAGCGTCAAGCGGGCTCCCGTCCACCCCCGGCTCGGCACCGCCCCCCGGTGCCTCCCAGAGATGGGGGCAGCCGTCCGTGGCGGAGCGCTGAACGAGAAGCACTCGGTCTTTCTCTCCGTGCCGCTGGGCACCTCCGCCGTTGGCCGTGTGGCTTTTGGCGGGCTTGAAGATGAGAGCGCTCACAATGAGGCCCGCAAGAGGCGGATTCGTGCTCGCCAGATATTCCCGGATAGGGACTCTAAAGGCATCGAGTGACGGATGGATTTCGAGTGTAGTTGGCGGTGAGTATGTGGACATCTTAAGAAACGAACTGTTTGACCCCAGGTTTCTATGTTAGAGTAAAAGAGTAGTCGTTCAAGGAAGATGGATAGTAAGAGAGGAGAGCGAGAAATTTTATAGAGCAATTGAGATCGTAATCAAAATGCAACTGCCTGCTGCATCTGTGCGAAATGTCGATGCCTGCAGAAGTGGATTTTTGAGAAGATGCGTATGAGTGGCCGGATTAGGCAATTGTAAGACCGACAAGAGGGTAATCGGCGGGTTCGGTTCAGAATCCCTCATAACAGCACGCATTTCACATTCGGAAACCAAAAGGGAACAGGTATGTTGATAAAAAGATCATATCGCTTCATTCATTTGATATCTCGTTGCTGAACTCCCCGCCGCCTCTTTGGGCTAATAAACCACGTCCCACCAACCGTCCGCCATCCGGTTTGGCCTCCCAGTAAACTCCACGCCTTTGAATTCTCGTCTCAGCATTCTGGTGCCTCTTGACCACTCCCAGTGTTACCAATCCAATTGTACACACAAGATGTCTCTCTCTCTTTTTTTTGCCAGCCCTTGTTTCTACTTTTTGAGCTTCCTCCCTCCTCCTCGAGACATTCAAGGAGATGATGGGGGGGAGAGCCGTTTATCGGCTGGTGTCAACGACGTAGCGGCCGACAACCTTCATGTCGTGCATCATGTCGTAGATGTTCTGGAGCTCGCTCAGACCGACGGTCTTGTACGGGCACTTGATGAGGCCCTGCTCGAAGAAGTCGAGGGCCTCGGCGGTGTCGGCGCGGTTGCCGACGTAGGAGCCCTTGATCTGGATCATGCGGATGACGGTGTCGAAGACGGGGGCCTTGAGGAAGGCGTTGGCGGGCAGGCCGATGCAGACGACGACGCCCCTGGAGCGGACGTACTCGGTGGCCTGCTGGAAGGGCTTCTCCGAGACGGCGAGCAGGATGACGGCGTGGGGGCCCAGGCCGTCGGGGGTGGCGGCCTTGACGTCGGCGACGATGTCCTTGGTCTTGGAGAAGTCGATGAAGGCGCTGGCGCCGAGCTCCTTGCAGCTCTTGGCCTTGTCGTCGCCGGCGTCGATGGCGATGGGGTGCAGGCCCATGGCCTTGGCGTACTGGATGGCCATGTTGCCGAGGCCGCCGCCGGCGCCGACGATGGCGACGTACTGGCCCGGGCGGGCGCCGGACTCCTTCAGGCCCTTGTAGACGGTGATGCCGGCGCACAGCACGGGGGCGACGGCCTCGAGGGAGACGTGCTTGGGGATGCGGGCGACGTGGGCGGCCTTGGCGGTGGCGTACTGCTGGAAGGAGCCGTCGACGGTGTAGCCCGACATGAGGGCCTTGGCGCAGAGGGGCTCGTCGGCGTTCTGGCAGTAGCTGCACGACAGGCAGGAGCCGTGCAGCCACTTGATGCCGGCGTGGTCGCCGATCTCAATGTCCGAGACGAGCTCGCCGCGGGCGACGACGACGCCGGCGCCCTCGTGGCCGCCGACCAGCGGGATCTTGGTGGCCAGGGGCCAGTCGCCCATCACGGCGTGCAGATCCGTGTGGCAGACGCCAGAGTACTTGACGTTGATGAGGACCTCATCGGGGCCAGGCTTGGGGACGGGGATCTTCTTGTAGACGACGGCTGCACAGCAAACCCCGCGTGTTAATCTCCCAGTCCGCTCGTACTCTATTCTCTCGGGAGCAGAGTTGGGTTTTTGGACTTACGGCCACCGGTCTTCTCAAGGACCTGCGCCCATTGCTCAGTGGGGATATCGTAGGAAGGCATGTTTTCAAAACTTTTGGTTGCGGGGTGTCTTTTCGGGGTGGTGGTTTCAGTGATGTAATTAGTCTATTTAAGCTTCGCAAGCTTTCAGTCTTGTTGTAGAGGAGAGAGGGATGGAGGATGGGGGAAAGATAGGTCGAGATGGAGGAAGAAGGCTACGATCTTTATATACAAAAAAAATGTCTCAAGGAGCCAGGTGTCTGTCTATCAGGACCGAATATGAAGCTAGTCGTCTTGACAAAAGGGGAGAAAAAAAAGAACGCGGGACAGAACGAATAGGAGAGGGCGTTGCCATGGTGTGGTTCTGGAATCTGGTGATGGGGCAGACGGACGGCGCGCCGGGAAGAGGGAGCGACTTCCCACCACCAGCCAAAACGTATGATCTGATCGAGTCGCATTTCCCCACAAATCGACCTGGACATCACCTTCGAACGCCCAGGTCGAGAACGCTTCTCCTGCCTGCCGGATTGTCAGGAAACAAGCTTCCCTTCTTGCAGGGCCCTGCACCGTGCGTCCCACCGACGAAGACCCGTCACTTGCTGCCCTTTGTTACATCACCACCTTTCCCCTGGTCCCAGGCAGGCAGGCAGGCAGATACCCCATCCCCGGAGCAAGCAAGCTGCTCTCTTCCTGCGGCTAGAGGTCCAGGCGCTGGGCGGGAGGAGAAAAGGGCACGGGGCTAAGCTCGTCGTCATCCATCTCACTGCATTCTCCAATCTCCTCTGGACCGATGCACGGCGCCGCCCCTCACCAGCAAGACGGACAATGGAGGGACGGAAAGCCCACCTGGTGAGGGGTTGCTAAGAGGTGGATGGCCATAGCTCCCAAGGCACGCTAGATCGTCACCATTGCAGTGGAACTTACGGAGTACAAGTAGGTAGGTACCTATATTTTGAGAAGCACACCAGTGGTGTGTGGGACCCGGCGACTCAGGTCCAGCGATTCAGGGCCAGGGAAACGGAAAGGCTGAACATCCAGGTGGGCTCGGGGGTGGACGGTCTCCAGTGCGTGCTCCGGCAACGGCTCAACTGCGGAACTTCAACAAGGAAGAGTGGGCTGCAGTGGCGTTGTAGCAGACGTTGCAGTGATTGCTCGTCGTATGTGTGATACTACATGTAGGTATGGAAGCGTGGCAGCTTGGCCGTATCTGCGGACCGCATACGGAGTGAAGAAAAAAAAAGAGCATGAGATCCGGATCTCCTGACGCTGACGCAGCCGACCCCCTGTCTGCAGAGATTCTCGAAGGGCGATTTCGATGCGGCGAACACCGCCGTCGCCGTGGAGGGGCCGAAGAATTGGGGACCCTTGGAGAGGAGATGAAGGCGCTAAGCTTGGCCGCAGCACCAGCTAAGGCGGAACTACCTAAACGACCTTCGATGGAGTTTCCGTGTATGCGATTTGGAGCAACACATCAACGATTCGATTGCAGGACCGACTCCCGGTGGTGCCGCGCCAGCCTGAGCTCAAGCTCCTTGGAGTCCTGGGTGCCAATGCCTGCCAAGAGAGAGGCTGGAAGCTATAGGTATCCATGCCATGGATGCTGTTGGTACAGTGAACGGGCCTCGACTCGAGGTTCTGTGGTTCTAACAATTCCGCACAGGATCATTACCGCATTCGTCCTCAACTTGCCTGCGTATGCTCCTCTTCAAAACCATGAGAGCAATCGTTTTGTTATACTACAGATCGCGAACAACATGCCGACAGTGGCCCAGAGGGATTGCCGTAGCAGACAACAAGTGCTCTGCATTCAACGGGTTCCATCCTTTGACGCTTAGGTTACCTCTGTTTATTTCTTGGCCTGTATACAAACAATATGGGACAATTCGGGACCGAAGTCTTGAGATGCACGCACCATCAGAGGAAGTACAGATTGCAGTAGACCAGAACCACACCTTGTTCCTCTCCTCCTGCATCCATTTCTCCCCAGATCCCCGTTCTCCATTCTCAGGTATGAGTTACCCCGCATACGCTTCCCTCCCATCTCCCCCCCAGTCGTTCCCAGGATGGGGAGGATGGGGAGGTGATGGGGCTGCGCAAAAGGGAGAAACGACAGTTGTCTGGAGTAGCGTGCACCACAAAGGCTTCCGTTGAAGCGAAGCAGCTGTCCCTAGTTACCGAGGCCGAGTCATGTCTTAGCAGGCACACAGTCCCCACAATGCGCTCAGCGCTGCACCTGAGCGTTTCGCGGGGGGACGGAGCGAAGCACTAGCGCTAGGCACCCTACTGCACCTCATCCTCACCGAGTGCCGTCCCTCGTCACGACCAGACCTCCACGGGGAACATCTTACTGCATAGGTAGGATTTAGGACAAGGAGTGGGTGCGCATGGGGTCCCCGCGGGGGTTTAGCGGATAGTCGAACAAGGCTGCTCACTGGAACGACGCCTGCATTATTTGGGGGGCATCTGCGGCTCCAGGACCCCAGTCACCGGCATCTCATCTAGGGTGAAGGGATACCACCAGATGCCGTGTGATGAGGCGGAGAAACAGTCGAGTCGGAGAATAGCTGGATTGCCCTTGGTCCTGCACTAGCTAGCCAGCCGGATCCGTCACCTTGCCTTTTCACGTCTTAGCATACTAGGTATGCACTTGGAACACCCCCCCAATCTGGAGCCAGTCCTGGTTGCAAGATGCGGCGACGGGCTTGTGGAAGATCCCACCTCTTGGCTCCCGTCTTTGATTCTCGCTAGCCCATGCTGCACGACCAATCGCCATCCTGAGCGGAACGGCGGAGAGCCAAGCTTGCGGCTTGTCGCTGAGATGACATTCTGCTGGTGCTGCCCGTCTGTCCCCGTGATGTTTCGCAGAATGCCACTTGGAGACTGCCCAGATGAGCCGGCCGACCGGACAGTCAATGTGAATCCACATGTCTCCATGCTGTGGCTGGAAGACGAGGTCTTAGCTGCATATGGCATGGCAGGTGGCCGCATATGGATGCCTACCTCAGCTCTTCCCTTTCCTTGCCTGGATACGGCTGCTCCATCTAGTTAGTAGGACCTGGGGTAGCAAGCCAACTCACTGCTCCAGCAATGCCCGAGTTTGACGTCCCCAAGTTCAACGAACGCCTTCAAGAGTTTTCTCAGCATCTGCAGAGAGCACCATCGTGACGAAAGGGGTTTTGAAAAACGCTGAATCAATGTATTGGCAAATCTCCTACCATGATCCGAAGCCAGAACTATCTGCACCGTCTATGGCTTTTTTCCGAAACGCAACCCCAAGGTCCTTGCGAAACCTCCTACGAGCCACCAGGGCCACCCAACAGCGCGAATCGCCGAACGATACTCGGGCCATACTCTTGATACTAGTGCATGGTCAGATTTGGGAGATCAATACGAGCAAACAGTGGGAGGGTAGGCCTACCTCTGCCTTTGTGTGGCAGTATGACCGGAATTCCGGGGTTTGTCCCAGCAGAGAACCTCCAAACCACGGACCGTGTCGTTGTCTCTTGTGGGTGATGACCTGGACATCGAGTCCACCACTCTTGGCGCCACCGCTGCGGACTTCGCTTGCCTTGATCCTGGCGTCGACCAGCTGCTTGATATCTCTCTGTAATCTCCGACCAAAGTCCTTGTAGAGAGTGCTGCCGCCCGAAAGCACAATGTTCTTGTAGAGGCCTCGCCTGACATCAATGGGCGAAGACTGAATGACGCCATCAACGACAACCGGGAGAGGTGTGAGGAAGTCGGAGCTGTAGATCTCGGGGTTGAAAAAAATCTCGGGTGCGAGGAAGCGTTCGTAGCCAACATCGACTGTGACCTGTCGACCGCCAGGCTGGGTGACGACGTGCTGCTGGAAGCGGGTGCGGTCCCGATCAAAGCGCGAGAACTCCTTGACAATATCCGGGCAGACATAGCAATACTCCTCCTTGATCTCCTGTGCCGTCTTGAGAGATGAATCCGGCTCACCGCGGTCTCGGAGAAGCGACTGCACAAAGTAGGTAATGTCGCGACCGGCAATCGGGATCGACTTGATGGATGATCCGATGACGTAGCCCTCAGCGACAGGAATGACATGGGTGACACCGTCACCGGAGTCGATAACGGTTCCCGTCAAGGATCGATCCTGGACTTTGGAGGAAGTCCACGAGGCGGCAAGAGCCAAAACTGCCTGCACAGCAATATATAGGCCGGCGCAATTGAAAGACTCGAAGAAGATCTCGGCGGTGTTTTCTCGGTTTTCCGGAGGGTTTAGAGGCTAGAGGTAATCAGCACATGATATGTTGAAGCAATAGCCACGGTGTCATACAGGCTCAGTCAGTAAGAAGTAATGGTCTTCCGGCTCTACCCTCAAGTACTTGAAGATCGAGTTGGACCAGAAACGTTCCATATGATCCTGCACCCTGTTAGTTATTGTCCTAATGTACACCGGTCTTCTCCGACCAAACATACCCAGTTCTCTATTTGACCGTGACGAATCGGGTAGTGAATTCCGTAGCCTGGATGTAACTTAGCCATGATGCTCGCCCGCAAGGTATCGGAGCTGACGAACCAGGCCCGGATGAAGCTGCAATAGCCTCGTCGCCAATAAAGAAGTCCAGGTCTTCGGTTCCTCGCTTCGCCTGCAGGTGCCCGCCAGGACCGGCGCCTCCCGTGAGGAAGGACGGTTTGTTGGCAACTGCAGGGCGACCCGACCCCGAGCCACCGCTACCGGCAGCAGGACCTTTGGTCGCAATCGCAGTTGGGAAAACAAATGAGGGCGAGTCGTTTCCGGCAAAACCTGTAGACAAGAGTCAAGGTCAGCAAAAACCAAGTTTCTGAAGAGCCGCACAAAAGACAGAGGCATACCTAGCTTGGAGAAACCCGTGCCGCTGCAGAGAGAGAGGTTGGTCAGTAATGCGCCCTAAGATGACGTTGCGGCCGAGTGACAGCCGTCGCAGTCCCGCTCGCTGAGCTTCTGAGATCACTCACTTGTCCATGACAACGGCAGGAGTTTGGTTGGCCATCTTGCAAGACTTGGAGCTATGCGCAGCTCCGTGACTATCCAGACAAGGGGTCGGTGATGATGGGGGTTGTTAGGAGAGAGACGGGCGAGTTACGTGGGTGGTGGGGTTGGACCATGATGTGTGCGTGCCTGCTGGCGAAGCTCCTTGTCCAGCCGGGCTGTGCTGCCCAGCTGCTGTGCGGAAAGCCCCGCAATCCTTACATAAGCACAACCCAAGGCTCCAGATCCGTGTTGACCTGATGGCCAATCAGGTATCATTTCACCTTTAAACCTTCCTCCAACCTTTGCTGGAATTGCTGGACTCCTCAGTCTCGCTGCGATGGCAGATATTGGGCATCTGTTTGCATATTTTGAGATACTGGAGGCCCTTGCTCCTTACTCAATTCGAGGTCATATCTCGTAGCCATGCTGGGAGAATGCCCCTTGCCTGCCGATCAATGGTTGATTTCTTACTTCAGAAAAGCAGATTTCATGCAGTTTATTGTGACCAGGAAGTGCCAGACACAAGCGGCGAGATCAATCTTCGGATGGAAGCAATGGCCATGCCGACTCACAACTTCCTCTGACAAGACACGAAAACGGGGTGTGCCCTACTTCAAGACTATTTTTTTGCGCCTCAACCTGACCCGAAGTTGAGCCGCTGAGGAAACGGCCTAGCTTGCCCTCGAACGTTCCTTCATCTGATTTCTTTTCTCGGATGCCACCACATTTTATTGCAAACCATCTCCTTCACAATCATCTTACTTTGCTCTCTATCTCTACTGGGCTGCAATATTCTCCCATACGTCGACCTCGTCTCTTCGAGGGGTTGCCTTTGCCGTCAACACTCCTTGCACACCAGGCGCCTCTCCTTCACACGCGCACCTCAGTTATTCGGTCATCTTTACAATCATTATTTCACGGACCAGCTCTTCTTAGCTAGCATTCCTTCCACTGCTCGAGCGGACAAGCCAGCCAGCGTTGCGCTACACCATCTCGATAGTTTTTCTGCCCAGCCTTGCAGTACCCCCTTTGCGATCTCAAACATACTGGACTTCAGCATTGCTCTCTTGCTCATGGGCTTCGTTACCTCGACATGAACTATTGAGTCGATTCACAAGCCATACCATCCTGACAGTTTGTTGTGACTTTGCGAGCCAATTGGGGAGCACAACCGATCCAGCAACGCAAACAGTTCATCTCAATTGAGTGACTGGAAGAAAAGAGAGTTCAAGGGGCTGCAACTCAACGCAGAGTCTGAAATAATGAAAAAGAGCTATGCTTCGGCGGTCAAGAGCCGGAATTATCCTCAGGACCGGCCCTGGTACTTGACTCAACCTACACAATCCAATGTCCGTGTCACTGGAGACGACACAGTGGACAATGTCGAGAAGTCCAAGGCAACAACGGCGATTTTCATCCATGCTGGTGCAGGCTTCCACAGCACCGCAAATGAGGCTGCTCATCTAGGTGCATGCAGCGAGTAAGTGTGGTCCTCGGTCTTGGCTCATTGACGAGATACTGATGTTACTTCAGGGCGGCACACATTGCCATGAAATTCCTCAATGCAGGCGCAACAGCTGCTGAAGCTGTGGAAGCTGCCATTAGGTCTCTGGAAGATACGGAGATCACTAACGCAGGCTATGGCAGCAACCTGTCAATCGATGGCAAGGTCGAATGTGATGCAACTATTGTTGACCACCTTGGCCGGAGTGGCGCATGTGGTGCAGTACCCCGTATGTAAACCTATGTCCATCTATATCCCAGCCCTTATTATCTTCATCAAAAATACCTGCAAACGGCTTACGTCACTCACACTGCAATGAATAGACATCAAAAATCCAATCTCGCTCGCCAAACTCATCCTCGACAGGGCCAACCAGCCACTTTCACTCCGTCGAGTCCCCCCCAATATCCTTGTGGGAAATGGCGCTACAGAATTCGCCCGGGAGCATGGAATTCCCATCGTCCCCAACGACTTCCTCATCTCTAGAAACGCAAAAGACCGATACATTAGGTGGAGCGAGGACCTGAAGCGAGCCGAATCTATGGTCCCTTCCTCAGATGACGAGCATGAAGAGAGCGAGGCATCATCGACCACCAAGTGGCGACCACCGAAACAAATTCCCCTCCCTGACCAGAGGGATCATATCAACGCGATCCTCACTGGTACCTTCAACGAAGGTCAGCCGGACTCACCTCATCCAGGATCCCCCTCTCCGGTGAAGGATGGCTCACCGCTTCCGATTCCGACTCGTCGAGCCTCACAGTCGAGCACCACCACTGTCGGAAATGGAGGTAAAGCTTCAAGCTGTAGCCCTCTCAATTACATGGGAGATATGAAAGCCAAGAAGACGAGGGGCTCCCCAAGTAAGCGCACGAGGGTGGATGGAAAGGATCACGAAGCTGGGACTGCCTCTCCACCCTTGGCCACGAACACCGAAGCGGCCGTGCTGGAAAATTGTTCCCGTCACGACGGGCCGGAGGATATTGGTCGGAGCTCCTCTGGAAAGGGCAACGCCTCGACACCTCCTCATGCGAGTGACGGCACAAGCGATGTCGAAGATCTGATCACGGACACTATTGGTGCTATCGCCGTTGATCAGTCGGGCAACATTGCAGCCGGATCATCCTCTGGTGGAATCGGCATGAAGCACAGCGGCCGCATCGGCCCAGCAGCCCTTGTAGGAATCGGAAGTGCAGTCCTGCCGGTGCATGCCGATGACGAAGACGAGACGAGCGTGGCTGCCGTGACCAGCGGCACCGGCGAGCACATGGCCACCACAATAGCAGCGTATACCTGCGCTCAACGGCTGTACCACAATGCGCGGTCTGGACCGGGAGGACAGCTCGTCGACGAATATGATGAGGCCCAACTGATGCAGTCTACGATTCTGGACGACTTCATCGGCCACCCGGGCGTGAAGGATCAAAACTCCAAGGGAGCCATCGGAATCATGGCCGTAAAGAAGACGCGCACCGGATACTACTTCCACTTTGCACACAGCACCGATTCCTTTGCTCTTGCTTCCATGTCTTCGAAGGACAAGGCGCCGCGGTGCGTCATGTCCAGGCTTAATAAGCATGGCAAGGTGGCCCAAGGAGCGAGGAAGATACCCCGAGATTGAGTTGTGGAGTCTGACCGTTTGACTGGGTGACGGGACACTCAGTGTCCCATGCTGAGCCTCGAGGTTGGCAAAGGCTGAAGTGCGCAGGAAACAGCTTGTTTCCGTCACACTCGAGTTGCTTAGATGGAAGACCGGACAAGGTACGATCATCGACTGTACCACCTTTATCATTATTACTGCTGCAAGCTTGGCCTCGATGCCTTCGCGAACGGATCTAGACTTGCAGCACATGACCAGTCCAACAATTCGAGAAAGGGGACGACAGAGGACCGAGATGGCTGGTCTGTTGGGAAGGGCGCGATATCCATGCCTTGCACCGTACGGCTGTGAGCACCGGGCGGCGAGCTGGGATGAGCGGATTCACAAAAAAACACGATGGGGAATGACTGTGATCTCGTCCGTTCATGCTTCATAATATTGAGCATGCAAATGAATGCCGTGCCGTAGTGGGTATACCCTTATGCTCGCCTTTCTACGAGCCCCTAGATAGCTAATACACGTACGAATATCTCTATACTGAGCATACCCGCCTCTAATCATAAGACGCCGATGGACTGATTCCCTTGATCCGTAGAATGCTTTTTTTGACCTGTTACATGCATGAAAAAAATACTCCCCGATCAGCAGCAATCAAGCAGGGAGCGGAGTCCCAGCGGCACTACCCGTCTCCTCTCGCGTCTCCCCGTTGATACCGATCCGCCGCTTCTTCTTCCTCCTGACCCGGGGCACAACGGCTGGCTTGGCGCCGTAGGAGCCCAGGGCGAGTTTTGTCCCGCACGTCAGACACTCTGCACCCTCTGGCACCTCGCAAAATATGCTCAGGCAGATGCTGCATACGAAGCCCGTGTCTACCACCTTCCTGTGGCAGAAGCACGCAGCTCTAAAGTCGACCACGTCGGTGCTCGGGGATATCAGGCTCGAGGCGTCCTCGCTGCTCGACGTCGCGCCGAAGCCGAACATCAGATATGTGAGCAGGCCCTGCGGGTCCTCGGCGGACAGGAAGGTGCCTCGCGTGATGAAGGAGGCCTGCTGGAGGAAGGTCGCCGTGCCGCGCAGGGACAGCACGTCAATGGCGATGCCCGAGTGGGAGGCGGCGAAGACGGCGTTCATCGTGGGGATGTATTGCGCCGGGCTCGAGTCGGAGACGGAGATGATGAGGATGCGGGCGTCGAGGCCGGCCTTCTCGGCGGCCTTGGACCGCGTGCCCTTGGTATCTGTGGCGGAGCCTGACCGCGTGGACGGGAAGGCGAGGGAGGTCTTGTTGATGTGTGCGAGGGCCAGGGTGAGGGCGCCGGATATCAGGGTCGTCGTCTCGCCGAGGTCTGCCTCTGCCGTGCTCGCGATGAGCTCCCTCGTCGCCTTGAGCAAGCTGGTCTCGACTTCCGCGAACTGCGGGAACTTGTTGGCCGATGTCTTGGTCGTCGCTCCGTCAGTAGTGGCGGCGGCGGCGGCGGCGGCCGGGGCATCCGTCATGTCGACATCTTCACCACCGGCGCCACCGGACGGCCGCGTCCTCTGGGGCTGGCTCGAGGAGGGTGACGGGTAGAGCCACTCGGCGCGGTGGCTGTGGGATGCGATGACGGCCACTCGGTTGCCGCTGCTGAAGGCGAGGTGCGAGTTTGCAAAGACGAGGATGTTGGCGATGGCGCGGCTGAGGGGCAGGGTGGAGGAGAGGGCGGCCCAGGCACGGGGGTTCGTGTCGAGGATTATCGTCAGGAGCGAGGGTGCCTCCTCCGAGGTGACCACTTCATAGTGAGCTGTGGCATCGACTGCATCCATTGTGACCTATGGAGAGGCAGCCGAGCTAGATTTTTAGGTCTTGAAAGAGACCAGGCAAACGCCACGGTTCAAGAGAAGATGGGAGGGACTCTGTTGTAGTAGAAGAACGAGGTTGTCCCTGCCAGGGTTGGCCGTCCTGCATAGGCACAGGTGGAGGCAGAAAGGATGTTATTCACCAAGCCACCTGGAGCCTAGAGTTGGTGATACCTACCTCTATGTTGAATCAATGATGGATGGATCTCCAGTCAGTTAGCTGATGTCAGTTTATCGTTTTAGTGGATTCTAGTGCATCACTCTAGCTAAGATCTGCCTAGGCAGGGGTTAGTCAAGCGGCTGATAAGCGCCCAGAGATACGGGCTCCAGGCACACGTGATGGGCGAGCTGTCCAGATTGATCCATCCATGGGTCCAACCCCCCACCATAGTCGTGGTGGGATTAGTGAGATGATGCTGCTAGGTACTGACGGAGCACATTGATAGCACCTAGCTCTGCCAAAGGAGGGGCAGTTTACTGCCGCACTGGGTTAGGTACCATGGCGCGTATCAAGAGGTACCACCACGCGCATATTATGCGCAGCAATTACGACACAGCAAAAAAGATTGGGGAGAAATTGGGGGGTTGGCCATAAATTGCGAGACATTATCTCAGACAGTCTGGATCTGATGTGAATTCAACATCATTTGACATCTACTCACCAATCCTTCCCCTGACCGGCACCTCATTACATATCATCGACAGCCTTTGATTGTCTGGTGCCTAGGTTCTGGTGCTTTGAGCTCGCACACACCCTATCACTTGACAAAGTCAAAGCAAACAGAGCACAGCAAACAGCAAGGTGAAATCAACCCAACAATATCACCGCCCGCGATGGCTACAGTCGCCGAGTCCACAGATGCCCTGCAGCAACAGAACCTGAGCAGAGATGATCAGACTCTCTTGCTGTTTGCCGGTCTGATGGAGGGAGGCAAGGAGGACGACGAGACCGTCAGAGACCTTGATCAGCTTACAAAGCTGCTTAATGACGACGTCGAAGCAACTAGCAAAGGCCAATCTTCTATCTGCACAGTCATTGATGGCGACTGCGTAGACACTCTGCTCTGCTACCTCGACATGCGACAGCAAGACGTAGTGAGGGGTCATGCTACTCTTGCCACCTCTGCCTACCTCAAGGCTTCTGGAGACGATGGCTCCAAGAAGCTCTCCGAATTCTTCTATGACCGAGTCAAACGGGGCACCTACGATGACTACATCGTTGCCTTTTGCGTGGCTGGTGTCATCTTCCCCATCGTCCCCGACCTGACAGCAGAACTGTTCCTGAGCGAAGGCTTTCTCCCGAGCCTTGGTCCTCTCATGAGGCGCAAGTGGAAGAGCAGGAAAGTCGAGACTGCCTGTCTGGAGATGCTCAACGCCGCTTGCATGCACACGGCGTGCCGTGAGGGCGTTCAGAAGTACTGCCTGGAGTGGCTCGAGGAGGTCGTGGATCAAGATCCAGAAGAGGTTGTGAGGGACATGTATGCCGCCAATCCCGATGTCAACCTCGAGGAAGGCTCTATCTCGATGAGGAGGCACTCGGAGCAAGTACAGCATCTTGCAGCTGTCGTCCTGGCAAAGCTCAAGGTATGCTGACCCTTCCATCGTGGTTAGACGATCCCGTGTCGCAACAAATCTGACTGACCGTAGTCCTAAAGGCAACACAACCGCCAAAGTCTACGACCGAGATCACAGGGGAGAGAGTGGAGCAAGCGACGACGAGTATCGAGGACTTGAGCAAGATGTTCACCAAGGTATTGATTTCGAACCCGGAGCAGGGCCGCCAAAGCTCCGTTGAGGGCCTGGCGTACGCCTCTTTACAACCCCAGATCAAGGAGGATCTAGCAAGGAACAAAGATCTTCTCGCAAGCCTAGTCAAGACTCTCCAAGATGCACCTCCCAAGTCGCCCTTGACATACGGCGCCTTGAGCATCTTTGTCAACTTGACGAGGTACCAACCAACTCAGTCGGAGGAGGAGAAACGCATCAGCCAGCTCAAGGCATACGCAAACGCAGCTGGGAAAATACAACCCCAACCCCTGAATGACGACAAGCATGTCGCTGCACGGTGTAAGAGAGTCTTCGAGGCGGGCATCACCCCCGTCCTCGTGTCACACAGCAAGAACGGCTCGGTGGCTTCCCTTACACTCATCATCTCCATCATCTTTTCCATTTCAGTAACGACTAGTCTGCGGGGCCAGCTGGCACAACAGGGAGCCGTTCGCCTGTTGATCGATGCCTGGGATAGCCTGCCGGCAACAGAAACCCAGACAAAGCGAATGGCGGCCCAGGCGCTGGCGCGTGTTTTGATTTCCACCAACCCGAGCCTCGTGTTTGGAGGAACAAGGCCGGTTCCGCAAAGTGCTGCTATTCGACCCCTGACTTCTCTCATCAACCCCGATCCCGCTGCCGACACTCGAGACCTACTGCCTACATTCGAGACGCTCATGGCCCTGACAAATTTGGCATCCACGGACGATGACACGCGCCGGAGCATCGTCAGGACAGCCTGGACTGACATCGAGGAGCAGCTCCTCTCCCCAAACAACCTCGTTACCAAGGCCTGCGTCGAGCTCATCTGCAATCTCGTCCAGGGCGTCGACGCTCTGCAGCTCTACGCGGACGGCAGCGTCCAGGCCAAGAACCGGCTGCACATCCTGGTCGCCCTGGCGGACGCCGAGGACGAGGGCACCAGGAGCGCGGCTGGAGGCGCCCTGGCGAGCTTGACCGCCTACGAGCCGGTGGTGCAGGCGATTGTCTCGCGCGAACGCGGGGTGGAGAACGTCCTCGGCCTCTGTGCAGACGACAGCGAGGACCTGCGGCACCGCGGCGTGTTTGTCGTCTACAACATGATCTCTGCCGAGGGTGAGACGGGCCGGCTCGCGCGGGAGAAGGTCAAGCAAGAAAACGGCGTCAGCATCCTGACCGAGTGCGCCAAGAAGAGCCGCAGGGCCGAGGTTGTGGAAATCACTGTTCAGGCAATCAAGATTCTCATAGAGCAGGTATAGCGTGTTCCAAGACGGATGACAAGATGGCATCTGGTGTATTTCAGCCAAGTTGGACGGCGTTGGGGGTGGATGGACATCATCATCATTGTGATAGCGGGGTATCTATGACAGAAGCATTGTAGTACATGAAATTATGACTCAATCGTTGTTTTATCCTCCACCTGAGCCTCATCCTGAGTCTCGTCCACCCTGTTCAGGACTGCTACTCCCTCGACGTGGCCGGTCTGCGGGAAGAAGTCGAAGCCGCGAAGACTCTCGATCTCGTACCTCGCTCTCTTCTTCTTGGACTGCGTCTTGGCGCCACCACCCTCTGCAGCACCGCCATCGACCTCGCCTCTAACGAGGACTCCGACGTCCCGCGCCTGCGTGTGCACGTTGCAGCTCACGTACACGACCCGCGTGGGGCCGAATTCCATGAGCTGCCTCAGGAAGCTGGCGTCGCAGCCCTTGCGCGGCGGGTCCAGCACGACGACCGTCTCGTCGGGGTCGTACTTGACGCTCTTGAACAGCTCGGGCGCGTCGGCGGCGAGGAAGCTGCACTGCGACTCGGAGAGCCTGTTGAGCTCGGCGTTGCGCCGGGCGAACGCGATGGAGCCCGCGGCGATGTCGATGCCGATCGACCCCCCGGGCAGGGTGGAGGCCAGGGTGATGGTGAAGAGGCCGGACCCGGAGTACGCGTCGATGAGGTACTTGACGGGCTTGGCGCCGGGCTTGGGGCACGGCGGCAGGATGTGGTCGCGCACGTACGAGGTGAAGACGGGCAGGATCGAGTTGTTGTTCTGGAAGAAGGCGCCGGCCGGGTTGGTGAAGACGTAGTCGTCGATGTACTCTGTGGTGGTGGCGTTGCTGTCCGTGACGCACGTCTTGATGTCGGTGTTGGCGTCCGTCTCGACCCTGACGGCGTCGGAAGGCAGTTCCTCCTCTGGCACTTCGGACCCCTTGGGGTAGCGCTTGGTGTCTTCCCGCAGGAGGATGGTGGCGCCTCGCTCGTACTTGCTGAACTCGCTCTCCATCCGCTTGCGCTCCCTCTGCATGCCTTTCCTGACGGCGTCGGTGCCGATGGGGCAGTCTTCAATGTCGAGGGTCTTGCGAGAGCCCTTTTGCATGAAGCCGATGTCGGGCGTGCTCTCCAGGGCCTTGCGCTTGCCCCGGCTGCGGAAGCCGGGAGGCCCGTCAAAGTGCGGCGTCAGCTTGGTCCGGTAGCCGAACTGCAAGGGGCTCCCGATGGTGTCGAGGATCTCCGGGTAGAGCTCCGGAGGCAGCTGGGAGAAGTTCTTGTAGGCCTTCTCCACGATGCGCTTCTTGAGGCGCAGCTGCTCCGGGTAGTCGAGCATCTGGAACTGGCAGCCGGAGCACTTGGCGAAGTAGCGGCACTGTATCCTGCTGTCATCGCGCAGGGGCGAGGGCTTGGTGACGGAGATGAAGTCGGCCACGGAGTACTGCTCCTTCAGCAAGTGCCTGTAGACCTTGACTCTGACGGTGTCCCCGGGCACGGTGAAGGGGACGACGTAGATTCTGTCCGATCCTGGCTGGCGGGCCAGACCGTCGCCAGTAGACGAGAGCTCGACGACTTCCACGTCAACCTCGGTGCCAGGCTCTGGCAGTGACGCAAGAACCACAAGGGGGTCCTCTTGCGCACCATTGGTCTCCTCTGGTGGCGGCGAGGAGAGCCTCTGGGCGGCTAGCATGGACTGGATGTCGGCCATGAGAACCTCTTCTGAAGAGCCTTCCTTGACGGGCTTCTGCTTTCGCCCTTTGCTGAACTTTTTGGGCCGCCGGCCGCCACCACCGCCGCCGCCGCCGCCATCATTCTGATGCGGCCTCTTGCCTGGTGCCGCTGACATGAGTTTTGCAAAAGCCGCTGGGTCGAGTCGGTTGCTCGTCACTGATCTCAGAGCAATTCCAGTAGAAAAGGTCTTGGGTTGAAAACGAATGAGTCCAAGCTTGGGTCTTGAAGTCGCCAACAGTGGTCTGGTCAGTTGTGATATCCAGGCTGTCCGCATGAAGAACCAGACGTTGCTTTGTGAAGAAATTTTCGATGAGATGAGCAGGCGTATTCAGGTCGCCGCTGCCCGGGTTCGGACTCTCTCAACGAGATTTTCTTTGGTGAACGTTGTATAAGTGATGTGAGCAAGTCTGTATCGAGATGCGCTACCGTCTTAAAATTTTGACTAATGGCGAAATGGCAGCAAGTTGATTGGTGTTCGCCTCTCCCCAAAAAATTCAATGTTCTCTTTGGAGAGAGAAGGAGGTGAAATGCGCTAGGGGATGTCTAGCGCGAGGACTGATGAGAGCAATGAGTTCCATCTCGAGCCCTGAAACTGATATGGGTTAGCGTACGGAACACCTGGATGGTTCCGCTAAATCCGCTGTCAACTGACCAACTGCCAGTTTGAGACCTCATGACCAAGCATCCGTGGATTCCTTATCTCAGTACCTCCTTGCAACAACACACCTGTGTAGTCCATAACCCTGATTTCTCTTCATCTTTTTCTGTGCATGGAGTAAGAGCGGGTGTTTCAGGCTTCATAGACTGGAATTTTTCAGTTTCTGTAAAATATCACATTCCGTCAACGCAGTCCGGAAATTCTCAAGGCTCGTTTAGACAGCTTATCCGCCATGAGTATGTTGCATAGGCCATCGATGCCAAGGCACCCCGTCTTTGTAATCCATACAGGCACATATACTAACAACCTTGGATAGGGATAACACAGTCATGGCAACTGGTATCCTGTCTCTTTGCAGGACTAGGACAGGTCAGAGTTGCCCGGGGGTATGCCCTGCAGGACATTGTCTCTTCAGTCCACGGGTCCAGGGGCGCCGTTGCCAGTGAAAGCGATATCTGTTCGCGAATTGGTATCGATCTCATCGAACATGGAGTATGCAGCCTCCACGCCCCCTTGTTCTGCATAACTTCATGTATTTCATAGAGGGCGGAAGCTGACGTGTTTTCAGGGCAACGCGGCAGATGCCATGGTCGGCACGACGCTGTGCGTCGGGGTGATAGGCATGTATCACTCGGGCATCGGCGGTGGTGGCCTTATGCTCGTCAGGGACAAAGACGGCAAATATGAGTCTATAGACTATCGAGAATCAGCTCCAGCTGCTGCCCATCGCGATATGTACAGGGGCAATGTGAATGGCAGCGTATTCGGCGGCTTGGCAGTCGGAGTACCAGGGGAGCTGAGAGGGCTGCAATATCTCCACGACAAGTACGGGGTAAGTTTGAAGCCCGCCATCATCCATTGAGTCGGTCGTTGTGCTAAGTAAGAGCGAAGGCGCTTCCATGGCGGGCGGTCGTAAAGCCTGCAGTCCGCGTCGCAAGGAATGGGTTCAACGGTAAGTCGTCCTGTGTCGTGGAGCGCAGTTGCGAATGTCTCTAACTTGTCGACGACAGTGACCGAGGATCTCGTCCGTTATATGCAATTCGCACAGGAATATGCCGGCAACTTCCTCGTTGATGATCCCATATGGGCGGAGGATTTCGCTCCAAATGGCAAGTTGGTGGAGCTTGGCGACGTTATCACACGGAAACGCTATGCCGAGTAAGAGCTTCCAGATGTCTCTGATAGACTGAACCGAAGCTGACTGCTCACAGTACACTGGAGAAGATTGGTCGAGAAGGCGCGGATGCCTTCTATAAAGGAGAGATAGGTGAGTCTTTCGAAAGCAACCAAATGAGCCGTCTCGTGCCTGACACATTGGCAGCCGAGTCAATGATCAAGCTCATCCAGGAGACAAATGGTACCATGACCATGGACGATCTCCGGAATTACCGAGCAGTCAGCAGGCGTGCACTCTCGGTTGACTTCCGAGGCTACAAGATATTCGCCACGGGCGCGCCGGCATCTGGTGCTGTGACACTTGCCACGCTCAAGACGATGGAGCAGTATGCAATTGAAGACGGCCTCGACACCAACTTGACAACGCATCGCTTCGTCGAGGCGATGCGCTTTGCGTACGGTGCACGCACTGAGCTCGGCGACCCCGACTTTGTCACCAACGCCACGCTCTTTGAAGACCTGCTGCTGTCCAAGCACAAGGCCCGGGACACGGCGCAGCACATCCTCGACGACAGGACGCAGCCCGTAGAGGCCTACGACCCCCATCTCGAAGACGGCGATGATGCCGACGACGGCCCCAGCCGACAGCAGTACTACGCGCCGCCCGGCCACGGCACGAGCCACATCGTCACGGCCGACGCCTCGGGCCTGACGGTCAGCAGCACGACGACCATCAACCTGCTCTTCGGCGCCGTCATCATGACGCCCGACACGGGCATCATCCTCAACAACGAGATGAACGACTTCAGCATCCCGGGCGCCCGCAACGAGTTCGGCTTCGAGCCCAGCCCGGCCAACTACGCCGCGCCCGGCAAGCGGCCCCTGAGCTCCGTCACGCCCGCCATGGCCGAGCTCGCCGGCAACGGCACGCTGCTGCTCGCCACGGGCGCCGCGGGAGGCAGCCGCATCATCAGCGCCACGGCGCTGGCCCTCTGGAACGTGCTCGAGCGCGGGCAGCCGCTGCGCGAGGCCGTCGCCGCGCCGCGCCTGCACGACCAGCTCATGCCCAACGAGGCGTGGTTCGAGTGGACCTACGACAATGGCACCGTCGCCGACATGCGCGCCCGCGGCCACAACGTCAAGTGGGTGCGGCTGGGCATCAGCGCCGTGCAGGGCATCCGGAGGCTGTGGGACGGCTCCTTCGAGGCGGTCGGGGAGACGAGGCAGAAGAACAGTGGAGGTCTGAGCATTTGAAGGTTCTTTCTTTCTACATAGACTCGCTTCGGGGAGGATTTACATAGCCTTTGATTATCCTTGAGAAATAGAGAAAATTCACACGAATGCTCAGCCATGCTACACACCCTTGGACACCTACGTTGATCCCGCTATGCGTTCATACAATTCGAGTGTGGTATTGCGTCAGTGTCTCTACGGAAGTCAGTCAGATAGTAGTGACGGTCTATGAACCGCGCGAAGCAAACAGGGTATCTGGTATCATGGTCTATGTCTGATGAGGGAAAATGGAAAATCGTTTGCCTATGCGCACATCGCCACCAACTTCTCCGTGTGCTCAATCCACTTCTTTGCAAATTCCTCCTCGGTAAACCGCTTGGCCGAGCGGCGCGCCCGCTCTCTGACAGCCAGCGGGTTGGGCAGCGACAAGGCCTTCTCGAAGCCTTCTGCGAACTCGGACGCAGTAGATGCGTGGAACCCGGTGGGCTCGCCGTCGATGTTGGTGACAATGTCCAGCTTGGGGCCGCCGCTGTCGTGGACGACAGAGATGAGGCCGGCGGCCTGATACTCGACCACACCAATGCCAAAGTGCTCGTTCCACATTGCATTCACGCCCACGGACGCCTTTTGCAGCCACTCAAGAATTTCCGGCCAGGAAGCATCGAGATGAAACTCGACCTGATCCTTAATCTGGAGCTCGTTCACGTAGAGCCTGAGTTTGTATACGCGCTTCGAGTCGGCATCGTCCCGGACGCTGCCGATCAGAACCAAGCGCGCATTCTTGGATGCCTCCGAGCCCTTCTTGAGGAACTCTCCGAAAGCCTGGAGGATCAGTTGGTGGTTCTTCTCCGGTCTGAACTGGGCGATGTAGACCAGCACTTTTTCTCGCTTCTTCTCGGTGGCTGCCGAGACCTCGACCTCTTGCTCGAGCTCGCGCACGGCAACTGGAGGGTAGACGATAGCAATCTGGTTCTTCTTGTGCTTCGCGTCGCGGAGAGGGCCCCAGAGCTTCTTGATATGCGCCTGTGTCCAGGTCGAATTCGTCATGACCACATCGACCGAGGAGCCGACCCAGGAGTAGAGCATGGCAAAGATCTGCCAGTACGATTTCTTGACGTAGCCTCGTGCTCCTACGCCCTTCCCAGCATTCACGCCTTGGCTTCCGACAGTCGAGTTGGGGTCAAGTGACTCGAGCATATCGGTCGAGATTGTAGGGTAGTGAACATAAGCGCCGGTAGGAACATGCTTGAACAACAGCTTGCTCAAGCCTAGTGCAAAGGCGTATCCCATAGTGTCGATGAAAATGTCCGGCACAAGAAGTGAGAAGGCATCCCAGGCCATGACGATCGAGCCGAGAGATTGTCCGGCGAGAGTGAAGTAGGGCCAGGTGGACGCGAGGACGAGATGTCTTGTCGAGAGGTAGAGGAAAGTGACACTCGGAGGATGAAGTTGGATGTTGAATCGGTCCTAGGCACGCAAGGTCTTAGTGATGCGCATCAATCATAGGCAAGCAACACAGTTCATACTTTGACCCGGCGCAAAATAGCCTCCTTGTTCACTTCATGATCACCCGTATACACGACGCACTTTGCGTTCGGCCAGCGCTTCTGCGTGGCTCGGATCGCAGCCCAGAGGACTCGTTCGCCACCTCCGCCAGCGTTGCTGAAAAGAGATGTTAGTCGAAATTCTCATGTAGCCCAACCAGAGGTCCTACCAGAACGGGTGAAAGAAGCCAACGATACCGCTGAAGTCTTTCGAGCCCTTTTCTCCGTTGCCCGAGCTTCCCGCCGAGTGGCTCTCCACATTCTCCCAGTCGTCGTCGCTGCTGGTGTCTTTCGAGGATAAGCTCGTTCTCAGTCGCCAGCTCTTCTCGTCCTCGTTCATCAACTGAACCAAGTGTTGTCTTCGTCCTTCAGTCTTGCGTCGAAGGTAGACTCCAAAGAGGGATCCGACACTGCTCCATAACAAGGGCAGGACGAGGATCGCAAGGACCGGCAAGAAGGCCAGAAGCAGTATAGTGTTGCGAATACCCATCCTATCTCAAATGGTGGGTGACGCGTCGGGTATCGACAAGGGATCAGAGAAAGCTGGCAAGGCAAATAGCACCCATCACAGGAAAACCAGTCGTGTCTTGGTGCAGGTTTTGGACAGCGGAAGAGCTGGAAGTGCTTGTCACGGGCAGGTGATGGTTGAAAAGAATGAAGATTAAGAACGAACGTGGAGTCAAGGACGTGCGCGCCTGGGCTTACAACAAAGAGGCAGTGTGTCTCTCATATTTCGTTGACGTCGCCAATTGTGAATGATTTCCAAGGTCGCAGTGGCCGGCAGCCTGGCTCGCAGTTGACACGATGCGAGGCAGCTCCTTATTAGTCGGTATCAGCAGCCAGTGCTTTTGATGGGATCCTGGAAATGGCACGATTTAGCGCCGCAGCACGGACCCCGCAGTGGGATCAGCCGGTCCTGGTGTGTCGGTGCCAGGCCTGGCCATTGGGTCCGTAGAAAATTACAAGGGGAATGACATGACTGGCGCCATCTGATCCAGAGCCTCACATTCATTCGACAAGGCGATCCAGCTGATGGCCGCTCATGGGACAGCTTTGAAGACAAGGATCAGGTATCTTCCGGCTGATTGGCGACACACCTAAAGCTCTTTGGCATACCTGGTTTGGATCCCACAAAGCTAGGTGCATGACTTGATATCTCAACCAGCTTCGGGAAGCAGTGAGAGCTCTCTCATCCAAGCGGTGTCGATAACCACTACAGATGAGCCCACCATCATGACGAGTTCGAGACTGGTGGTTGCCCAGGCGCTGGCATCAACCCGGCATGTTCACAGCTCAATTGGCCCTTCACCCTTTCTGAAAGGCTTCCAACACAGCCTAAGGCCTATTGTTCCCACGGCCATCAGCACTCAGCCCCGGGGAAGAAGAAGTGCTCACCATCTTGCCTTTGTGCACGACTCAATACAAGCCACGCAAGACCTCATTCTCAATTTACACGCCGTCACCCACACACCCTGGTATGTTACCATACCACTCGTGGCCCTGGGGGTCAACATCCTCTTCAGGCTCCCTTTCACTATCTACGCACAAAGATTGGCCCAAAAGAGGATCCAGCTCACCCCGCTGCTTCAAGCCTGGAATATCGCCCATGCTCGCTCTCTGGCGAAGCAGTCCGTTCCTGCTGCTGAAATGAGCACGCATATGACCAAGCACCTGCAGAAAACGTCGTCCAAGCTCTACAAGAAATGGGGCGTCCAGCAGTGGAAGATGTATGGAAGCTTCCTCAGCCTGCCCTTCTGGCTCGTTGCTATCGAGGCCATAAGGAGGATGTGCGGTGGCCCACGGGGTCTCCTCGGGAGTTTCCTGTTTGGAAGGAAGGAGGAGGTGCCAGTGGCTGATGTCGACGCCGCCACTCTCTCCTCGTCAGCACCAACCGACGTCGTGTCAGCGGTTGATATCGCCCCTGCCGACGGCGGTCCCCTACAAGATGTCGCCCAGCACATCACCTCGAGCATCGAACCCAGCCTCTCGACCGGCGGCTGCCTTTGGTTTCCCGACCTAATGGCGGCGGACCCATATCACGTCCTCCCAGTAGCACTGTCCGTCATGCTGGTCATCAACTTGATGCCTCGGACTGAGGCCGGAATCCGTCGTCTTTTCGGTCTCGAACCCAAGCCGGACTATCCTGGGCAACCCCAAACGCCAGAGACCACTCTGGCAAGGTCAATGCGTGGCTTCCATCGAAGTATGCTCATCGTGGCATCGAGTGTCGGCGTGATCACCATGGATTTGCCGAGTGCGCTGCATCTGTACTGGCTGTCTTCGGCCGCATTCAGTTACCTACTCAGCAATGGTGTGCACTATATCATACCAATCCGGAAATGGCCCATCGAACCTTGCAAAGGAAGGGAGCCATTCTTTGTATTGCCCAAAAAGGCATGAATCTGAGAAGACGGTTGGACTAGGATCTGGGCTCATTACCCCTTCGGGTGATGGGAGAAACGAATCCTTGCTGTATTCTCAATGTATTCTAAAAAATGTACATTATGGGGCTTGCAGATGGAGCCTGATACTCCTCAAACGCCTATATGAAAGATACCTAATTGCTCCTAATTGCAAGAAGCCAGGACCAAAATGAGTGCCACATGAATACCAAGCTGGACGCTTAACCGAGAAAGATGGCAAGCAGAACGATAGTCAGAATCACAGCAAGCACCAGCAATAAGCAGCATGCTTTGCTCCGTGCGTTCTTCTGATACCTCGCCGCGCTCCGCAACTCGTAGTCGGCTCCGCGCGTATCCACCCTCACGTTCTCAACATTGTCGGCGATGGTGTCGAGCTGCTCACCCTGTTGCCCGACCATCTCAGCGACCTGGGTAAATAGCACATTCAGATCACCAACACCCTGCTCGATGTTGCGGATTTCCTCCTCGCGCTCAATGATCAACGCCTCCTGGAAGTCCACCTCATCTTGGACTGCCAAGCGAGACAGTTCTTGTTGCTGTTGTTGTTCCAATGACTCGGAGTGGCCGTGAGCTGCCCCCTCGGGGTCTTCTGCTGCGGCACGAGCGGCCGAGACTGACGCCTTTTGTTTCTCGAGGGCCTGCCGCTGGAGACTTTGGAATTCAGAGAACGAGCTCTGGAATTCCCGGAACAACTTTTGTTGTGTATAACGTTGGGTCGGCTGTATGGAAAAGAATTAGTGGCGAGCCCATTAGAAACGCTGCATCGTGGTGCGAGCATACCGTGACATCCTCCCAAGCTTGGACCTTCTTCACTCCCTCGCCAACTTCCTTGAACATGTCTCTCGACTCCTCCAGCAGCTCGTGTACTCGCTCACGAACACGCGCATTGTCTTTGGAAGTCCCTAGTCTGCTGATGTCGCGGCCGAGGCTGGAGATGTTGCTCTGGAGCTTGAAGAGCTTGCTGTTGAGTTGTTGCGATAAGCGCTGGAAGTCGGGGTCGTCGGAGAAGCCGCCCGAGTTCCCGTCCCGGCGCTGGCCGGCTTCGAGAGACGACAACTGGTCGAACGACATGGCGATTGATATTCCAGCGATGAACTGGCCACAGCGGAATGCTCTTCGCAATTCGGGACAAGAGTGTCAGGGAATAAAAGCGGCAATCCGTTCGTTGGAAGGGAGAGGAAGGTGCAGCGTGACGTCGCTCTCAAGATGGGATGGGTCTGGTCTGGGGATCTCCGCTTGGAGTCGCAGGCGGCAGGATGAGGATCGCAAGGGCCGCGTGGCTGTGCAGCATGCATGAACAGAGACCTGTGACAGTGGATCCGTCAGGCGGGGCCATCCGTTGCTCACGCACGTGATGGACAGTGGAAGGATTGAAGCTTGATAAGGTGTGGCTAGTGAAGCGTGAGGCGTTTGCTGGAGCTTCTGCATTCAGCCAAGCTCCTCCAAGGTCTCCATCGCGACACGGGCCTTTGTTTGAACTTTTTATTTACTTTGGCTCCCAAGGCTCCCTCCGTCAAGATCCCCCGCTTCACAGCAGTGCGCCGACACCATGGCGCCTGCAACGATTCGACGAGCTCCTTACAAGGACTTTTTGCAGCCCGCATTGCAACGGCGCTTCTCTACAACGGCCATAATACTTGCTGTTATCTCCTACATCGAAGCTGTCTTCCTCGCCAACTGGGATTCTTGTGCGTATCACTGACGGTTCCTGCATCGTTATCACAGCTTGCTGACGCTTTGCTAGACTTCTGGTCCTGGTTCCCGGTCGGCCCAACTGGCCTGCGGGCCTTTTTTCTCTTCTTCTGCGGCCTTGCAATCATCATTCTCCGAATCGCCCAATACCACGTTGGCCTCCGAACCTCCAATTCGCCATTCCAGACCTTCACACAAAACGCCTTGAAACCGCAAACAGCCGAGGCTATATTCTCCTATGTTGTGTCAGGATGGCTCTTCAGTCAGGTGTATCTCTGGTCTGTGTCCAGCCATGCAAACCTTGACTGGATCACATACTATAGCGGGGATCGCGCCCGCCTGAACGAGAAACCTCTGTTCCTGACGACACATTTTGTTATATATGGTGTACTTCGGGCCCTTCTGCACTTGTTCAGAGATACCGATCGTCTTGTTCTGGGCACTGTACGGCACCAGACCAGCACCTCGACGCACCAGACCAGCGGCTCGGCCAACCAGATCCGCCGCTTTGCCGACAACATGCCTGCTCTCATCATCAATTCGATCACGGAGTCGCTGGTTGCAACGCTGCTAAGTCTGGTTGTGTATGCGTTGTTCGTGCGCCACACCGCCTGGCGCATCGCGTTACTCGTTTTCCGTCCCTTCTACAATCTGCCGAAGACGAACATGGTCCCGCTCTCGATGCCGTACAGTCTTTGGCTTATTGTGCGATGCATTTTCGCGAGCATTCTGATTTCCTTCCTCTGGGTGGCTGGCAATGCTGCGTTCTCACTATTTCTTGTCAGCGAGCCGATCAAGAACGGCAAGCCGCTCACATCTGAATCCAAAGATGCGAACGGAAGCTTGCTCAATGGCCTCAAGAGCAAGAAGATGCCCATCCGTACATTTGCCATGTGGGAACTGGCGTTCATTGCTCGCGACTTTGATTCCCGGCGCAAAGCCATCTACGAGGACATCGACCGTAAGGATGGTCCGATGTGGTCGCAAATCTATGGAATATGCCTGGAAACTGTCAAGAGCATTGAGACTCGAATCGACAACTATGGAAAGCCGCCGGCGCCGACAGCTGCTCCGACCACAGCGGACCAGGCTGAGGGGCACAAACGCGTCTCTCAGCCTCTCAAGGAGGATCCCATCCTCATCTCGACACCGCAAAGCAAAACACTTCGCAGTCAGATGGAGAGGGCCGTGAGCCGGGCTGCCACAGACCCCAGCCAGTCGTCTCGGCTCAGCCCCGTTGCGAAAAAGGCCGTAGCAGATGCACGCGGCAAACTAGCTGCGGTTCAGAAAGAATTAAGCAGCCCTGAAAACAATGGCAGCCCTCTACAGATGGGAGTTCACAGACTCCTGCAATCGCCTCTAGGCTGGCCCTTCCGCCAGGAGTTCAGGCAACGGTTTGCCGCTGCCGTGCTGGGGACCCCGCAAGGCGAGGCCGGGCTTTACGTCAATGCCATTTACGCGCTTAGCCAGTTGGCCGTGCACAGTCTGACTGAGGACAAATTCGGAAATGTGCAGCGCGATGTCGCCAGCATCATACGCTCGCTTACATCCGTGGCCAGGAAGCTCGAGGCGTTCAAGAGTGCGTTCTCGATCCACTGGACAGATTTGAGCCGGGATAGGTCCTGCCCTGAGGTGGATGCCATAGTGGAAGCACTCCAGGCGGGACTCACGGACCTCATCACGAACTTTGGGCCCTACAGCAGAGATCTGAGGTTAAGCCAGACAGACATGAGGCTGGCCAAAGAGGCCGCAGGGGCAGGGGCAGCAGGGAGGGAGGAGAAAGCCACGGAGATGCAACAAATTAGATAGGTGGCTGCATTGCATGATGGTAAATCGGCAAGATGGTGGCGGCGTTCAGGTTCCTAAAACTGTAAAAGCTATTCGGCTGTATCATTCTGTACATTCAAGATCAAAAAGTAAAAAGGGCCTCAAGTTGCCTAATGATGTCGCGTTTTATATCCACGTTGATCCTGGCTAGCAAGAGAGATAGCTCGTAGGGCATCAAAGAGGACGATTCTCTCCATGGGACTGGGGTGGTGTGAAGGTGCTGTAGTGGTGTGGCCCATGCGCTAAACCAGGCGCTAAAATCGGCCGGGGTTGCATGGATGCGCTCCTGGGCACTTTAATCTTCAGATCATCATATCGCGAGGATCATATTCTCTCCTTCCCGTTCCCTCGCTATTGGCACTTGGGAAGGCCCTCGACACCCTGCGTCCGCTCAAGCTTCTTCGCTATCCAATGGCTCAATCATGATCACGCATCTCCCCCGGTCGCGCTCGTCTTGCTACCGGTCGGGGATGTCGACCTCAGCCTTGACATCCCATTCGCAGTAGTATCGATACAAGTTCAATCAGCATGGCAGCATCATCGAAGCTATTCTTTCGTATCATCTACGGGACCTTCTACACCTTCCTCCACATCCTGCTCCTCGTGCTCCTGCTCGTCATTCCCGGCGACATTGTCAACCAGGGCTTCAAGCGCAACAATTTTTACCCTCTCTTCATCGTCATCGGTGGCTATGGCTTGACCATTGTCGTTGTTGTCTTTGTCTACTTCATGCGGCTCTACGTCAACCGGTCTGTGCTCAACTCGATACCCAAGTCGTGGATCCCGATTGAAAAAGGCGACGTGCATAAGGATGTGCGGAAGATGATCGTTCTGAGCCTGAGCAGAAGCGCCGCCATCGCGTTCGCCGCGCGCCCTCGCGTTGCGCCCCCTGCTCTGCCGCAGGATATTCCCGCCGAGGTCGACGAGGTATATGAAGAGGGGGAGGAAGCCGGGCGCAAATCGACACAAGCGTCGGGCTTGAAGAAGGAACCCACTGTCGAGGACGAGATGGGCATCCACCTGCCGACCGTGTTTCCTGTCTGGGGGGAAATCGAACACTACGGCTGGTCGTCGCCAGAGTTGCTCGACCTCCCCAACCTCCAGTACAGCTCGGTCATCTCGGAGCTGCCCAATCTCATCGAGGCAAAGGCACTGACCCTGGCTCCTCCGGATCCGATGGCACAGACAGATCCACCGGGTCTGGATCCCGAAGCTGTCGGCCTCCTCCAACGGCCGGCGAACATGGCTCTACGGGAGTACCTGTCGCACCTCGTGGATATAGGAGTGCTGGAGGCTCTATCTGATACAGCCGACTTCATATCGCTGTACGAGTATGCACGGTTCTGTACGCGGCCGATCTCTAATGCGAGCTTCCGCGCACTGATGCGCCATTTCGCCGAGGTCTTGCGCAGCATGCAACCTCTCGACCCTGCCGTGCTTGCAGACTTGCTCCTTAGCGAAGACGATGCAAGTTTTCAGACACGGTCAGAAGGTGGTGGTGCAGATTCACTCCATGATCTGCATATTCCCCGGAGCCACGACGACAGCAGTAGTATTGCAGGGTCCTTCAGCACCAGCAGCAGTGGGTCACACGTCTGGCACCGGCCCAGCCAGCCGAACCGTACCCCTTCTGCCAACACCTGGACTCAGTACAGGACCGCCCCTACGACGCCCAAGAGCAGAATGACAGCCTTATCTAGAACGTCGAGCATCAGCAGCTTTGCTCAGACGCGCCACCCCTACCCTGTCAGCCAGCCTTCGAGCGCGAGTCTGAGATCCGGAGCGTCTGGGGACTCGGTCATCCGGCTGTCAGATAGGCGGGATCCGGGAGATCTACCTTACGTGCTCTCGGTACCTAGTATGGGTACGGACACGCTTGACTTCTCTGGTCCACGGACAGCATCATGAGTCACGAGGTATGCAGTTGGAATAGAAAGCAGTCCAATCTTAATAGTAATGTATCAATTGTTCAGCCCTGCTTCATTGGTGCCCTATCCTTCCTCGGGTCTGTGAATGGCATAATTCAAAAAAGGACGTTTCCTTCGTTCACCTCAGCTCGATGATGTTGAACTCGGAGAATTCTTACTCATCGATCATGTCCACCCGCTATTATGGGTGAGACATGGTGGGTTCACAGTGAATGGTGGTTCTTCCAGGCTGGACCAGTCCGCCGTGACCTTAGTACTCGTAAGCCAGAAGAGGATTTATCCAGTCTATGTAGCTTGTGGTAGCCTCAAGGTCCTCTCAGCAGTGACAAGCTGCCTAGACACAACCGTATCACTACCAGTAAAGTACACAAAAGGGTGCCACCTGCTTTGTAAGTAGCAGAAGTCAGTGCGGTGGGTGATTCCCCCTTCCCTCAGGCCTGCGAGCCAGGCCGCCGAGGGCCCAAGTCACAAACATGGGCATGTTTTCTTCCTGGAGATATCCATTGGCCTCCTGCAGGAAGCCGATGTCCAACGCTGGCTCGGCGGTTCGACCTCCTTCCGATGCATTATGCCGTATTCACACTGCCGACATGCATCAGATATGATAATCCAGCCAAAGAATTGCGTCGAGCGTACGACGGCCGCGAGGTTGTCGAAACGTGATACATCAGGGTCCTCGAGGTTGTGCTCCTCTCGATTTACCAGGGCGGCAAGCTTGCACGTCAAAGGACCTCCAGTCGTCCTCATGTGTTTGTCCAGGTAGTCCGTGCTCCTGTCAGATTAGCATGTTGATTCCCTGGCCTTTTTTTTCCCCAAGCCAGTTAGAAAGCACCTGGGAAGTTCATTACTTTCACAAGCAAGCACAGGGGTCGGAATGGGCTCCATACGTATGCGTAGATGTACTCTGCCATCGATATGCATATGCTGTGGCTCGATGAGAATTGGCGACACAGGCCTTACTCGTTCTAAAACTGAACACACAGGTGCCAACCCGTGTCAGACTGTGCCTCAGCCTTATTTTCAAGTACTACATTCACTCTACTTACCTGCCTGATCTTGTGCATCTTGCAGGAAGCAGCTGGCAAGATATCCATTTGTCTCATACCTCACTCAACCAGAGATGCAAATGCAATTAATCGAACCCGGACATCATCAATGTGCTGGTTTGCCACGGAAGTCCATCTACCCGGTGGTGAAGCGGGCACTTCCTCCAAGTCAGCCTTGCTTCAGGCTGACGGCAAAATCAGGGCGGGTTGAGAGTCCCCTCGGATTACAGTTCCTGGGCCTGCTGCCTGTTTGTTTGTGTAATGAGCATATGGCTTGAAAAAATGCACCGTTACAGCATGACGAAAGAGTCTGCCAGAATTTCGCCGACGAAAGTGGGCACTCAGATATCGAAAAGGTCTTCCGTCTGAGACCTTTCGGTTGTTCCCGCCTCGGTCATCCATGGCCAGACTATTTTGACTGGCAGAGCTGTTGCGGGCGCGTATACGGAACTCCTCCTTTGGCTACACCGTCAACTTCTCTCCCAATCACTTACTCTGTCCTTGCGCTCTGGGGGTCTAGTTGGACAACAATGGGATGCCGAGAGCGTGGCGAGGTACACACAGAACTTTGTGGCAAGCAGGATGAAACAAGCTCAGCAGCATCTAAAAAACAAGCGTACAACGGTTCGCTGCTCGGGCAAAGGCAGACGCGGGTTTCGCGCGTTCGATCCAGCATTTCCTGGTAGAATCACCCCAACCCGCCACCCTCTTACACCCACCTCACCACCTTACCACCTTACCACCTTGGTCTGCCGCCTCACCTCTCACCCCAACCATCGTGCTGCGGCTTCCCGGTGAAAGCGGAGAACCTGTGAGAGCGCTTAGACCTCAACAGGGATCATGGCTTTGTGAGGCGGCCACACACATTGTCTTCTTGACATATGGAGATCTTTTAGTCTGGTTGCCTCACCCCTTCAATCGGACGGAGGCGGTCAAGCTGAAGCTGTCACTAGAGTCGTACGTAGCAACCAAGCAAAGACGAAGATCCCTGTCCGCAACTTTCGTTTGGAGAGAATCCTCTCGGAAGCTGGAATCTATCAGTGACTCGTAGCTCTTGGGTTAGCAGTAAGGCGCTGAGCAGCTGGGGCATATAAGAAGCTCCTTCTTTCTCGTCGAGCCAGGACTCGAACCCTTTTGGGTATTGTCTTCAAGTTCAAGCCAAGCATGAACAATCGATTGAGTCTTTACATTGGAAATCGCCTTTGCAGTTATTCACAACCGTCTTTGCTCCATCCGACGCTCGCTATCGTCCTGTCCACAATAACATAATCTCACTACCGTTCCTCACATGGCCGATAACGGCACCACCGTTTCAATGATGTACGGGTACGTCACTATGCACTACTGAGGCGGGCCTGTACGGTTGCATACGGCACCCGTTACTGGTCTCGGCTAACCAAATGGCTTCTCCAGCGAGACGCCTCTCAAGCCGAACCATACCTTCTCCGCACCTCAAGGCAGCAGCATGGAACAGAACCAGGCACAGCAGAGACTGTCCTACGGTCTCGACCGATTCCTCGCAGAATCGCCAGCCGACGGGAACATCTTCGCTGCGATGATGTTTGGAGGCACGGCCTCTGCTCCTTCGACAAGTAGCGGTACTTCCGCCTAGAGGGAGCTCCGTGGCCATTGTCACCGAGTCGCGCAACGCGCAGCCAGTGGTGATAACGTGCGTCGCCAGCACTGCATGAGGGTGACTGTTGTGCTACGGTGGGCACCAATGGGGAGTGTCTTCACACCCAGAAACAAGAAGGTTGTTCGATGAAAGTGTTCAAACCTGGCCTCGGAGTTCCCCTGAAATATCACAGGTCACATCGTATGACGGCAAAAGGGAAATAAGGCAACAGAGGGTCCCCCACCACAGAGAGAATGGCATGTATTCGTATGGCGGGATGTGGGAAACGGATTGGCAAGGCCACTCGGTCGTTGTTTCAAGGCACATACTGAGGCGCAACGCTATGGGACCAAGGCCCGAATGAGCTTGGGAAATCGTCGAGGGTGACGGCCCGACGGCGTTGGGCATCTTGTAGTGTTCATCTCAGATTACGAAGCTGTGATTTTGTCCAATGGGACGGCTCTCTACTCCAAGTCAATGACGAACCGGTTGGACCCTGAGAACATGAACAGCATCAAAACTCACCAGAAGGAATGTGGTTGAAACAAGTCTCTGGGTTCGTGTTTAGAGTGTCTGTGCGCTCTATCTTGTAAGTGACAGGGAACATTACTCGCAGGGACAGGGACAGGCCTTGTTGCGGAATCTGGGTAAGCACCGACTCATTGGTACGGATGGAACAACAACAACTGTCATATCACACCGCTATTTTCCAATACATGTGCTCCCAGAGAACATTTCATCATCAACCATAACCTGACCCACCGGGACTTTTGTTGGTTTGACGGTATTCAAACTCCAAACCAGGTCGGCCACTCGACACTGAGCAAAGCAACAAGACTGGTCCAAGAGAACCTCTCTTCGCGGTTCAAGATCAGGAGTTTGCATAATATTTTCAGCAATATTACTCCTATTCATCCCTGTTCTCATACAAGTTCAGAGCCCAAGTCTACCAGGGCTTCTAGATATGGAAATCGAGACAAACTCTCGCAAGGGAATGCTCTGACTGATCTTCACTGGGCTCCCTCCCGAATATGAGGCAAGACGTCGAGTATGAGAGATTGTCTAGGTAGCTTGTGCTTTTCCGTATGACCGACCACTGGAACACGTATGGCAGGTAGGTCGCGAACCAGCAGTACCCGGGTCAGCACTCTTCCTGGAGATCTAGAACGGCCCATCCCTCCCCACAGGAACCGGATTCTGCACTGCATTTCAGGGCTGCTGGCCCGACATCCACCCATCCATCCATCCATCCCAATAAATCCTGTCCTGACATTAGTCGACGGTTATGCAATGCAAGGCCTATCGGTTACGCCTCGCGCCCCGCCGTGCATGACACTTTAATGAGCTTTCACTATGCAGGGCGGTCGGATGCTGATCCGAGTCGGTCTCTTTTCTCTGATTCGAGGCCTCAAGTCCCAGGGTTTGGACACAAAGAATCACGAACAAAAAAGGCTGGACGCTTGAAGGCCAGGAAAGATAGTCAGAGTCGAAATGTGCAATGGTTGCTACCTACCTAGGTAGGACTGTAGACATCCACCTTGTAAGTTCGATCTGTGTAAGCCAGATGAAAAAACATCAAAACAAGAGTGAACGCCGATGACCTCTTCACTCCACTCTCAATCTGAGCCTCCATGACCATACCTCAATGAAGGCCTGTTCCTTCATCTACTGGAAATCTGCTGCAAGTTGAACAGGAAGACAAGCACAAAGATTGTCGTGAGACACAAAGCGCAGCATGAATGAGTGACTCTCTCGCCTTTGCGCCCCAGAAATGACGAAATATGCAAACGAGAGGTATAGAACTCCTTCCAGGACTACATGACGACAAAATTTCAAATAAAGGGGTATCATAATGACTGCCAGAAAGGAAGGAAATAGACACGGAAAGCAAGAAGAAAAATGACGCTCGACTCTGTAACCTGCCACTCAAACAGTCTCCCTCGGCTTCACAGGCGCCATGTGCAACTCACTCATGGCATCGTCATCATCATCCTCGTGCCTGTAATTGACCTCTGTAACACCCCTCTCCAAAGAAGAGGCGCCCACAGCCGCACCTGCACCTGCAGCCCCGACACGAGGAGCAGCACCGCCCGGAATCTCACTGCCGCTCCGCAGCTCCCAGCTGCCCATCCGCTCGTGGCGGACCCCGCTCCTAGACACGGCAACATCCACGTCGCTCGCGTTCTTCTCCGGGCCCTTGAACCCGCCGAGGTTCTTCCCGCCGCTCTGCGTTGGTCGCCCTTGCGGCTGCTGCTGCTGCTGCTGCTGCTGCTGCGGACGGGCACGGTAGCACCTGACGCGGCCCACGAAGAAGGCCCCCATCGCGGCGAGCCCGACGACAGCCAGCGCCACCAGCGCGCCGATGACGCCCGCCATGACGGGGCCGACCGCGCCGGAGAGGCCGAAGGGGGAGGAGGACCCGCCGCCGCCGCCCTGCGACGGCACCAGGCCGCTGCAGAAGATGTTGACGCTGCCGCAGACGCCGCACCACTCGGCGACCGAGCCGATGGAGACGGCGCCCATGGCGGCGACAAAGTCCCTCAGCCGCATGCTCGTCTGCATGTTGCCGTTGCCGAAGATCGGGTGCGCCGCGAAGGCCTCGCCCTCGTCGGCGCTGGGCCGGTAGAGGAAGCGCACGTGCAGGCTGCTGTCGTCGGGGTCGGCCGGGGGCGGCGCCGTCCTGTTGCCGCTCGTGGAGTACAGCTCGAAGACCATGGCGGCGCCCTGGCGCGGCAGCGACCGGAAGACGGCGCCCGAGGGGCCCTCCGCCAGGCCCGCGAGGGCGAAGAAGGAGAGGAAGGTCTCGAAGGAGCCGAACATGAGGTTGAGCTTGCCCGACGCCGCGCCCGAGGCCAGGGCGCCCTGCAGCTGCGCGACGACCTTGCCCGCGAGCATGCGGCCCGCGACGGCGCGGATCATGTCGTTGGCGGCCCCGCCCGAGACCGTCAGGTTGCCGTTCTTGGCGATCTGCTGCATGTACGCGTAGTTCTGCAGCTGGGCCAGCGTGGCCGTGTCGATCGTCCTCGGGACGTGCGAGTCATGGTTGAAGTGGTAGAGGGCGTAGTCGTACAGCTCGTAGGCGTAGTAGTAGTTCGCCATGGAGCTGGGGAAGGCGACCTTGAAGAAGCGGTTCCAGAGCGTCTGGTAGAAGTCGAGGCTGTCTTGGTAGGTCTGTTGGATGGCCGCTTCGTGGGGCATCCCGAACACAGACTCGAGGTACTGGGAGCATGGCGCATTGCCCTCGATCCTGGAGACCAGATGCATATAAGTCACAAGATCACCATGCCACATCCTGTGTGAGCTTCTAGGGGCACTTACCACGTGGAGCTGGGATCCTGCACCGAGAAACTCTGCACTCTGGGATATTGGTATCCGTCCAGAGGGAAGTCAAGAGCGGTCGAAGCGTTCGCAAGTTGAGCGGCCCCGATCCCACCAGCACCCGCCGCAAAGGACTGATTCTTGGGAGGGTATAAACCCTGCATGAAAGCCAGGGCGCCGCTGATCACATACTGCTCGTTCGTACTGAGGATCGAGAGCTGCGTATTGTCAATTGCCTTGGGCTCGATGTCCACGATGGGCAGGTAGTCCGTGACCGCGGCCGTGTCATTCCCAACGGTCGAGTTGTCGATGTAACGGGCACGGAAAATGGAGCCTTGCGAGTAGAGCTGGTTCGCCCCAAGCGGTGTGAGGGCAGGATAGGGATTGCCTTGTAATGGCAAGCGGTCGCCGTACATGATGTATGCGACAGAAGACCACACCGTCTCGTCGGCCATGGCGGCACGAGGGAGCAGCGCCGCAACGCCCGCGATCGAAGCAATCGTCCTCATGGCGGAGAGAAGACGGCGTGGGCGTTTGCTGTCCCAGTGAGAAGCTAACAGGAAACCAATCGCGGCGCAATGTAGATGACTGAATATCTTCAGCGACAGCCAGCTTCACTGGTCTACGGACAAGTACAAGGGAAGAAAAGTGAGACTGGAGCCGGAGAGCAAGTGCAGAGAAGGCAAGGCTCGCGCTCCAGAGCGGGTTGGAAGAGTTTGCCAAGCTTGCTCCTCAATAGCTACAAAGCTTCCCCTCACCTGGGCATGCAGAGCAGATAGCATAACGACATCATCATAGGCGAGCCTACTCGAGTAAGCTGCATGGTGTGGCCCCCGCAGAGCAGGGGGGTCACCGACCGAGTCAGATGAACGAGCACAGATAGTAACATAGTTTCGTTGGTATTGGAGGTGCGGGAACAGGTGGGGATGGTATTGATGAACTGATCTAGGGCGATCCTGACAACAGAGAGAAGCACTTGAGTAGGAAGCAAGTCAGAGAAGCTTCAGAGCAGCTCAAAGACCTCTCGCTCTGTCCCCCGCCAAACGGCCAACGGCACCCAGAGGCATGCGTTCTAACGGGATGCGGGGCACGGCATGGCACAGCACTAGCTGAATGTCTGTTAGTTGCCTAATTGGGTAGTCATCATCCAAAAGCTTGCAGGGATATGCTTGTGACGGTGTTGTGGTCTATGTTCGTTGATTGTTGGATTCGTGGGACAGTTCTTGAGCACGCCTCAATAGGTTGGCCACTTCAATGTAGAGAAGTAAAAGGCTGGATGGAAAGGTCAGGTTTCTTGCAGTGAAGGAAAAGGCACGATATCACTGTTCCGTATCTTCCGCGTCCCTCTGGTGCAAGAGGCATCACCAACATGAACCCCACTTGGTCCAGGTGGTGGCTGGGAATTTAGATCCCTGCAGTTCACATGCATGGACATCGTCGATTCGCCGTGATCAACAGCTATGCCCACCACTCATTGCGTTTGCTACAGTCCTGGGCAACAGCTTGGGCTTGGCGCTAGGCGACATAATGCGTTGATGCAGCAAGGTCGTTCCATTGCACAGATTCCTGTTGGGTGTGGAATTCATAGCATTGACAGACTTCGCCTTTCGAAGCCAGGCTTGATGTAACTGGGTATCTTCCATGGTACTTCCTCCTCGTTCCTTCCGTCGCAAACTCCTCACAGAAATCGCAACACATTCCGACCATCTGAAACTGTTCTCATTTGCGGATGGACTTCAGGAGGGGAGCGATCCTTGATCGTCTGCTTAAGCCCACGCGGTAGACGGCCTTCGCTGGTTGTGGCGTATTGGCCCTGCCTTTGGTTGCTTCTTTGCCATTCACCGTGTTGCCCGGAGCCTTGTTCTCTTTGGTCTCGATAGTCGCTGTCTTCAATTCCTCCGTTTTGACTGGTTCTTCGTTGCAGGATCGTGATAATGATGGACCGTTCTCACTGCCCTCGTTGAGAACACCCTCCGTCCCTTCTTCGCCATCTGTAGCGGTAAGGCCGGCCACTTCGTGATTCTCAAGGCCAGAGGCTGGGGGTCGATCGTCTAGGGGCTCAGAGGCGATGAGCGAGGATGCCTGCTGCATATCTCTGGCGGCCGCCGTGCTGTCCGTCTTTTTAGGCCTCCCTCGCTTGCGTTTTGGCTTCTCAGGAGTTGCGGCCGGTAAGTTGTCTAGAAGCTGAGGCGGATCAACCGCGGCATCCGGAACTGGCTCCGAAGTCGACTCTGGGGCAACATCGCGCCTCTTTTTCTTCCGGCCTCTCTTCTTAGGCTCCTTTGCAGCAGGCACCCTGGATCTGGTTTCTTGTATAGGACTCGACGAAATCGTGACCACTTCCGGTGCAGCCTTCCCTAAGCCCTCGTCACTAACCGGAACGGGCTTCAGCTCATCATTGTGTTGAGCCGTTGCCGTACCCTGTGCAATGTCCCCTGATAAAGGGTCGTCATCATTGTTGTCTAGATTGACAATATTTTCGCCCGATGACTGTCTATCCTCTGGATGTTGTCCGGTAGGCAAGGCAGCATGCCTGCCTTCAGAGGATAGATCAGCGATGACGTCCGGAGACGAACCGCGCTGGTCCAGAACAGGTCTCTTGCGCTTCCCAGCCGATGCAGCCGGGTTGCTCTGTGGGATCTCGTTGGGCAGAGAGGCTGGCTGCGACCGGGGGCTCCGACGCCCCGAAGAGGCGTATCGGCTGGGCGTCGGGTATGCTATCGTAGTGATGGAGCTGGTTTGCCGAGTTTCCTCGTTCCTGAAGAAGTCGGGCGGCGGTGACGGTGCCTCCTCATAACGATTCGCGTTGTTAGACGAATACATTGGTTGGTACTCTCGGACTTGACTCGCAGTCATGTGCCCCTGGTCGATGGAAATCTCCAACACTCCCTGGGCCGTCGCAGGGAGATAGTCGCTCGCAATAGGGGCAGTCTGGGATGCTGCCATTGCATAACTGCCCGGCGCATTATCCGGGAGAGCAATTAAATTGACATCAAGACCGCCGTCGGATGGCAAATCCGGCTGGTCCATTTGTTTCAAGCGTTTCGTTCGTGAAGGCCTGTTAGGATTGCTTTTGGATGCTGCGGGAATCCTCTCCGGGCTGCTCGGCACATCCCATGGGTCATCACCAGTACTAGGTCGCTTCTTCTGAGCGCGACCTCTGTCGGGAGTGAAGTCTTGTGCTGCTCCAGCATCCATTGTGCCCGTCTGGTCGAACTCATTGAGATTTGCATCTGCCGGCATCTGTTGCTCCTCATAGACCCTCTGGAAGAAGGAAAGATCGGTTGATCGCGTGGCCGTGTCCGTGGTCGCGCCCGACCCTCGCTGTTGTTCCGAGTCGTGGATGCCAGGTGCGCGCTGCGGGGAGCTCTTCACCGGACTGGCATTGCTCCCTTCATCATCCGAATCCTGGATCACTCTCGTAACCACCATGCTGAATATTTCATGACCGCGACCCTCTGAAATACTCAGGCTGCAGTGATGTGCTGTGAGGTCATGAGAAACGGCGCGCTCGGTGAGAAGGAGTGTGCGACGCGCTCCTGGTTGCCCAGTTTAATTGACCAGACGCGACCCCACCATGCACAAAACAAGGGTTAGGGTAGTAAGTGTTCTGAGAACAAGGAAGAACATTTTGAAGAAGCTTCAACTCCTTGTGAAGATTATTTAGAAGTCTTTGGCCTCTCCAATTATTTATTCTATTTCTTCTATTCTGGGCCTGTTTCCCTCGGCGCTTATGGTGGTGACGGGGTTGATAGCAAGGCCTGCTAACTGGGATATCGCTGGTCCAGATGGCTCGAGCTGGCCCATGATCTGTGACATCTGCCAGTTTTCCAGGCTTTCTATGACATCGGCAGCATGCTGCCTGACAAGACCGTCGTTGTCTGTATCAAAGACATACCGTAGAATTCGGAGAATATCCTCCCGACTTTGATCTGTCAAGCCGAATCCGATGCGCTTCTGCGCCTCCTTGGCTGCAGCTAGGGCCTGGACAAATTCCAGTATGACGATGATGGCAGACCGTCTGAGTATGCCGCTCTCAACCTCCTTTTCCATGGAAAGAATTCCAAGGCACAGATCGATTGCCGCCGAGACCAAGTGTGATCCGACGCCAGCAATGTTGGTGTGGATGCCCACAGCAAATATGGACAAAGCCGACGCCCGTATCCGCACGTCTTCGCTCCCGCGTTTACTCTGCCAGCCCTCAACGATGCTTTTGAGTATCTCTTGCCGTGCCTTTTCTTCGGCTGTAATCTCTTCATCTTCCTCATCCTCGACAGCCTCGTCGCGGTCCTTCTTTAGCTCCCGAAGCTTTGCCTCCCTCGCCTGCTTAGCTGCCGTCTTGGCGCGATGGCTACGCCGTCCTGCGATGAATAACAGCGCTTCGCCAACTTGCTGCGCGGTCTCTCCGGTGAAAGTCTCGCCGAGGCGCTCAATGACTTGCACAAGTGCCTCCCCGAATCGCAATCGGGTGTCGACGGTCGCCTTTTCGTGCGAGTCCACATAGCGCTCTAGAATTTCGCTGGTGGTTGATTTTGGGTGCTTGTGGGCGAGCTGTGTAAAGACCTTGATCACGCGCAGGTTGATGTAGTCCTCATTTTCTTCTAGGAGCGAGGACATGAGTACGAGGACGGCCGGGACGTCTAGGATGGGGCTCCCGGCTTGAACAAGACCTTGGATCAAATTGATGCCTTCTGAGCGGACTGGAGGAGGAGAGTCTGACTGGGTGATGTACGACAAGGCAAGGTTATACGTCTTTCGATCTTCGATCTGGCGGTCTGTGGGCGCTGTCGTTGTTTCTGCCGGGTCGTCAAGCTCATCTCTGTACTTGAGCAGTAATGACAGGTTCCTTGCTGTGGTGCCGACCTCTTCATCCCTACTGTTAATGATCCGTTCCAGCGAGGATTCGATAGCCTCCAGTACATCGGGCTTTATATTCCGCCTCTGAAAGCCTGGAACCGTGACGACTAGATTCAGCAGGCTCAACGCCAAAGCCACAGAACCGTCGGCTTCTGCTTGCTGCAAAACTTCACTCACCAGAATGAGCAGTTGGTCCGGGCGTTTAACCAGCTTCTCGGGGTATTTCTCCATCATCTTTTGTAACACACTCCCCTCCTTGGCACGCAAGAGCAGATCTGTGCTGCTTGTTTCACTGGAATCTCCTGCTCGGAACAAAATTTCGTTCTTGGCGTTTGTCTTGCTTGGCTGCAGCCAATGGCGCAGAAGGTCAAGGAACATAGTGGAAAGATCTTCATCCGCGGAGATTGACTCCAGGAGCTCTACCAGAGTAGCAGATTTGTGTGCAACTTGGGCCAGAGTGGACTCATCAAGATGCTGTTGGTCTGCACCTAAACGGCTCCGGAGAGTTTCAAGTTCATCATCCTTGGTGGTCGTGAATCGCCAAGCAAGACCATCTCGGTCGCTCTCCCCATTGTACAATAGGTTTGAAATGATACGCAGAATATTGGCTGGGGATGTGTCGATCCTGAGGTAGATCTTCAGCATATTCCTCGCTGGCAGACAATAGTCCTCCTCAAGAGATCCCACAGCACCTGGCCAAGACGAGATCGACCACAAGCAAAGCAGTACTGGGCTGAGGAGTCGTCTGGTCAGGCCCGGATTGGGATGGGAGATAATGAGGGACTGGAGCCGACGCAGTGCGGCCGAGAGCTCGCTCGAAGAGACCAGAACGGCATCCCGTGTCAGGTCGATGATACCGGCGGCCGTTTCGAGGGTTTTGCCTTGCAGGGTGGGCGAAATTGCGTCCAGTAATGGCGATGCAAATGCAGCCCAGCCGGCCGTCCCGGGAGCGCCGAACTTCTTTCGCCCCAGTATGCCAAAGCCAATGACATACGATGCGACTTTGGTCATTTCCAGTCCATCGTACCCGTCCAGGAGCTGGAGTAGTTGAGGGGCGATGCCCGCAAACCAAGTATCTGGAGTCTCGGCCGATGGTGGCGACGCCAAAAGGCGTGCCGCCATGGTCAAGGCCTCTTGGGTAATGTTGGCGCCTTGCTTCTGCGGTTGCGCCATTTCTCTGAGGCTGGCGGTACTTGACGGATGAACGGAGAAAACGAACTCGAGGGTTGCGCGCACTCCATCTGGTCGGAGAGGAATTAAAGTGAGAACAGTCATGAACTTGCTACGTAGCCAATCCGGTGCTCGCCCCGGCTGAATCAAGGTGTTCAAAGCGGGAATGAGATGTACCGTCGGGGACCTTGGGAGATTTAGACTACCGGGACTCCTTGGAGACAAAAGATTACAAGACCAACCTCTGTATGCAGTTTTCAAAGGCATCACGGGCCTCCTTTTGTGCCGTGGGATCAGCATGAGGATCAAAGGCCGCCGTCCCCAGTTTAGTCAGGGTGTCCAGGAGCGCAGGGCGCGAATCCTGCGTGTTTGCCTCCGCTTCCATTATGGTGCTGCTCCGGGTGTTCGAGTACAGTAGTATGCGGCAGCATTGGCAGTCCCTGGCGGAGTCATCAAGGAGGCTTGGTCTAACACCCACTTGATGGAGGAATGGATCACTTCCTCGCGAGGTCGAAGCAAGGTAGGAATTTGTGAGACTTTGACGATGTAGTTGGACGCTGACTAAAGAAGATCAAACTGAGGCAAGGATCCATTTGATAGATGTGCTTGAACGAGCTGGAGGTGTGGATCAAGGATGGATCCTTGCAAGGTCCCCCACATCGACGCACGTGCACCCCCTGCTCGATCCCTGAACGCGTCCCCTGCGTCACCACGACGCGTCTCTGACCTGCATCTTTTTAAGGAGGAGCTCCTCGACTCTTTTGCAAACCAGCTTCTCCACGACATGGAAGGCCATTCACCCTCCAACCACCCTTTCTATCTCTCTCTTTCTCAAGGCTCGTTTCATTAGCCCATCGGGTCCGCCATCTTCATATGGGATTGTTATTCGATACCTGCACCAGCTCTTTCGCTTCCCACCTGGGAATCAAGTTCACACGCGCGACGCCTCCCCCACAGTTCTCCGATTCCCGTTTTCCGAAAGGAATGTCGCAAGACCTCGACATAGTGGCTCGGACCATCACAATACGTCGCATCTTCAGACCTGTATCAGGAAACACGATGATCGCCGCGGGTGGATTTATTGTGATGCCTTATGTTAAGCCAGCCCTATGGAGAGAATGTGGTCTCGGAACTTAACCCTAAGTTCCAAGAGGTGGCTCATCTGCAGTCTTGCGTTTGCTGCCAGTCCATGCCATCTTCTACGTCAACGCCGCTCCCTAGACTCTGCACCCATGTCGCTGAAAAGTGATGAGCAGAGTCATGGGATTGGCAGAGGCTGACCGGTGGAAGGACGTTCCAGACACTGCTCACAGTGCGTGAGAGGCGGGTACTATGAGCCCAATGGTAAGAATCCCCGCCGGGGATCGCTCGTCAGTACCTGCTACTGGATCAGGACACTGGCCAAACATGGTCTCCTTCGGTGGAGGAAGCCGATCCTACCCGGGCGATGCAGCTCATGTTTCGAGGTTAGAGACCGCAAAGTCCTCGCTTTGCGGTGGACGGTAGATTCGACCGCTGCGAAATTGGTTAAGAGCGCGGTCCTGGCTTCACACGATCAGTACCTACATCGTTTCACTTCTCTATAAGAGAAGTTCAGTCTCAGGCTCGCCTCGATTCATCGCGACCGCGATTTGCCGAGGACCTGACGGCGACAAACTGAAATGGTTTTGGGGAGCTGAATTCTGCCGTACCGTTACGCCCTAGGATTTTCCAACTTCTGGCTTTCTACCCTGCCTTCGTCAACATGACTGCATCCACCCCGAGTGGGCGAAGCAACGATCCCCAGGACAGACTGCGTGTCAACATACGCGAGTTTGCCACGACTGAGTGGAACCATGGCCAGGCGCATTAACCTGCTGCTCTGAGGAGTAGCCAACGAAGCAGCGGGACGCCACCCCCCTCGCATCCCTGCCGAAAGGCACGGGTTCGCTCCCGCCGGACTCGCAGAAATGCGATGGACCAGCGACGATAGCACGATTTTTGAGGACGGTTTTTTGTCGTGCGGAAAGCCTCTCGATGCAAGGCACGGAGGAACAAAAATCAAATCCTTGCTGGCAACGCGTTCACACTGAAAGAGCTGAGTTTGTATCGACGACAATTCTTGAAGGGGCTACCTGGGGGCTTCTGTCTTGAGCCGGCCTATGGAAGCTTTCCGTTTGAGTGCATTTTCAGGACCTGGCGTGTTGTCAGTGTCAGAGTCTCGGGCTCGTCTGAACTTGCACAAGCCGGAATACTTCAAGAAGGCCACATCTGTGTGCCCGCAAGGCCACGAGATGCATTGGAGAGGACTGGCTATGAGGGAAGCAGTCCTGGTTGCCATCGCATCAGCAATGCTGTGATGGCAACCCCCCAAGGATCGGGGATAAGTGTACCCCTGTTCTACAGTTCAAGACACAGAGACTAACATCGACGGACAGGGTTGTGCCCTTGTGCCCTGTATCATCGGCAACCGCCTTACGCAGCAGCCTTCGTATCTCTTGCGAAAGCTGTTGTTTCCGAATATTCGGCCTTAGTCATCACAAAGGCTAGGCGGCTTTTCCGGGATACTGAGAAGCAGCTACCGCCCCTGTCGGTAGGTCTATCCGGAGACTCGCGTCTGGATCGAGTCGAATGAGCAATGATCGTCATGACATGTACCAGGGGCTCTTTTGGTCTGCTTGAGCACTCCAGGCGTCACTTATCAAGGGCACGTGCAAGCATGTTGCATCGCGTACGGTGGAGTAATGTCTGGCTTCAAGTTGCCCGTTGCGCTGTCCTAGCCGAGTTTCATGCAGGTGCAAAGTCACTCCACCGACATGCTTGCCAATGTTCGCATCAGTACGAAACATTGAACCCATGACGAGTCCAGTTAGGTTCTCTTTCTGGAATTTCTTAGTCTCACTAGCATCTGCAACGGTGGTGTCATTTCAAGAGCAACTGTCATCTTGCTCCCCACCAGACCCCTTTTTCGTTGATCCACCCTCACTCTCTGTCACGACGCACACAGAATCGATCTTAGCAATTCGCGCTTTTTCTTTCCGAGCTCTTCGCGGCTATGGCACAAATGCCTGGTGGTCAATGTAACAAAGAGAAGAGGCAGCCAGCGAGTCGCATGGGCCAGGCGCCGTTACGGGTTATCCTCGCGTCATCCTGTCTCCGGCCTAATGTGCGTAGGTTCGTCTTGTCTCGATGTGACTTTTGATCCCTTTCCACTGCCTTCAGTGAGGTGCTCGTTTTCTCCCAAGCGTGCTGATTTGATCTTTGAGGGGTCGAGAAGTCTCTCAAGAAGCGTGCAACATGTCAGAATCTTGGCTCTCCACTGAACCAGGCCGGGTGCGTGCTAGTTCCTGAGGGACTAAGATATGAAGGGATCGATGCTGTGTGTCAAAATCGCATTAAAGCCGGATGCCATAGTCATTAGTGGCATCGATGCCACCCTCCACCGGAAGGAACCCTTGGCCCCTGACTCGGGTGGTGATGTGAGATGGAGTCCAATCTCTGCATCGATATTCCCTCAGCTTCTGGAAAGGGAGCAGGCACTTCTTTGCCATGACCGAGTTTCCTACTTGTACAAGTACAGAGGACTAGCAAGTGCGGTCCACTCCCCACACACATCGGTCATCTCACCCAGATCTGGAAGAGTCTCCTTGTCGGGACATCGACCAACTTACTCGCTATACAGAATTATCGTGTCCCTATTGTCGGTTGGTTCGGGTAAAGCACCCGACGGCCGCCTTATTTTTTCCCTAGATCTTCTGTTCCCGTACATGTAAAGTGCTTCTCATCCGAGTGATTTGGTCGACATATAGGTAAATGCTATACGGCTTGGAACTCGACAAGGTCGTGCCCTCCGATCACGAACACTTGACTTGACAGGCACACATCTGCAGACAAAGCATCCAAACTGCTGGCACGAAAGGATTGGGATTGACTTCCAGCGACGACCAACGTCGTGAAGCGGCGCGAGCCGGAGTGGGCTTGCGCGCTAACAAAGTCAAGAGTTCGGCTTGTATTCGAGCCCATCTGCCGTACTTAGCGCATTCGAAGCTTCACTCGCCGTTTGCACAGCAACGCCGCCGTTTGACTTTTCTGTTCTAAAGTCCAATGCATCCACAGTGCGACGTCACTTGTTCCTGATCTGGTGGTGACAAGGTGCCCCTGTGGATTACGAAAGTTTCTCAACACAGGCGCTAGAGGATTGCGATAATCATATCAGAAGGAAAAAAGAACCGTTCAAATTTCCACCAGTGTTTAGTTGGTATCGAAACGCGCTTCGTGAGTGGTTAAGCTCTTGTCATCTTCATTATTCATGTCTGTTCATCCAGCCCTCCGCGAAATCACTGCCGTCCTGATCAAGCACAGCCACTTCTCACTGGTCTCGTACGGTCCCCTCTGTCAACAGCTCTCCGTCATCTATGCAGGAGTTGTTCAGCCTAGCATTCTTATTTGAGACAAGACGAGGGATCCTGCTCAAAGGGGATACCAAAAAGCCACTCCACTGCCGCATTCCAGCATCCTTTGAAGTTCGTAAGCTTTTCCTCACGGGAATCGATGGCTCTGGTGCCGAGAAGGGCCCGTCTTCACAGTCCGCCACTCGTTCGAAGTGCACCTAGTGGCCCATGGACCGTGGGACGCCCGCTGTACTCAGCACCGCGTCTGGCGTGTCTCTTGTGGTAAGAGGCACGTAAGCCGTCGGCTGAGGTGTCTTTTGCCGCAGAGTCCAATCGTTGCCGGATTCGTCGGAGGCTACGATCTCCATCAGGGTGTACTCTAGGGCACCGTCCCGGATGCGAGGCACACAGATCTCCTTTGCCATCTTCCAGGCCGAATTGCCCACCATGGGCAGTTCCTCGCCCGCATCCCTTCCCTCGGCCTAACGCGATGGCTGTCAGAGATGCCCTTGCATTTTGCACATGCTGACTCCAGGGGGGGGGGGGATACTAACGAGGCATGAAGCACAGGAGGCGTTGTTGACCCAGACCCAATTGGGGCAGTTGTGGGTGTAGAAGTACTTGCACCGGTACTTGTAGAAACCGCCGCTTCCACTCATCTTGGCTGGCTATATGACGGGAAACCGCCAAGTCTCTTGCTGGGGGGCAGAGTTGTCTTGTTATGCAGACCGAGTTCACACGGCTCAGTGGTCGTATCTCTCCAATCCTTGTTCGCAACAAAAGAATGGGCCGCGTGGTACTCAGCGGCCGCGAGCAGTAACGACAGTGTCGCGATATCACACGCGTCTACAAGGGGTTGAATGAAATGGGGCCGTTTGACGAACGCGGTGGATAGGCCAGGGGACAGTCTTTCTTGTGACATTTGCAACGAGGAAGAGCCTGCCTGGTATATATATATATATACGTACGTACGTACGGCAACGACAACTTGGCTGCTGACCCAAGGCCGGGTTGAGGCCATGTCAGCTACGGAGACCCGTCCAAAGGCCCACAGGGCAAAGAGGATGGATCCTGTGCAAGCGTTGAACATGTGGCACCCCGTACATGCATTCTCTCAATCCTGTCAAATTTCATAAACGTGATGACAAGGGCCGGGCTCACGAAAGTTGGTCTTCCTGACGGGTTGCCGCCCTCCTTGTCAGTGTTCCCCACCACCAACCAAAAAATCCCTGTATTCAGAAGAGACTGACAAGACAGACACACACTCTCTTCTCACACACACACACACACACACACAAACACACCACACCACTACCACACACACTCACTCATTTGGTTTTTTAAGAGGACCCAGTACTAAAAAAGATGGAGGGGGCTATCCACCTTACGGGGACATCACTTTACGATTCAGTCCCGTTTGTGCATTCCTGCTCTCGATGCCACTAGAACAGTTCCCACTTACAAATGGACTCCCTGGGCTGAGAAAACCCGGGGATTGGGCCAAGTCAACTTAGCCGGGGCAACTGGCCAACGCCATAAGAAAGTGATAACTGACAGAAACATGCTTGCAGCGCCGCCCGCTGGCTCTTCTTCTCACACACTGCGCCATGTAGCTTACCTAGCCCATGCCGTGGATACGTACTGTATGGTACATAGCCCTTGGAAGCAAACTAGAAATCCTCCGAATCGATGCAACCGCCCGCCAGAAGCTGGCGATCGTGGACGGCGGCGGGGAGAGGGGCGGCGCGGCCACGCAAGTCAAGAGACCTTCTCATGCAGGAGGGCACTGGCATACTCCACGCCAAACGGTGCTGCTAGCCGTCATTCCCTGGCTCGGATTGTTTTGCTATCTGTGGCAAAGTTCCTTCAGCTGGAGCCGGCCCTTCTGGGAAACGGATGAGGGGGGCCTTTCTTTTCAGTCCCGCGAGGCTGAACGTCAAGCCCACACAAGCCCACACTCCTTGCGCGGAATGAAGAAGGAGAATTAAGAACAAAAAGGAAAGAAAGAAAAAGCAAATATACGCACGGTGCGGTCCGCACCCGCGTCAGGGTTTCTTCAATTACTAAATGGGCTTCCAAAAGGGGGTTACAAGCAAACGGCTTTGGGGTGGAGCATCACGAAGCTTATTTGACGTCGCCACGGTCATCAGCACCATCAGCAATTCCGTCCGCGAGTCCACCCTGTTCGCGGCAAGAGGAGGCCCTTCGGCATTGCAACTTTGGGCACACATCATGACTGACCATGCCAGCCTTTACGAGTCAACCGATTTGCCAGTGCAGCCCGTGCCTTGACTCATCACCCGACCATCACGTTTGCCCGTAAGCTCTGTGGACTGTTGGCATATCAGATCTCAACAAGTTCCGGTCGAATTGGACAACAGAGACATGACTCTTGCCAACACGGCCCGTTCGTTCTCATTTCCAGAGAGTGCCGCCGGTCTTCTCCTATTTTGACAAGCAGGATCGGTGTCCAAGTCGACTAGGTCATGTTGTCCCTCGAGCGGACTCAGCCAACCATTGGGTGTGTCCATGCAGGCTGTGACTCGTGAGTCGTCACAAAAAGCAAAGAAAAGTATCCCAAAATGAGGACAGCCGTGCCTTACCGTATACGGTCGAGTTACATCCGTTGCTAGCTACATCAGACGCCCGTCCACCCGCCCGATATGTTGGCGTTGTTGCACTGCCAAGCGTGATCCGGCTAAGCCTTGCGACCAAAAAGAGGCGGCTCTCTCGGCGAGCTGGCACTCTTTTCTCATCGGATACCCAAAAGAAGCTGCGCCTGCGTTTTGGGTGGAGGGGGGGGGGGGGGGGGGGGGGGGGGGTGAGGGGGGGGGCAGGGGGTCCCGGGTAGTAGTTGTTCCAAGGACCAGGGCCCGGTGGTGGGAAGTTCTGACCTGGTGGTAGCCAACCAGGAGGGGGAGGATACTGCATACCGCCAAACCCAGGGC